AAGAGGTTTTATAGTCTAAGCTAATTATAAGACGCTAAAAATAATATATATTAAAATTTAGAAATAAATAATAATATATATATCGAAATTTAAGATAGATAAATATTAATTTATATACTTCTAGCTAATTATAATAAGAATAATAAAGAAGTAAGTAGATAATAATCTTAACGTATTATTAGATCTTAATACTTATATCGTAAAGTCTAAAGCGATAATAAAACTTTTTAGACTTATACTCAATCTAAGATTAGAATAAAAAAATTATATATAGTTATTCGAAGCTAAAATTATTATAAAACTTAATAGATTAATAAGCTACGCGAGATTAGTCTAGAGTATTTCTTATAAAGATCTATAAAAACTCTATTAAGAAATAATTTTATTTATATTACTATTTAAATACGTAATCTAATATATATTATTAACGTAGAATATAAAAGTAGAAAATAAAAGATATTTAAGATATTTCGAGTTATATAGAAGAGAGTAATATATATTATTATAAAAGAGTAAAAAGAATATCTTAGAAATCGTCTTAGATATCGAATATAATTAACTCTTAATTAATCTCATCTTAGAAAAAGCTATTATAGAGATTATTATTAGAATTTAAATCTATCTTAACTATAATACTATTAGATCTATATAAAATATAAATAAATAATAAAAGCTAATTAATAAAAGAACGAAGCTTAAAAGTTCTCTAGAATAAATTAAAGATATTATATATTAATAGTAAGCGTAAAAGTTAATAAAATAATATATTCTCTATATTATACCCCTATAATAGAAATTATTAAAAATAATAATTAGTAAGAATAGAGAGAAAGCTATTAAGTAGTATAATAAGGTTATTAGTATTAATTATATCTCGCTATATATATATATAAATAATAGCGAGATAAAAAATAAAATTGAAGCTTTCGTCTACGTCTCTTAAGTTATTAATATCTAAATACGATATCTTAATAATAGCGAGTATTATACTATATATATAGGCGAGCTAAAAGAAATTAATATAATATATAAAATAATTATTAGTATTATTCTTTTAAGTCTAATTATCTAAATAGATAATTAAGTAATAATATAATTAATAGCGAATCTTAGAGAATAAGTAGAATAGTATATTCTTAATAGAATAGTGAAGAAGCTAATAAGACTTAAAGAAATAAATATATCTATCACTCTATAATAAATTATAACTTATAAAAATATTCTAGAAAACGAAGTAGTAAACGAGCTCGCTAAATAAATATCGAAAAAAGATATTAAAGGAAACGAGTTTTATTTACTCTTAGCGATTAAATAGCGTATTAGAAAGCTAATTTATAATAATTAATAAGTACTCTAAGAGATATATACTTAAGATATCGAGCTTAAATAACTTATTTCTATACTTTATTATAGCGTTATAGCCTTTTATATAAGAGTAAAAAAGATTATAAGCTTAATAATAATATAGTTAAAAACTAAAAAGTTAGCTTTTAAAAATCTTCTTTATATATATTAAATAATCGATTTATCTAAATATAACTATAGAGAAGATAATTAGACTTAAAATTATATTTTTAAAGTATATTCTCTATATATAGAAGATAGATAGACTACTTAAAATAGTTAACTAATTAATATTAAAAATATTCTATCTAAATTAGATCTTATAACGAAGGCGATAAAATTTATAATAAGAATATAAATATTAAAAGTCTTTAGTAAAGTTATAATTTAATCTAATAAATATAGATATTATAATAAGAAATTTAATATTAAAGATAATCTATAATCTAGATATTAAGAAATATTATAGATAAAAAGTATACTTCTAAAAAGCTATAAAACTAGAGTTCGATCTATATATTTTAATACTCTTAAATAAATAATATTTAATTACTCTATCTATAGGTTATTTTATTAGTATTATTAATATTATTATTTTTCTTTTTATATTTATCTTCTACTCTTCGATATAATATTAATTAAAAGCACTAAACGCGATACTTTAAGAAGTCTAGAAATCTTATAAGCGTTAATTCTTACGAGAAATATCTTTATTTATTATCGTCCTCTAATAATAATAGAATATTATTATTAAAGGTTATTATCTCTACTACTAGAGATTAAATATAATATCTCTCATAACTCATCTAAAGATAATTATTATATTTTTTTAGCAAGCTAAGAATATATTAATTATATTAATTAATTTTCTTATATTCGAAAATCTAATACGCGTTATAGCGAGGAGTTCTCTTAATTTAATAGTTAAATATAATAATTTTATAATCTATAAAATAGTAAATATATAAGTCTAATAGAATAAGTATAATACTAGAAGTAATAGGCGATATAAGAGATAAGACTTTCGAGGATCTTAGAAAGAGAAGTGAATATCTTATAGTTTTATTATAATTTTAAATAGTAGAATAAAAAGTAATATCTCGATCTTAACTCTATAAAATAAGATATATATTATATAAACTCGAATATAGATTATAAGGCCTCTTTAATACTAATATCATTATCTCTTTAAGATATTTCCCTTCGCGGGAATAATAATAAGAGAGAGAGTTTCTAAATTTAAGAAGATCGACTAAGTCTTAAACTAATATAAAAAGAGTATAATAAACTTAATATTTATTTATAATAATATAATCTTATTTCCTTAATTTTACTCCCTCGAGTAGATAGTTTATAATATATCTACTTATAGAATTAATAGATAAGAGCATATATATAGAACTCTTACTATCGGCGGTTACTAGAAAAATAGTTATTCTATTAAATAAATAGTCGATAGCCATATTTTACAATAAGAGAGTATATATAGTCTCGAAGTTTTTATTCTCTTTTCAATATAGATTATATTTAATTTTTAATTTATAAATCTTTATTTATATTAATAGACTTTAGATATAATCTCTAATTAATTAAGTCGAGTCTTATTATTCTTAACCTCACCTATAATATCTCATAATATCTTTTTATTTTCAGCGATAATTACCGCGATTAAAATACTTAAAGAGATATAAAAACGCTATATTTTATATATAGTATAAAATATATTAATATTACTATATTTAAAGATAATCGCCTATAACTTTAAATATAGTCGAGAAGATAAAATTAAGATCGACTATAATATTATTAAAGATTTATAAAATACTCTTTTAAAGGAGTATAATAATAATTATATCGCTCTATTAGAGGAGCTAGACGATTCGCAATTAATAACTAAATTTAAATATCTTCGCTTCGAAATTATAGCCTTTATATAAGATAAGAATCTAAAGAAATAGTATATTCTTATAATAAATATAAGCGTAGATTCTCTTATAAAAGACTCTCTAGCGAAACTAGTTAATCTATCCTCAAGCGAATATATAATCTATTATTTTAAAGCGATATTATAGATAATAACTATTAATATATAAGAAAGAACGTATTTAATACTTATTATACGATACGATAGTAGTATACTTAAAAGAAGTTAATATAGAAGATATTCTTAAAATAAATTTTTAAGAATCTATTCGCGAGATAGAATTATTTAAGTATTAGATTAAATATTATAGATAAAGAAGTAATATAACGATTCTATTTAGATACGGAATTTAAGGATATAAAAAATATAGATAATTAATCTAGCGATTATAGTAGCTAAAGTATAATTATAATATAACGACGATTCTCTAGAAGAGAATATATTTTATAAATGTCGTTATTTAATATTATAATAGCTATAAAGTATAGAGATAATTACTTTAAGAAAGATATTTAAGATATCGCCTCCTAAGCGATTATATAAAAAGTTAATTAATTAATTAATACTTAATAAAAGGTAATAAGATAAATAACACGAATAAGGAACTTCGATAGAAGTAAGATAAGACAGAATTGGGGAGATATAGCTCGAAGATAACCCCTTTAATTAGCACTATTTCTTCTCTTCTCTTTTTCTCTATATCTTTATATATATTAGGCGTATGGGTCACTCTAGATAGCACATTATACGTAAAAACCGGACATAGCCGAAAGGCCGAGTGGGGAAAAACGGTCCCACTCTTGCCTATATGGCTAGAGGGGCGCCCCCTCCGATGTAGGAATCACACACACACACACACACCTGAGACCTCGTCCGACGTAAAAATAAGTCAATTGTGCTGGTTGAATGCTGTATCGAAGGGACCAAGGCTTCAAAAGATACCCCTTCACCACCTTGGTCGCAGGACTCTGCGAGACTTCCCACTAACACGTACCAGATGAACTTGGGGCTGAAGACCACCTACCTCCCACAGTAGCCCGAACATTGAGACTTATCGAGTCAGCGAGGCAGGAATCACTTGCCGCCTTTCTTTGACTGACTGCTTGTTAGGCAAAAGCTTCCTCCTTCGCAAGTGAACCCTTGAGTCGCACAGACTCATGTTCCTTGTACATCTCAGCTTCCGTGTTGCCGGTGTCAGAGTGAAGCACGGATCATTTGATCGGAACATCTGAGACCTTGTTGATATCGTGAAAATGGACCCATGCACTTCTTTCGTATCAGAAAGATTCGATTGCCTTGGATCCACATGCGCAATTGGAAGAAGTACTCTGTGTGATCACTACAGCTTTGTATGGGCCTGTTGGCTTGATGAATGTCTGATTTCCACTCGACCGAGGATGACGACGTCAGCCATGGAGTGTGGAAGCAAAATTCAATTGCTCTGGCGGGGTAGCTTCCTCAAAGCGTAGCTGGAAATGCGCGGTGCCACCCCGGATTTGTGATGGTGGGGAGGATACGCTTCCCAATAATATCGCCAAACAGCACTGAAGAGAAGATTTTCCCTTTGTCGACTAAAACATTCTGCGTGACCTGCAGTTTTACATGAACAGCTGATTCTTCCGGCTTGATCCCCATAAATGTGCGAGAACCACATATAGACCAGCGCTCAAGGACATCCCATTGATACTAGGCTGTCACCCTTGTTTGAATGAAGAGAGTAGAGCACGGAGATATGAGCACCAACAGCCAAAAGCCCCCGCCAAAAGCACTGTTCTTCGACGCAAGCCAAGACCTTCTTTTTCTAGTCCCCAATCTAACCCTACTCAGGTCTTCGGCACCGTCGTCGACTGGCGTAAAACTGTAACCAAATACCTCGAAAGGCGGTCTTTCGAAACCCTCAATTCTGGCTCCTCTTCGGTCGCTACCGCAGTCCGAACTAAGTGCGCAGAAGTCCATTGGCCCACCTTCGCTCAGGAATGGCGCAGCTCCTACTATGCCTTCACGCGCGACCAAGCCAAGCGCAAAGACAATGACCAAGCCTTAGCATTCAAGACGGTGGACGATCATCATCTTGACTCCTTACGCGCGCTGCTCGACCAACATGGCATCTCCGGACTATGGAGGGAGGACCAGGTGATCCAAGTATCACGGATATGGCACTATCTTGAAGCCTGGCCGGACTCGTCCCGTGGACTCATGGCTCTAAAAGATCAAGGTTTCATCATCTGCACGCTGTCGAATGGCAATATCGAGCTGCTCACGGATATGGCTGTCCATGCCGATCTGCCTTGGACGCACGTTTTCAGCGCTGAGAAGTTCGGTGCTTACAAACCCCATCCTTCCGTTTACACTTCTGCGTGCAGAGAATTGGGGCTGGAGCCGGGCCAGTGCGCGATGGTGGCGGCACATTTGGCAGATCTAGAGGCGGCCAGGGAGTGCGGCCTGCAGACTATCTACATCGAGAGAGCGCAAGAGGAATCGTGGCCTCCGGAGAAAATGGACGGCGCCAAAAGCAAAGGGTGGGCAGACATGTGGGTGAGCGTTGGTGATGATAGCAAGGGAGGTGGAATTCTGGAGGTTGCAAGAAACCTTGAGGGTGAGCAAAAGCTGTAAAATGCGATAAGTGCAATTTCTCTTCGTCTCCATGTAAAGAATGGAGTCTTGTTCACGGAATCTGACATCTGATGATCTACAACTTCGCTCTCTCCTCTGTCGCTTTATGCAGATCAGCCCCCTTGAGCTGAAAATACTCCTTCACTTTTGCTCTCGCCACCTCCACTACCCCTGCATCTTCCACCGTCGCCGGCACCTGCACCTCCTTTTCAAATTCACCATGCACAGCATTCTCCACCAGCTCCCTCAACACTCTCCTCAGTGTCTTCCCCGACCTCGTCTTTGGTATCATGCCTTTCCCTTGAATCATACCACCGAGTGCCGCTATAGCGCCAATCTGCTCACGGATTGATCTTTGGACTTCTTTGAATGGTTTGTCATCTGGAATCGCAGATTCGGGATGCTCCGCTGTAGAGAGCGTGACGAAAGCAAAGGGCAGATGTCCCTTCAACGCATCCGGAATACCCACCACGCCTACGCAGATCTCGGTATTAGCATTGCTTGTTCGCGGCAGTGCCTGGAATTGCAAGACAGGTTTAAAGAACAAAAAGGATTTATTTGCTCTTGAAACATGCAATCTCAGTACCAAACATGAAGGATTATCTCCGAAACGTACGTACAGCATTCGGCGATATCTGGGTGAGACGCTATGGCTTGTTCAATGGAGCCGGTGCTGAAACGATGAGCGGCCACGTTGATGATGTCGTCTGACCGCGACATTACGTGCACGTAGCCGTCTTCGTCAAGCATGCCAGAATCCCCCGTGTCGATCCATTTGCCTTCGAAACGTTTCATGTAGCCGTTGTAAAATCTTTCTTCGTCGTTGAAGAGCGTGGTGAAGCCTGTAGGAGCAAGTGGGACTGCCAGGACGATGTTTCCCATCTGTCCTTTTCCAACTTCTTTTCCTTCATCGTTGACTATCCTAACGTCAAACCCTGGCATGGGTTTCCCTGCTGATCCAGGCTTGATTGGCAACGCCCTGTGGACTTCTATACTAGTGAAGTCTTTTCCAGCAGCGACATTTAAAGCAAGCCCTGAAATTGGAGAGCCAGACTCTGAAGACCACCAATTATCGATGACTTGAGCCCCAGGCGCACAATATTTCTCGAGAAGCCCCTGGTACATGCGTACTATACTCGGTTCGCTCCTCTCACCGGCGAGGAACAGCCCTTTAAGCTGCTTCAAGCCTCCTCGCTGGCCCGCTTTCTCGAAAAACTTGTTCTCGGGATCGTCCCGCCTGATAGCTCTCAGAGCTGTAGGAGCTGTACTCAGCACATTAACTTTGTGCTCTTCGATTATCCTCCAGAATGTGCTGGCGTTTGGCGTGCCGATGGGTTTTCCCTCAAAGAGAATGCTAGTTGCTCCGGCAAGCAATGGTGCATACAGTATATATGAATGTCCCACCACCCACCCAATGTCTGAAGCGCAGAAAATCACATCCCCTGGACCATGGATTCCGAATAAGTACTTGATCGAAAGGTTCAAACCCACAGCATGTCCACCTGCTTCTCGGAGGACTCCTTTGGGTAAACCTGTTGTGCCACTTGTATAGATAATGTAGATTCCATCACTACTTTTGACGGGGACAGCCTCTGCTCTGATTCCTCTATCTCTTGCGCTTTTGACGAGAACCTGCCAGCTCCTTTCTCCTCTCTCTTTGATTACCGGATGCCATCTCAACTGCTCTCTTTGCCATACTATAATCTTCTCAGGTTTATACTTACTTTTATGCAAGGCTCCTTCGATGAATGGTTTATAATCCATGGGCCCTTTGGAACCCTCTATTCCACAAGAGGCGGTCATGATAGCTCGAGGTTTGGAAGCCTCGATCCTTTGTGCCAATGACGCAGGCGCAAAACCTCCAAATACGACAGTGTGAATAGCGCCCAGACGGGAGATTGCGAGTATGGCGAACAGTGCAGAAGGAATCATGGGCACTGTGAGGTATTAGCACGGATGGATGCCCACAGACAACTGGGATCCATACTGTACACAAGCACGACATCGCCCTTCCTCACGCCTTCTTCCCTCAACACGCCGGCAAGTGTTTCCACCTCCTGCAAAAGCTGGCTGTATGTATACTTCTCCTTGCTCCCAGTAACCGGCGAATCCCATATGATAGCCGTCGAACCCCCATTGCCATTCTTGACATGCCTATCTACGCAATTGTAGGATGTTGATATCTCTCCATCCGGAAACCAGGTGAAGCTGGAATGCGAGATGCCATTGGAGAGATTCTTTGTCGACCGCGCTAATGCCCTGGAAGGCTTCTTGTGCCAATGCAGCTGTTCAGCTTGATGTGCCCAGAAAGACTCCGGTTCTTGGATCGAATGGGCTTGGACTTCGTCTTGCGCGTGCGGGGTTTTTGGCGCCATTTGGATAAGGAGGCTCACTCGTTGGAAGCTTTGGGATGCCAATCCTCGAACATCAAATGGACTCCTGGGACTCCTGGGACACCTGTATGCCGCAGTATTCGAGCACCAAAAAAGAGCAGTCATGATAGCTGCTCGTTGAAATCTAAATGATGACTTGATCGGACCAAAGGCGCTGCGGGCATCTTGCATCTTGCCCCGCGTCTTTGGCCCAACTGGTGGTTGTAAAGATATTCAAAAAATTTCAATTTTTGGTTTCGAGGGGGTGCTGCGGGAATTTTGTTAATGATTAAGATATAGTATGTCCAAAGCGCTCATAATTGTTGACTAACTCGCAACCTTCACAGCAATTGATGGTAAGGAATCGGCAAGACAAGGAGTAGTAATCTCAATTAAGAAACTGTACAAGAAACCGGATCTCCGATGCCAACGGTGCGAAGAATGAGATATTTCTCTAGCGCCGCCGGCCTCATGGCCAGATTGACATTCTACACTTTGATCTCTCCGTAAAGCTGATTTGATATTGATTGAAGTAATCGGTTTCAAGTATCTATTAAGTACCAATCTGCGGTTTTTGCCATGAATGTTGCCAAATATCATCTACCATCTAGACATACGATGAAATGGTTTTGTACAAGATTGCTTTGCAGTCATTCTTTGCCAGTAGTATTGAGTATGGTACGCCCTTTCTTAGCCTTCACACTCTTGATGATACTCAGCACAACTTGCTTGGCTTTCGTATGGAGACCAACAGTACCTTATGTAGCATGCTCCCAGCCCACATCTGCTGGAGAACTTAGCGATTCATCCTCTAGCACAGTCATGTTGTGACATAAGAAGATAAATTCGAGCATAGCATTTCGTTTGTCGATGTCTCCTTTATTAGTATCTATGCTTCCCATATTTGATACCACCTCACTTAACCTTTCTTCAAGACGCTAAATACATGTCATACTAAGGATATGTCTTGATATTACGAAAAGCAAGAACTCAACCTTACTAGGCGCCCACTACGCACCGTAATTGGTAGCTGAACTCCATGCCTCGCCTCGAGAAATGGCTGAAATGATTGCTTGTCGACATTTCCCCGTTTCTCCGTTTCAAGCAAGCTTTCTCGTTGGGCACGTTTGCTCCACGCCCAGCGTTCTTTTGTCATGCCGTAGTTGGCAAGGAGCCTCTGGTGTGGAATTCTTCAGGTCGAGTACAGCCAACGACCCTGAACCCCAGTAAAGGATGGTGAAATGATGAACGATTTGGTAGACAGAAGCAACGCTGGCGATCCATTACGAGCATGCGGCATTGCGACATTCTGTCATTGGGAGGCGGTATCTGTGAGTCTGCCACGGGAGACGGCCGACTGCTATGGATGGTCACCACGACCATACACGAATGGGATCCTCATGCTTGACCGGGTGGGTGCTACACAAGGATTTTGTACCGCTTCAGAGTACGTTTGCACGGTACAACAAGGTCTTGCTTGTCAGGTTTCATGGGGCCCGAACGAGGCGATTGATCACGACATTCTATTGAACAGTTGCGGCTCAGAAGCAGATTGGTGGTGAATAGGTAAAGTCCTTATGCTTCTCCCATTCGTTGGTAGAGCCCGACGACTGATTGAGAGATTTATCGCGGTGGGACTAAGGAGCCGACAAGCAGTCCCTAGCTTGCCGGTCTGAAATTTGAGATGTCATCCCAGCTGTGCCTTGCCGCTGGCGTGGGCTATTAACCCCTAAAATGCACCTTGCGATCCGTCCCAGCGGGATGCCGTATCATCTTGGATGGTTGTTATCTCTGCACATGAAATGGCTCAAGCCGTGTTAGTGCCTGTCAACCTAGTCAAAAGCAGGAAGCTGATGGGGTGAGAAATTATCATGCCATGCTGTGTGCGCGGAAAGGGCCGTGTTCCTGGAGGAGCTGTTCTTGAGGTTGACTCAACTGCAATTCTTCCCCTTCAAGTGCGTATTACCCCAGGACTGCTGTCATGATTGCCTTTGCAGACGACTGGGTAGTCAATGTGAACGCGCACAATCCCGGCAAACACCCTTCTCCCTTAGTCGATCGCAAGACACGAGGATTGGAGCAAGCCTCTCCAACATCAGAACGATCTGCGTAGTATCAAGCCACACTGGCACAGCAAAGTCCACCTTAGATGTCATTACAGCCCGGTCGAACTGTGTATGGGATTTGCGTGAGGCCGGCCGCGGTCCTTGACGCATACATAGCGGTGACCTTGCTCGAAAGATTGTTGATACTCCCCTCCGTGTTTGAAGTGGCAGAGATTGATATTAAGCAACCTTGCAGAGATGCGGGTGTCAGAAACAGGTAGCTGAGTGGATGCTATGGCACGAACGTTTGGGTCCCTTGAAGGTGCACTAGTAGTTGGCTTGGGAGAGCACGATTCCAACAGTAGTTTGGTAAGAACGCGATGCTGCGTTAGGGGACGCCTCTTGAACTCCCCAATTCCGGTCCTCTATAACCGTATCAGTGATCTTTTCTTGAGAGCCCCGCTGATTGCAATTCTAGGATTGTCCAATCTATCAGACCAGGAGCATTAATAATTAATTCCGCATCCCGTATGCTGTTGATCGTTTGATTCGCAGAGAGCGGAAGGTTCAAAGTGGTGTCCACGCGCCGTTGAGACCGCTGGATAAGAACCAAAGATACAGAGACACAGAGAAAGGCTGAGCCAGATAATACTCTAATTGAAGATCCTTGAAGTGAAAATAAACATACACGTGCTGATCGCGTGGATGCGTCCAGGGATTGGGAATAGACGCTTTCAAGACAAGCCCTAGACTTGTCTAAAAAGCACAGGCCAGACCTTTAAAGCGACCTCTTAAAGCTAAAGCATTTTGCTCTCTATCACCATCGTCCAAATTTCTCCCTCTTTCCTTTTATACCAACAAACAATATCATTGCTACCTTCATCTCTGCTCCGTCCCTATTTGCTATCTACTGCATTTCCTTGTACATCTCATATAGCCGCCTTGCCCCCGAACGGACCCCCCTTTCCCCCCCATCTTACAGGCTTGCATTGTGACACAAGGCTCTGGACTGAACCGGGCCAGTCTGCTCCAAGCACACATTCGGAGCACGCAAGATTACTGGACCCACCGTTCAACTGCATACCCAATATTGAACGCCCATTGCTTCGATACTCCTCGTGAGTGCTCAGGATAAGTTCGCAAGAATTACTGCTTTGGGGCCTGCACCACCACATACCGCCGGCGCAATTGTTCAATGACAGGCCCTCTGCTCGGTATAAGAGTCTAACACATCGCCACGGTCTTTTCTGGTCATAGAGTACTGTGATCCAAGCCGCACTACAACGAAAATCAATTGCAATTCGAATTGATTACTCTTCCACACAGCTAGTGTGCCTCTCAGCCTTAAACCCCCAGAATATCTTTGAGTCATTTCCCACGTGATCAATTGGCTTCCAGTACGCAGGCCTCGCTACTGCACCGCAGCCAAGATGGCGGGGAAGATGACGTTGTACAAGTTGGTGGTACTTGGAGACGGTGGGGTCGGCAAGACTGCTTTGACCATACAAGTACAAGAGTACCCTCTCAACCGCGCGAATCACAGCTGACGGATTTGCAGCTGTGCCTCAATCACTTTGTTGAGACTTACGATCCCACAATCGAAGATTCGTACAGAAAGCAGGTCGTCATCGATTCACAGTCATGCATGCTAGAAGTGCTTGACACTGCTGGTCAAGAAGAGTACACAGCCTTACGTGATCAATGGATCAGGGACGGCGAAGGCTTCGTTCTGGTCTACAGCATCACGTCTCGATCATCCTTTACACGAATACGGAGATTTCATAGTCAAATACAAAGAGTGAAGGAGTCGTCGAACGCTGGCTCCCCTACAACTGCAGGCTATCTTTCATCACCAGTTTCTCATAGCATGATAATGGGCGGAGGCCAGGCACCTGTGATGCTGGTCGGCAACAAGAGCGACAGAGTGACAGAACGTGAAGTGTCTACGCAAGAGGGCAGTGCCTTAGCGAAAGAAATGGGCTGCGACTTCGTGGAAGCATCAGCAAAGAACTGCATCCATGTGGAGAAGGCATTCTATGAGGTTGTTCGAGCACTAAGGAAACAACGGCATGATACGCAGATCACGAGGACGGGAACAAATCCTGGCAGAAGCGGTGGCCCCATTGGTATGTCCGATTTACGGGATGGGAGGAAAAGGGGACCAAAGGAGTCGAAGAGCGGACACAAAACCCGATGCACGATATTATGATCACGACTCGCTTGCATTCCGGAGCATGCTCAACATGACACCGCAGATCCAGCCTCGGCTACAGTGTCATTGGCTGCCGCTTCATCAGCTGATTGGTTTGACGATCCCCCACTGGCATCAGTACGATTCCAGCACTATAGCATCATGGCATCATAAAGTAGCATTTTCTTACCTCTCGATGTACAGACACTTCACATGAAACTGCATCAGCACTTCGTGCCCCGGGCTTGAAGGACAATATAGATGCAGCATCACATCTTCATGACCACTACCCAAACACACATTGATACTGAAGCATTCGGACACCAGCGACTCTCAAAGGAGCCTCAAGAAAAAGGCTGCATTTAGACACCAAAGGCGCACTCGGAGTACTCCCTACAGGATAGATATGGGCAGCCAAACGGACAAATCTGGGGTGGCATTGTTTATTTCCAATCATGCGGCAAGAAAAGCTGAGGATATGGGGACAGGATACCGACGAGATACCCAGGGCCATCAAAGAGGCAATTTAGAAATTTCACAATTACTGATGTTCAATGCTTTGACGTGCAGACCATGCAAACTCTCTAATCTGTTCGTATCCAAATGAGCCGCTGCTCCTCGTTCTCTGCCATCGCATTTATATTGCTGTCACTGCTATCTAGAGTACCTAGACCCCGGTCTGTACCGCCTTATCCCCTGCTTGCATTTCTCATCTTAAACAGATGTCAGCATCAAGCCATGAGAGTTATCTTCAGCGAGCTTCCATACGTCCAGGCACAGGATTAGACCGAGAGCAGCAGATGGGTGAGGCTTTTCAGATCATCAGAACTCCATCTATAACCCACACGTCTTATAACTTATAGAGTATCTCTATCTCTATCTCTATCTCTTCTAGTAGATCCGTCACTACTCGACGCCGCAAGCCAGCTAATATTACAATTCTCCTGATCTTACAATTCGCTATGCTCCGTTGGAGGCGGCCGTCCACTGTCCTTTGCCAAATTCACTCCAATCTTCTTCCGCCACTTCTCCCACAGCGCCCAGAACTCCTTCTCCATCGGCTTCTCCACTTGATCGGGTAGTACGACCGTATACTCGACATGTAATTGGCCATACTCCTCTTCCCCAGCTCTTGACTGCTCCTGCTCCTGCAGCCAAACTGGCATGCCCTCGCCAGCTACCACCTCCACCTGATTCGGCTGTATCACCTCTCCTCTCTTCCTTCGTAAACGCACAACATGCCCATCCAGATGGGTGAGATTTCGCTCCCAATCACCCATCCATGCCTCTCTTAAACCCAACACCTCCTTCCAGAACATATCCCTCCCTTTCCTCCTGAAGAAAGCTCCATCGGTCCGTTGCCCCTCATCACCATACTCCGCCTCTTTTTCGCCCACATTCACCACGAGATCTCCAGCAACCCAATCTGGGCTCTCGTCCGCTTCATTCTCGTATACGATTCGGCTACCCTTTGGCATGCCCTTCTCGATGTGCAGCGTATGCGATGCCATCTTCTTAACCACTCTTGAGCCCCCACATACCTTACACGGGTGCTTTATAGTCTTTCCTTTACCACCGCACTTATCACACCCCATCTGCGCCTGCTGGAATATGCCCGGCGCAAGCATATGCTTCTGGATCACCATCCCCCTCCCACCACACTGCCCACACGTCTCCACAGTCCCATCTGCACTTCCACTCCCCTCGCACTCTTCACAGATTTGCTGTTTCTCAATGCTGAACTCATGCTGGTGTCCATTGTAAAAGTCACTCAGGGGTACCGAGATTCGCACTTCCATATCTGGCCCTCTCCGTTGCCCAGATCCGTGTCCGAAGTGTCCTGAGCCGCCGAAGAAGCGGGAGAAGAGGTCGAAGGGGTCATGAGAGCGGCCGCCTTGTCCACCTTGTTGGTGTTGTTTTAGGCCTTCGTAGCCGTATTGGTCGTAAATGCGGCGGGTTTCGGGTTCGGAGAGGGCATCGTAGGCTTCGGCGATTTGGACGAATTTTTGGGAGGCGGATTCGTTGCCACTGCAGAAACGAAGAGAGTCAGCTTTGGTTCTCTATTTAAATAAGATTTGTTTTACTACGATTGGGGATTGGGGAATTTGGGCACAGGATAGGGAGGAGCTCACGGATTCTTATCGGGGTGGTATTTCTTGCTGAGGAGGCGGTAGGCTTTCTTTATCTCTCGATCTGAGGCTGATTTTCCAATGTCCAAGAGTTTGTAGAAGTCTTCAACGCAGAGGACGAGTGGAAGGAGGAAGCCTAAGATGAGAGCTGGAAGGAACATCATCTTGAGGAGTAGGACGTGGGCGAAGCCTCATAGGCGAACGGAGAGCGGGATACAATCCCAGTCTAGGATCTCAATGAGATTTAGGACCTTGGGCTGGATAGTTGTGAACAAAAGAGCTCGTGGTACGTGGTATCAAAGAGTTGAGCAAGATGCTACCGTGGCTAGATTGGGCGCAAACATTTGTCTTGGCATATAAGATTAGATTGCGCTACAGGTGCGAATTCATGAGGCCACGCCAGCCGCAAATGAGCATCAGCCATCAGCACACGATGCTTTGAAGTAGATGCATTCCGAGAAGCCCATGTAGCTAAGTGAGGAAGACATCAAGGACACCCGCAGTCGAAGCCTATGACCTCCTCCCAATAAGTGGCCCCTGTTAACCCTCTAACCACCACTCCATTTTCCTCATCAAGCCAAGTGCAGACTTCTTGAAGTTTGCTACGACCAAATTCATTATTCCATGGCTGTTGCTCGCTGGTTCCAGAACTGATGCCGCACAGATCTTTCTTTTCTTTGTTTCTTAGCCTAAATGTTGCTTGACGTGCTTGAGTTCTTCTCCAATTCACCCGGACGACTTCTGTTAGCCTTCTCATCACCACACTGAATTCCCTCATGGCAGCCAACAACATGGACACGATCTTGCAAACCGTTCAGGACATCATCGGGTACCGATTTAGAGAGCAGCTGATCTTATGGGAGGCAATGCAAGCCGCTGGGTCCAACGTACGCTCCGCAGGTGATCGGGTATTTGTGGATGGCAACAAGAGACTTGCCGTAATCGGGGACACAGTGCTCCAACTTGTCCTTGCTGAGAGATGGTACAGTGGCGGGAGTGTCAGAGGTGTTGTTGTCGGCGTGTGCACAAGCTTGTAGATAGCGTGCTAATGCAGGCAGCAGAACGATTCAATCAGACCCTATCTCAAGTTGCTTCCAATACCAGTCTGGATAGGGTTGGACGGCAACATGAACTTCATAAGTGCGTCAACACTAACCCATCCCAACGTCAATCGTGTCGCCAACCACGATGGCTGCGACCATTGAGGCCATTCTTGGGGCGGTATATTTGGATAGCAACTTGGAGAAGGTCGGAGAGGTGATGCAGACTTTAGGTCTAGTACCCCTGGCTTCACATGATGCAGGGGAGAGTCAATAGATGATCAGGCACATGGCGCTTAGCAAAGCGAGACAACATTATAGATACGTCACAAGTTCAAGCGGTCCTCTCCCTCTTTGCGCTATCCCAATACTACATTCGTGAAATCACGGTACGGAGCCGATGATTGCAGACTTTCGCATCTGGACATAAATAGGTAGCACGTGTATGAGAATGGCAACGTGATTAGACGCCTCTTCGTACAGTAAAGCTTGCGAGCTCGATTGGTAAGTAAAGAAGGCGCCAAATTCCGGCGTCAGATATAGTAAGATACCAATCAAGTCCACCGCAAAACTTCAGGAAGCATGCACATCCCTGCATTCTGCATGCTTAATAAGTAATCAATTAGAGCTCGCGGTAGGGCAGACGTCTGGTATCAGGTACGCGTGAAAGGAGAGTGCTCTTATTGGACAGCCTTATAGGAACCGTTTGATGGACTATTTCGCTCCGCTCCGCTGCACTGGTTTGGATTGGACATCTGTACCAAAGCTTGGTGGCAACAACAGCCTGTAGGCTGACGAGTGTCACTATGTATGCAGGAAGGCCTCACGAGGTCTTCGAAAAGCTGCAGTCTCGGACGGTCGCGATCACTGACGGCCAATCATTCATGAAGTCCTCCTATGGTTCGTTGCTGATGGTCGGAAAGCGCTCGAGCCGTCGGGTGACTTCGGCCGCCTCATGACGCAGTAAGGCCCGAGCGACGGTTCGAGCAAACGGTTGTCTGTCATTCGCTCTCGATCTGTTGCGATGGCAGATAACCAGGCCTCGAGATACCTATCGGAAAACTTAGCTTGTGACCGATCTCTGTCCGTTTAGTGCTTCATTGCTGCGCACATCTGTGCGACAGACCTTCGTTTGAAGATGTTATGCAGCATACGTTCCGCGTGTTCTGCTAAAGAATACCAAAAGAGGGTATCCGTATACTCGGTATTGTCAAACGGACGCTCTATGGCTGCCCTTCTATTCGGGTTTCGCATGTGCGCTCGAGATCTCTCCGCGGTACGACGTATGGCCCAAACTTTTAGGTGCAGCTGGCTTATGCACGCCATCCTTTGCGCAGCATGACATGGCATCTTCATAAGGCTGGCGCTTGGCGTATCCAGGCGATCTCATGTCGCTCGGATCCGACGACCTAGGTTCTTTTCGCTCTCTCATACCACTTTCTACCCTTTCTCTCTCCTCACGTCCACGACGCCTTTTTTGACCAAGAGCTCGTCAAACCTGAACGACTGAGGCGGTGTGAGAAATGAGATACTGCAAGACTACCCGGAGCAGCCAGAAAAGGTGATATCCCCAGAATACGGCAGAAAACGGCTTCGAGAAGAAAAATTTCGGTGCTTTATTCGGTTAAATGCCAGGATACTTGTACAAAGAAACAGGGCGGCGGTCTCAATTACCGCATTGTCTGAAGACCGTCAGACATCTTGCCAGGAAGTTGGCATGTAGAAAGGCGTTTCTCCCAAAGAACCCTACCAGAGCCACGCCCAAGAGCTGACTTGCTGTCTTTGAGCAGCTCAGCTTCAGTTCATCACTCTTATTGGCATCGCAATTTTCGCGCTTGGTATCTATTTGCTTCAAGGGACACGATGTGAGCGCCCATGATAGCCACATTCCTCGACCTTTTGCGTGCGCACAGGCGGCGTGTGGATCAAGGTCGGTCTGTGAGTACTCCATGCTCCCTCTGAGCAGCCACCGAATTGATTGCCGATACTTGTACCGCTTGGGGCTAGGAGTGCGTTGAAGCCTGAAGCTTGGGGCTTGGCAGCCGCGAAGTCAACTTGATACTTAGTCGATCGCCTTTAAGCTCGATGTTGAAAGCCAGTCCTTCCTTAAGAGGCCCTCCGTTCCTTGGGCAAAAGCATAGAAGATCTGTGGTTCTCCCAATTACCGAATACCTACTTTATCTGGCAACTCATAAAGATGCAGATCATCAAGCTCGCCTACGCGCCTCTTCGCCGATCGGGTCCCGGCCAGCGAAGCCGGAAGCGATGCTCGCAATGGCTTGAGCACTTTAACAATCGAACTTAATGAAGCCACAGTGTGCTCGTGATGATTTCCTGTCAAAAAGCTTACCCCCACGCGTCTGCCCAAGATCCGCCACTCGGGCACAATTGCAGATATTGACAATCGTGATTAGTGGGATCTGACAGAACAAGTCCCGAAGCGTTGTGGGTATCGAAATTCGTGGCACCTCCTCTTCTCCCAGTCATCGGAAGTTAGAGAAAACACCGAAGATACCGCATACGGCGTGTCAGCTCTTGCTCTTGTTTGTCCCCCAGAGATGATCGTACCGAAGGTGTTCGCTTGCACGCCTACTTTCTCAGCCAACCCACTGACCGGGATGCAAAACATACAAGCAGAAATGCAAATGCCGCGGGATGCCTCGAATAATATTAACACGATAGTGCCGTAGTACGTATATCTGAGTGCGCAAGATCAGAGCAACGGAAGACTGGGTAATTAAGGATTAGCAGAGCTAGACAAGGGGCTATGAGTTCCTGGGACTTTTAGTGCGCTCATCTCTTGTTGGAACTGTTGAACATTTCCCAGTTGCTTAGCCAAGAAGGGCGACAGAGAATGCTCCACAACCTTCACTGAAACGAAGATGCTCAGTGCGGACTGTCAGCTGACGACAAGGGTCTGTCCCTCAACCAAAGGCCAGCCCCATATACTCATGCTTAGGCATTGACATGGGAAGAGCAGTTTCTGTTGTCCTGTCACTGTGAGGCTGTGAGCAATAATTTTTTTGGTGTCAAAAGAAGCGTCAAGGTCTTAGGTTGGTTCCTAGTTGCTGCCCAATTGGGGCCAATTGGAGGAGAAGGAGATAAAATCCTAAAGTAGTTTACTTTAGATTGACGGAAGAAAGATCGAAGGGGGAAGAGGAGGTCAAGGAAGCGAAAGGGTTTGATCGACGTGGAAACGGAAGCAATCAGCCAATCAGCCAATCCAGCCATCAGCCAATCATCTAATAGTAATCCTGGCATTAGTCGTAGCGAAGAAAAAGTAAGGAAGTAAAGAGTAAAGTAAAAAAAAGGTAAAGTAAAGTAAGGTAAGGTAATCCCTAGATTTTGGGGGCTGATATCGATTTGTAGCGCAGAATACTGCATTGATGGCTTGTCTCCCAACCTTGTAAAAGTAGGTAGGTACGAGTACCCCTGCAACTTCGTTACCATCGTTCCCAGCGTTCCCAGCGTTCCCCCAGTTCCCAGTTCCCTGGATTTCTTTAGTGCCTGGTGGTTGCCTCCCAAGGGCTCCAAGTACCGAACCCACGCCCAAATGTTAACGCGCGCCGTTGACAACGATGGCACCAGATGGCAATAGCTTCATGAAGATCTGCATGCAGTAAAACATTCGAGGGTTTCTTCTTCGTACCTGACCCATCGAAAGAGAAGCTACCATACTCCTTCCTCCGCGATTGTGACGGTGTACAACAATTACATCGGCCATGCTATAAGGCCAAGGCGGCCCCCCCCCCCCCCAAGTGACGGCAGTGATTTCAGGATCAATAAACGTTCTTTCCCCGCGCTCTGCCTCTGGTCCCACCTACGAAAACAATCCTTACCAACCTTACCATTATTGTACATATCGTCGGCTTCTCATCTTTGCCTTTCTGACCACCTCAGTAGCCGCCTGTCAGCCTACTTGGCCTTCGGCATTTCATCCCCCCTTCCGGATCGACTCGTCGCCACCCGCACATCCAAAGAGAGAAAGAGAAGCGAAAGTATTATCAGAGTAGTGGGGAACTCCACACAGCCTTCAGCTCACCGCTGCACCCATTTTCGCCATTTTTCCACATCAAAAAGGCGCGAAATCCACCATACCTTGTTGCATCAATGTTCCGATGAGTCCAAAGCTCCACTGCCGAAGCAATAACATCGGCCCATAGTCTTGACGAGGAATACCGAAAACTTTGGGGCACTGCGCGTGGTGGCATGTTGGATAGAGCTGATGGATTTGGTCGCTCATGAGGGTCGCAATCAAAGAGATGGATGGATCGGGTCCGGAACCCAAAAGACAGCGTCTAGATTACCATAAACCGCAATCCCACGGTCATGCCACTACTCTACCACCACCTCCTCACACGTATCAACCGCCACAGCAACCGCCTCCCCCTCCGTCACCTTACGATGTTGGCCCGCACGATAATAGAAATCTACCAGACCCCGGCGGTCCCAATCCCCATGCCTACGTGCAAGAACATTCCGGCACGAGCACTCCACGAGACCAGCGATTTCCGCCTGACCCAGGCTACTCTCACCGAGGTAGCGCTTCGGTCGTCCCTCGGTCCCCAGATGGCCACCATCAATATCCACCGGGACGAACTTTGAGTATCGTTGAGGGCCCGCACTATCCATCTCAGTATCCTGTTGAACCTAGCGGGTATCCGCCACACGAACCACCGCCGAACGGTAATGTCCACCACGGCGGTCTGCCAATGCACCCTTATGAGCAAGCCCATGGGTATCCTCCACCACACCACATTGAATTTTCCCAGTCGCCGGTCACTGCTGGTCCTCCATATGGAGCCGGAAACTATGTAGGTCACTTCGGTCAAGCAGGCGCAAGGCCTCTGAAGAAAGGAAATAGGGCAACGCAGGTACATCTACGACTTTCGCTCTTCAGAGTTTACCAGCTGACTTGTTAGGCATGTGATGTCTGTCGAACGAGGAAAGCAAAATGCGATGAAGGTAGACCCGAATGCGGCTTTTGCGTGGAGAATAACATGCGATGCAATTACCAGAGTGTGGCGCCGGCGAAGTCCGTTACCTTCCCTTTCTTTTCAATGCAACTGATGTACTAATGCTTTACAGGGCTGATCGTGCGAATCAGCAAATAATCGACCAGTTGTCGTCTCACAAAGAGGAGATGAAAGCCCTCAAAGAAGACTGGGGTGGAAGATTTGACAAACTCGAGCAGATGATCCTGGATATGGGCGGTGGACGAAATTTGACCATTGAAAGACGTGACACGAAGCCACCACAGCTCAAGTTGGAGAGCCCTCCGGGACCGGCGACTGGCCAATTACCTGGAGGCGTTGACAATCTATCTTCAGAACCCACCGCTAAGGATACGGCAATTGTTGACACAAGTCCTGGTGGCTCTTTAACAGAGTCGACAGGCAGTGATCCTGTTGCAGCACGGACCAACGAAATCTACATCGCACACAATACCGCAGCTCAGAAGTTGTTTCGTTGGCGGTCTATCAAACAATTACTGCGACAATGCAGTAAGATTGAATTTTCCGATCGTGCGGAAGCCTATGTTATGGAGTTTGAGATCAACAAGGGCGTAATGAGGATCTATGGCAAAGGCCGTCAGTTGCGAGACTCTCCATATGCGTCTCCTACAAGCGTAGCTGCAGCCAGCCCCACTCCCAGCAATGTCAGCGGTCCAGGGGACGAGACTTCGACGGCTAGTAGTCCGGCCTCTTCACCACCCGAGAGCTTCTGGGGTACCGCTTTCATGCCCACTCCCGTGGAGATTAGACCCACCAGCGATGTGGGGGGTCTCGGTCCAGATAACACTTTGAAGCTTGAGACGAGAACGATATCCCGGCTTCATCAAAGTTACCTTGACAATATCCATATCCTACATCCTATCCTGGATCAGCGTGAGTTGACCCGGATGGTTGAGCATTTCAAGCGTCGCCACAACCCACACCCACACGATACGAATTCATCCAAAGTTGGATTTGTAATCCCAGTCAACGCCAATCTCGATGCTGTACGAGACCCGCATGCGATTCTCAACAGAGCGCAGAAGCGAAAGCACTCTGACGGACAGTATTACGGCGCGTTGGGCGAGTCGAGCCTGGCGCCAAGTCCGATGAGCCCAAAAATTGTCTTGGAAAAGTCTCCAGAAACGGCTCTTACACTCCTCGTGATGGCCTTGGGAAAGATCTGTGAGTGTAGATCACCACTTCCAGGACCGGTTCCGGACAACATGAGAGACCCTATGAATCACACAGCGCATCCTTATTCGCCTTCCAGAGGTCAAACAGACTCGCCGCCGCCCCCGTATTCTCAACCGATGCGACATTCTCCATCTGCTTCATCCCACTCGACTGCCAGTACATCTGCACCTTCTCCAATGAGCGCTGGTCGAGTGGCTGGGTCAAGTCCAAGGTCTTCGGTCGGCGAGCTATCTTCCGGCGCCAGGAACGTCGATGTGATACCTGGGCTGGCTTATTATGCACAAGCCACGGACATCTTGGGCAACCTTACTGGCTTCCAGGAATTGATCTACGCGCAGTGCTGTCTACTTGCCGGTCTATACGCAGGTCAACTGGCGAACACCTTGGAGAGTTTGACTTGGATACAGACGGCTAGTAGAGTATGTCGTTTTCTTGTCTCAGAGTAAGTTTTGACGTGTGTAGCAATTGGTCCTGAAACTCACACTGGCACATTAGGCCATCCTTCACGAAAATGAGAGAAGCAAAAAAGAAGTAATCAAAATTGCGTTCTGGTCAAGCTTGCAATTGGAGAGGTAGATCCATCATTTATGGCACCCTGCAATCTGATCTGACCAATGACAGTGACATATTGGCCGAGCTTGATGTTCCTCCGAGCGGAATACAAAGCGTACTGACCCCTCCTGAATATCCAAAATCAATGGCCGATCACCCAATTGCTGTCTACGACGACCCGGGTAAAGCAAAGGTCATGACATATTATTGTTTCCAGCTCATGATGCGGAAGTCGCTCAACGACATTCAAACAGAGCTTTACAGTAAGTCTCGAAGAAACAACCTTGTTCTTTTGCCCGTTGATAAGACATTAACGACTGCTCAGAGGCCCCAAATTTTGAAAGGGTGACTCGTTCTGCCAGCCTGATCAACGCTTTCAATACCAACATATGGGAGTGGAGAAAGATGCTCCCTCAAGATCTGCAATGGGAAGACACCGAACCCCCAGCCCGGTACATCAATGACGCTCGTTTACGTGGAAAGTTCTATGGCGCCCAGTATATCATCCATCGACCTTTCCTACACGCTGCACTTGACTTTGACTTTACTGCTTCCGACGTTCAGTCCCCAAACCACGAAAATGTTGAAGTTTCTCAAAACGCACTCCATCAGCCCGTCCTGAGTCCTGACACCCAAGCGGGCACCATGGGACCACCAAAGCCCGTCTCTGATCCGGGATACCACCGTCGCACCGAAACCATCAGTTTCGCGGTCAAATGTATACGAGCCGCCGAAGAAAGTACTGTAGCTTTCGACGGGATCCTCGACCATAGGAGATTGGTAGTCACGAACATAATGGGTACTGCCCACGCCCAATTTGGAAATTTGCTCGTACTCTCAGCAGCATACAAATCCAAGACATTGGGTCAGTACGTGGAGCGTGGAAAGCTAAGCCATCTCTTTGATCGGACGATCAAGATGCTGAGTGACCTCGCCCCTATATCACAAACGCTGGCGAGAGACTCTTTTATACTACATTGGTTGCGGAAAGTGGTGTTTGAAGGCGCTGATACCTTGTCGACCTCCTTTTCATCCGAATGAAAGCTTCCAACCGCTTCAAACGACGGCATTGGCCATGCCGCTCATACCATTCGCAAATTTGGTCGGAAACCAGACGAAATCATCGAGACATCTCTTCGCGTGTCTACGATTACCAATCCTCAACATACCTCCATCGTCCATCGCAATTTATCATACCGGGCAGACCTTTTCATCAAATGCATTATTCACGCGGCGGCCTCTACATATCGAATCCAGCATATATCGCCATCGTTCTCGCAATAGATACCACTAACGCCGAACAGGCTTTGCAATCACGTTCACACACGCGTGCTACCTCCGCGCTGAAGCGGTCAAGCTGTCCCGCTCAGCCGACACATACATTCGTTTCATATGAATCCATGTCTGATCTACTATCATCTGTCTAATATCTCTGCTGCTTTCGATCCGGCGTTTCTGGGCGGCATCAGTGAGCGAAGCATACCATATACTCTCGGGGTCGGCTATCTGTCTGTCTGATCTAGACACCATCGTACTTATTGCGCGAGCATGCCATGGGACACAAAGCACACCATCTGCTGGGCGGGTTGGGCGGTTGCATTGCTAGCATTGGGCGAAGGAGGGGGCGTGGGGGCCGTGGATTACATGCATGCCTGTATGTATTCATGTACGTACGACGACTTAGTACAGTGGCTATGAAGCCACTTGAATGGTATGCATATGGTTCTCCATCCAAGACTGTGCAGTAATAGTCAGCATGAAGCCAAGTGTCCTTGCGGTTCCTACCACTTCGAGTGGCGTTGCGTTGGCCCAGTGGACCTACTCGTAGCCCCAATGACTCCATCGTCCACAGCTGTGCTTTGGGGGAAGCGTCGGATGTGGACTGGAGCGCAGCCACAGGGAAGAGTTCTACAAATGTACCGCTGACTTTTGATGGGCATTGTGAGGCCAGAGAGTCGCTCTCGGATGCCCCCCTATACCGGATGGAAAGCTGTAGCATGTGAGGTTTTCGATCTGCTCGGATGACGCCGGGCTGGACCGAAAGCCTCACTGCGGTAAGCGTTGATGGCTCTGGCTTGCGGGGGAAGTTTTGGTAATGAGGCTTGGATGCCTTGTCTTTTCTTGACTTTACGGAGAACTTGCTGTAAGGAGTTGACACCGCGTGCCGCTATGCAATACCAAGGCGTGTTGTACAAAGGGTATCTACCAACGCTACAAACGACCGCTACTCCATGGCTCGTGGCACTGTATGTAAACTGGCAGTGTACAATTTGTATCATCTCTGCAGGGCTACAGCGCCCACATTGCCGCTCCCATCGCCGCTGCAAACACCCATGTAGTCGATGCCGCAAGCAAGCTTCCAGAGCCTTTCTTATTGGCACTGCCAAGGTTGATCCCATCAGGTAAGCCCTGGTAGCCAAAGGTGAGGTTCTGCTTGATGGTAGTGTTGACGCACTGCCCGTTGGCGATGTCTAGGTTTGTGAGATCATCCTAGGATGGTTAGCTTTCGCAAAGACAGTAAAGAAGGAGGGCTAATCCTACAGGTACGACGAAGAACATGTACATGCTTGCTGGGACATTCTTGAATCCGCTCGTATCGTAGGGGAATCTATCACCGGGATCCGTATTCGTGGTGTTCCGGAGAAAGATGCATTGTACTTGGCCTGGGTAATCTGTTACCATGGCTGGGTAATCCCTCATAACATCGCTATTGCTCGTGTCCGCAATTAGAACGAACTTTCGTTGTGGGAAGGTCTGGAAGACCTTATCGAGTAAGAACTTGCGGATGCTCAATGTAGCGCTGACGTCGCTGAAGTTCAAAGGACGATCGTCGAAGGAGCCGCCAGGGTAATTCTTGTAGATGAAATCCATGTAATTGCGAGTCACTTGCTCAGGGGTGGTGGTCAGGTAATGGAACCAAAAATTCGGAAGGGTGCGCGACCAGTTGGCATAGATGTCAGGCATATTCATCCAGGGAGTGAAAGGCTTGGCAAAAGTGTTCAGGAGGCCCAAGGATGGTTCGTAGATCTGGGTAACGCGTAGGATGTCGTCAATGTCGGAAATGATCCCCAGACCTGTTGGAGGAACAAGGTAGGCAGTTGCATTTCCATTCACATCTCCCTCCGTGTAGACATTCAGGCGCTGGATCTCGCTTGTAGAGTTGCCAGCATCGAGCCCAGCGTCATTGATTTGGACAAAGCCGTCAAAGTCTCCCTCCGCATCTGTTGGAATTGGATACTTAATCTGTTGACTTCCGCCTTGTGGAGTCACGGCTCCGCCTCCGCCTTGTTCTCCAGAGGCCCCTGCAGTAGGTGCGGGCTGGAGATTGAAGGTCACATTCTGGTTGCTCTGCTGGATTATGAATATTTCAGCAGTCAGGTTTCGAGCCTGCGAAGCCTGGGATGGTGGAAGATCTTCAACGGAAGTGCCGACCAAGAATACGTTCGCAAGATCATCTAGTCTCTGTTCGGTGATATTAGGTTGCTTGAAGACGTTGCCGTGGAAGCGAAGATTCCAGCCTTGACCTGTCCAATTGGCATAGCCACTGGCCTTATCAGTATCTGACATGTGAGGGAGATATGCAGCATGGCTCACGGTATGTTCAGCACCTGTGTCGGCAGCGCTTTGACTTGAGTATCGTTGAGCCCCAAGCTACTCTGCACATCGGCCCCAGTAGGAAAACCCTGGAAGAAATTGGGCACGCCTGACGCGACGTATGAGGGTATGTCTGAACCCAAGCCGCTGAGTATGGAATTGACATCCCCGGCAAGATCACTGACCACGCCTCTCTTTTTGTATGTCTTGGTTGGATCCCAGCTGGCCGGCGATGGGGTGATCAACGGCCGCTCTTGGCCTACTTGGCCGGGCCGTGGGATGCTTCGACGGACCGCTGTTGCGGTAATGAGGGGGAGGAGGACGAGGAGTACGGTTGGAAGGGAAGTAATGATCATGGCCGCGGATCCTAGGTCCAGGTCTTAGGTATAGGGAAGTCCTTCTCCAGAGTAAACAACCCGCGTCTGTGGCTTCTCCTCAAGACAGAAAGGAAGGTGAGGAGGATAAAAGCTATGCTATGAATAATGCTTCATGCCCTGTACTCTATGGTCGCGAGATGGGAGAACTCTCCTCCAAACTAGACTTGGACGAGTCCTCCCTGTTCGCGCAAACAAAATGAAGCAATCGAAAACAAGGAATCCGTGCTTGGCAGCTTGGCTTGGCAGATTTCAGGGTCCCGATTAGAATGGAGAGCTACGCAGGCACGAAGCCAAGCGCAGTCTTCCCACCATTCCTCATAAGAAAGGAGAAACAATGGAACGCGTGCAACCAGGCAAACATCGTGCGACAATCGCGATCTTCTGGCAATGCGTCACCAATTGGGCACATTTGAGGCTGACAATCATTGATTAACGTCGCTACCGTCGTTCCCATATCCACAGTCGTAGAGACCCCCAGAGGATCTTTGCCCCTTCCACCACCCCATGCTTGGCCTACACCTCCTCCGAAAGTCCGCCATATCAAGTCGACGCCTCGCCGGCGCCCCAATCTCACCGTCGATACCCCTCTCGTAGTATTCCGAGGTGATACCCTCATAGAGCCAAAGCCCGAGTCCTCCCACAGAACGCCCAGCGGTCAAAATCCTCCCCAGCGTCCCAAAGACTGATACTGAGCCCAAATATCGCGACACGGTAGTTGGTATTTGCGAAAGAACTCGCAATCGCAGTAGATCTCGTCATCCAGCTCTTCAACTCGTTCGAGGCCATAATGAGATCACCTGCCGCGGTGATCTCATCCGCAAGGAGGGCTTAAACGGGCGTCGGAAATGTCCGATATTTGGGGGTTGTTAAGGAGGCGCGACATGATCCCGGCTATGTGCTAGGCAATTTGGGCTGTGGAGGGGAAGAGGGAGTCGACAATGATAGAAGGTGGTAGAAAGCGACGATGACAGAAAGAAACATGGGACGAAAGCATGGGAGCGAGGCATGAGCGCGTCTCCATTGTTTACCTCCTATTCTATATGGGGGTTAGTGGAGATAACTGCGCAAGTGGCTTGCAGTAGTCCCGCAGTAGCGTCTGCCATTCTAATCGACACCGATTTCAGACCCTAAAGTCGGCGTTTACACGCATCAGCATATCCTATGGACTCGACTCCCTCAGAGCCCAGGGCATATCCCGCCCGTTCTACCGAGGCCAGAATGGAACGTCTCACAGACGTCCAACTGACAGGCTGATTGGAAAGCTTGCTTTCTCTTACTCAAGATTGAAATCACAAAATGTTCGACAACCATAAACTACAGTTGACCAATTAGATCCTCAGAGTTCGTGATTTTGACGCTAAAACTCATCTTATCTCTTCAATCTCGAGCTAAACGCGCGTATATCTCAAAGAGAAAGCATTGTAAAATATTATCATTCCTTAATCGCTACATATTACAGATACAATAGAATTATACTTGTAGCCGTAGTTATACGCTTTTAAACAACGCTTTTAAATAACGCTTTTAGAAACTATATTCGATAGAGTAATTCTGAAGATATATGAAGAATAAGAAATTTACTTCTAGTCTTCGTAGATTATCGAGCTTGCGAGAAGAGCCACTTCGGTAGAAACCCTCGAAGGGCCCTCGAAGGATCAGAGGGATTTTAGAGAATCTCCCCCCCTGAGAATTAATAAGAATCATTCTAATTATTCGAGGACTGTCAGAGAGCTCTCCGAAGTATCAGACTGATTTAGTAATGAATTGTTGTGAGTAGTCTTCCAACGGTATCGACAAGCTTTCCACTACTATTGGGTAGCCCGTGCCCCAGCACATATTTGAGCTTCCTTGCCGGAGGAATTCACTAAAGTGCGCTAGGAAGAGTCATCTGGGCCTAAGGAGTGGCAGTGACAGGCCTCCGAAGACTTCGCTCTTCTCGAAAAGAGTTCCAGGACATGATCCCCTTCGTATAGCTCTCTGACGGGCGTGCCGCTGCCTCCCGCTCATTCACTTGCCCATCCATCTAAGTCTTCTTTATCTAGCTCCAGTCGTCTGCCACTACTTGTAAGGATCAAAGCCAGAGGAAAACCTGGAGGATTTCTTGGTATGCTGTATGATCGTTTTCGATTGACAAGAAAATAACAATTATGTTCTAGCCATGAGCCGTTTTCCCAAGAGACGGTATTCTTGGAATTGTGATGTGAAGCGATGATCTTGATATGGCCTTTGGCCACAGATATCTGATACACGGACAATTCGAACGAAGTTTACACATTTGCCTTTCCTTTGCCACGATCTCAATGCATCCTCGAGTCTCTATACTGCAAGCTTAGCAACACATTCAAGGCCTAGGATATGTCAATCATCTTTAGAATTTACGTTGCACGGTGGCGTTGCCATCGTGGGGAGTGGTGAAATTGTTCATCCTTGGGGCACAAGTCCACAGCCCAACGGACGGCCCATTGTCGCAACACTCAATATAGACTGCTCTTGCGTTAGGATAGTACGGAGCAAGCACGGCGGGAACTTCTGTCGACGGAGTAAGCCCCTATACCGCAAGCGCTCGGTAAATTGCAGGAGCCTTCAATTTCCGAGGCTTCAATTTTTCGTGGTCTTGTTCCTCAAGCGTTGAGTATCAGCACTAGAGCAGCTCAACCCCAGCGTCAGAACTGTAGACAGATACCAACACGACTGCTACGTTGCCTCAAGCTCGACCATGAAACCCCCGACGGTTTCCGAGCTTGGGATCGCGATCTACGACTCTAAATCCTTCGGCGGGCTTCTGGACGCGTTCTGAGTTCGAGGCCAAATGAGGTCTGGTCGAAAATGGCAGTGAGGGTATGCCTGGAATGTTACTGAGCGGCCTGAGCGGCATCGGAGGTGTCTGGGAAAGGGAAGAGCGAGTCAGCGCGCAGGTTGTCATGAGAGGAGACAGGATTTTGCTGAATAGCATCATTGACTCAGTCAAAAGGATTTTGTGACCGCTTGGGCCACTGGAAATATCTTGGGCCGTGTTCTAGATGGTAACCCTATCAGAGATTCTCTTATCAGTTTCAGTCAATGTTTGTGCCAGGGATCCACTTGCACGAAAACATGGCGTGCTTAATGGCTGGATTGGAACGAAGCTATTTAGCGGGGCAAGACTTGACTCTGACTATGAGGCCACAGTGTGTTGTAGGCTTGTAGCGTATGCCACCACGATTGAGAAGAGGATGTGACTTCTCGCTATGAGGCAACCGATTATTTTTGGGGTATGCCACCACCACCCTTATTTATTAGGGTGTAGATTCATGCTATGTAGTAAGACTGATTGGATCATATTTGTCCCAATTTCGGCAGAGCGCGTGAAGCTAGGCGAGGATCAACCCGTCGAGCCTGTGAGGCTGTGCCTGATTTTAAAAGCCTCAAACCACACCTCTAAGGTAGCCCTGTAGTCCTCTAGCCCTCTAGCCCCTAACCCTCTACTCCCAGCCAGTTCATCCAGAAGTTCATTGTTGTGCCTTCCCTTGCAAATCATGACCGACGCTGTTTCCAGGAACCCGCGCCTTCCTCGGCAATGGCGTGATCACAAGCGTCATCATAAGTAAGCATGAGCACCACCGAATATCTCCATCCAGCCAGCATTTAAAGAAAGGCGTCGCCACAAAGAGCCACGCACGTTAACACTCTTTGCCACGCTTAGAGCGAGAAAGGTGTTCTCACTTTAGGCGTGAGAAGACTCGCCATGGGCAATTGATCATCCTCCAATTGTCGAGTTGCAGCTGAGCTGCAGCTGCCAATGATCCTCAAGCCGGCAACGTTTCGAAGCAGCCCCCAACCGTCATGTCGGTAGCCGAACTTGAATTTCAAGATGACTACATGAATTCATAAATACGCGTAATTCATCCTCGTACAGCGAGAGGCAGCGCACACTCGATGGGTCTGGTCTCCTACTGCCGACCATCTCGGAACCGAGGGCACTGTCGAGAAAGATGTTGCGTGTGGCTGGACGTTCCTGAGCAACGAGGAAGAGTCAATCAAGGACGAATAGCTACAACCTACAGGAGCCAGTCCCTGGCCTCTAAGCGCTAGACCTGCCAATTTACTAGAAGCAGGTACAAAGCTGAATGTAAGGCGTGTCATTTAGAGTTCGGTCGCCGTGATTAGATTACTGGCAGCTGCGGATACGGCTCCTTTTCTCACCAATGACTATCAACACTATCCTTTGCGCCTACGCTTTTACACGCACTATGCCGCATGGTCAAGTCTTCCCGAGCTCTCAGGATTGTGAGAGTGAAAGGGATACGGGAGTACACTGTTTCACTTTGATTGCTCTCGCTTTCATTTGACTCCACTCAGGAAGGCAGGGAACTGTTTCTGGCCAATTTGATATGTCATAACTTTCTCCGACCACTGCTCCTCGGCATCTGAGCCTTGTGAGCATTCACATATGCACAATGTCATTAGCCCCGCTGTTTCGTCTCCATTCTCCTGAACAAGATTTCCTCTGCAGGTTTGAGTTGTGGATTCCCATTTTAGATGCTCACGGGTATGCACTGCAATCTGGTAGTGCCGGTATATATGCAAAGCTAATGCACGGGGTGCGTGCACGCTGGACCCACATCTATCAAGAATCGAATTGATACTGGCGGTCTTTGCAACGGATTCCTTCGGTATGCACTTATGTGGCATCTCCCTACGCCAATCAGCGGGATGGCCGCTCACCGCTGTCCATTACTCAGACCCCACGCACTCGAGAGATCCTCCCAATGCGACGATGCTCGCCAGGAATGAGATGTATCTGGGATCTCAGCAGATCCAATTTTCCGCTGATCCTTGCTCTACGGCATCACGGCTGCGTCAGGTGCAGGTGAGGGGAAAGAGTTGCGTGACAATCTTTCAGACCCTGTTCGGCCGACAGGAGCTGTGGGAGTTCCACTGGAGCTTATATAAGGGAAGCTTCAGGTAGCTCAGGATCACCCACATCTTGCTTGACCTTTTCTGCTGGCTCACATTCATCTCGACCGTTGTTACTAACAGAGCAGGAGAATCGTTAATCAAGATGCAACTAACAAGACTGGCATGGCTGGGAGGTTTCCTTAACTTGGCCTTTGGAGAGCCACAAGGTGAGTGGAAAAGTGATTCTCTGTCTTACCCTCAACGTGGAAGAATCGGATTTCAAAGAGATGTTCTGCTTTGAGCGGAACTCATCGATCGGAGCCAAATACTCTGTGTTCTTTGTGTCGATTTGTTTTCTTGGACGAGACTTAAGGCTAACATACTTGAAAGGTTACGGCTATGGTTATGGCGGCTTCTCATTCCCCAGTTTGAAAACTACGGGTACTGGGACCAGTCCGCCCACTCTCTCCACTGGTGTGAGTGGCACCGCTCCCGGTACCACTGTCCCATCAACATCTGCTCCTTACGGGAACTATTCATCGAGCTCCTACTTCCCTTCAGGCACCGCGCCGTTTTCCACTGGAAGTTCAAGCACCAGTGCCGACCCCAACACCACTACCATCAGTGGCAGTCCTACTCCATCCGCCAATGCCACATATGGTACAGTCAGCGGGGCTCCATACAAGACATCCAATTCTAGCATCTCAGGATACCCAACCTACTATCCTTCTCACGGGCCATATCCTCTCCCATCGTCTTTGTCGCGTTCTACTTCTTACCCATCGGGCACCATAGGCAGTGCTGTCTCTACCAAGGTCTCGGGTAACACAACAACCATCGCATCGACCGGAGACCCTTCAGCAAAGAAAACCATCGCATCCACCGGAGACCCATCTGCGAAGACCATATCAGCCAGTGGCACCGCCGGATCAACAGGCCTCGCCTCAGCGCCATCGTCCTTCGTCACGTACACCGCTCCTACGGGAATCCCTTCCGAGTACTACTTTCACCACAAGAAGCCCAAGCGTAGTGTAAGTCGCTTGTCGTTCTTCCATGAGCCGAAAGTGATGAGAGGTATACTGATGGAATTTACACAGGCTCACTACGGCGGCGGCTATGCCTACTACGCTTAAGGCCTACCCTGCAGTCCTCGATGATGCTTAGGCCTGACTTCGCAATAGTGATATTGAAGGGAATGCTTGTGGGTATGCAAATAGAGGTAGCGTCAACAACAGAAGCAACGAGTGATGGATATCAGTACACAGACATCATTGCATTGCGCTTTCTTTTCTCGTTCATGAGCATTGCAGGAGCAGAGCATACATGGCCACAGCACATCTGTTTTCTCTCATTGCAGACACCACTCTTTCATTATGCTGCTTTTTACACATCCAATTAATGTACCTTCGATTCTTCACGCAAAGCAACAATTTGATCAAGGACTAGACTTAGTTGAGGTAGTGCGCAATACACGGACTGTTTACGTTGATGGGTGCTTGATCATGCTTGGCAATGTGGAATCAAAATGTGACGTGTAGATGATTCCGCGTTTGAAAAGAAATACACCAAGTAGTGGAGTGGCTAATGGGAAGGTGATACGGCGAGGAAGCAAGGGCAAAGTGGTGGCTTACTGGCCAGCTGACAACGGTTACTTATGCGTCACAAGCAAAATGGAGTGACTTGTAGGATTCTATTGATCAGTCTAGGAGCAAATGCAAGCTTTTGTAAATGTACACGTTCCATCGAAAAGTCTGCCGAGAAGTGAAAGATGCTGTCGGAAAAGGCTGCCTGCTCGTGCATGCACACGGAGCGAAGGATGCAGAAGGGTTGTACATTGTGCATCCCTCTGCTAAGCCATTGGGAAAAAGGATTAGTCTGTGCCGTGAACGAGTCCGTTCCGTGAAGATGAAGAATGCTCTGGCAGCCATGATCGCTTCTCCGGTGGATGCAGACAGTGTAGGATGCTTCTCGTAACATAAAGACTAGCTAGTATTAAACATCGTCAAGGACCTGGTCCAGAAGTGAAATTGATGTGATCGTCGAGACTCGCTTCCTCTGGTCGAAGCATAAGCTTAGAGCAAGGGGTCATGATTGAACAGGCCGAAGTATTCGTGCAGAATTAGGAGTGGTGTAATCTTTCATGTATGCTTCCTTGGTCCAGACATTAGTACGGAGTACCCTGTGGTGGGTCTGTGGAACATGTAGAGGATTCTGTTGATGTTGATTGGATCTGAGCACAGAGAAGGCTTTCGTGGTTTACTGCAGCAGGTTAGCCCATGCGGGAAATTCATAAAGGCTATAGAATTACCTCCAAAGCAGCGGTGAAGCTCTTCGCTTGACTTCAAAACTCCAGGCGTGGATCAAGGTCCTTCAGCGGTAGAGGACGGACCATCACATCTCTGAGCGATTCCTCAACCAACTCATCGAGTCTGTCATGGGTATGTCTCTGTCAAAAATTCAGAGTTAGGATTGATTGTGCAAGGCTTTCCAGAATGAAAGAAAAAAAACTGGATTGACAGAGGAAACATGGACTGCGAGAAACGTACGTCAAACTTGCCCTCCCCATCGCAAGTAGGATTTCCAATTTCGAGCTTGTCCGTCTTGACACCCTTCAAAGCAATCAGGAAGTCCTTATCTCTAGTGCTCATTCTAACTTTGCGGCGTCCGCAGAAACCCAACTTGAGCTTTAGAATTTTGCCGTGTTGGCTCAGATGATCGAGGATCCATAGGAGGTCCTTGTCGTAAGTATAGCGACGCTGGTTCGTAGTCGTGCCTAAAACTCTGGAGTCAGCATGCCCAATGAAAGAGGCACTCCTCATAGCACAAAATTGAGTCGTGAAACAGCTCTGAGGAAAATGACTGGGGCAAACAACCTTCCCGTTTCAACTCAATAGGAAGGTATCTCTCTACTGAAATGGTATCATACCTGGGTTGCCCGACTGACTAGCGTCGTAGAAGAATACACCGACAGTTTGGATTAGGCTGATGTTCTTAGGTCCAATATCCGTCAAGAAGCGACGAACGTGGGTCCAACCGAGCTCATTCCATACAGGTCTACGCGAATTTGGGAGTCAGCATTGCTTATTTGAGGTAGGACATGGAGTTGCAAGACAGGTCTCGGGAGTAGAAAGGTCCTCTTGCCTCCGGAACTTGTCTTGCAACTCAATTCCAATACTAGATAGGAAGGGCCAGCTCTGAAATGAACGTACTCAAAGTAGGCTCCAGATTTGGTATGATTGTAACCAAAGACAAAGCGGTTTCCGCCATAGATGAACGCGCGAGCTTCGTTGTAGACGACTTTATTGACGCGAAGGAAAGCAGCTGAGTGGGCAAAGCCGCCGCGGTTCGTGAAGTCGATGGGCGCCTCTTTCTCGAAAACAAGGGCGTAGATCTTATCTAGATTAATACCTCGGGGTTAGCATTTCTTCTTCTAGACGAAAATTTGGGCACCGAAATCAGCCTTGGGAGTCGAGTGAGCTCTTCGATGCGAGGCTCGACCATTGTAGCTGCGAACGCGCTGCGTGTGGCAGTACTTGTAGTGTTACGCGATGGGGAAAGAAGCTCAAGAGGGAAGGACATACTGCGGATCTCTCCTGGAAGCTTCTCAAAACCAGCCTTTGTCTCATCATAAGATGAGTTCTTCTTGATGGCATTAGAGGGTACTAGTCTGAAACCAGGGGGCACGGCATCGAGGGCCCCGAAACCATAGGTCGCCACAGTTTTCGCAACCTGTGCCTCAGGCGAATCGACCTCACGCTCTGGCATCTTGTTGGTGGACGCTTCACTCATCGGGTGAGGAGGTGGTAAGCCGAGCATCTTGTTCCATTTCTGAACGGCTGCATAGATCCCTGGGTAGTAAGCCAGACACGATGAGTCTGGCGGCGGTGGGGAAACCTTCTTCTTAGCTTGAGCCTTGGGCTTTCCTCCAAGACGAGGCTTCTTGACGATGTGGCGATCTTCATCATCATCCTCACTCTTGCCTTCGTCCTCGCTGTCATGGTCATATTTACTCTTGGCATCATCGATGCCTTCATCGTCGCTGTCGAAGAGCAAGGTGCTTGAATCGACATACCCGGTTTTCAGACGGACTTGCTTTGCTGAACGCTTGGGCCTATCGCCGCGCGAACTGGGCATTGCAGTGGTGACGGCAGGGTTCTGTATTGAGAGTTAAAATTTTGACACGTAACCTGAAGGTCGGAGTAATCTACCTGTGGGACTTGCTTCTCCTTATTTACCTGAGGGCGAGGTTTCACAATAGGTGGGCGAGCGTTAGTATAACTGGAGCTTGCCATTGGCATGAAAGACGGAAGAGGTGGGTAAGTGGGGGGACCATTGGTGGCCATCTGCGATTTGTATGAGTATTCGTGTGATGAGCTCAAAATGTTGTGATTGGTCAACACAAGGATGATGGCTACCTCGTGCTACTACCGTACGGTGACGAGCGCGTTTGGTTCACAGTCAGCTCGAGGACAGTGGCTGCACCGAGGGACAGCTTGTGAGTCAGTCGCGAGGATGGATTCGATAAGGTTGGTGATAGACAGAGGTTGTGACTGGTAGAAGTGGATTGTGAAATTTCAAGGGTAGATGTTCCTAGTAGGAACGGGAAGTCGCACAACGCGGGTGCCGTTGGCGGCGGGGCCGAGGATGCTTAAACTGCCTTAAGGTATAAGGTACCTTACCTTCCTCTCCATCCTAAGCTTGGCATGCCACACCTAAAGTGATGAAGGCACCACTTTCTCCTACTTGGCTCTCGCGAAACGTGATGCATAGGCATCCATAACTTTTACATAGCCAATGACCAATAACCAAGAGAAAGGATGCGGCCATCGTCCACACTATCCTCAGATTCTTTTTCCATTTCATCATTATTTAACCATGACCATGGGGTAAAGGCTTCATGTGCAATTAGAACAAAGAAAAAAGATTGGCTTTGATTGAGTAGCAGTCGGATTTGACGACGCTACTCATCGTTCTTCTTTGTCAATTGAAAAGAGACATGAATTGCAAACGGCAGAGACAGAGACGACAAGCATGATAGACAAAAGCAGACAGATTCAACATTTGACGGTTTGAGAGACTTAACATGAATCGTATTCTTCCAGAGCTAGCCTCATTACATGGTAGGAGGAGACTTCATCTTTGTCGGGCTTTCTGATTCCCCCAAGGAGAGCGTGATGCACAACGAAACGGTGTGGGAGCATTCGGGCCCTTCAAGTGGCAATCCTGGGCAACCTTCAACGCAAGGTAACATAGGTCAGAACCGAACAAAGAGCTGGATAGGGGTCATTTCAATTGTATACCATGGTGGAGGAAGAATAAGACAGTATGCTCGTCTTGACAGGGTTGGCGATTCTATAGCTGTATGGCGGTATCGTGACTGGGCTTGCAATAGAGGCATGCATAGGGTGAAGGGGATATAGAGAGCCGGTAGGTCTGCAGCTCTAAGAAAGTAGTAACAACAACACGTCCAATCAGAAAATCTCATAATGTCCCTTGTAAGGTGGTGAGTTGGACCCAGGACATCTCAGCATAGCCCACATCAGAGAGCTTGCACTGTCCAAGTGAGTGCTGCAGCAGCCATAGAAGTCATCTCATCATCTTGGATTGTAGTTGTTTGTTGGACGAAAGCTTTGTGGGCACAGGATTTTAAGACAGGCACGATCACAAAATCGTCTTAGATCCCGCGAGATCCCGCCGCTAAGCATGAGGCCTACCTTCCAGTCCCCACTCATATACTTCAGGTTGATCATGAGGTGAAGCTTTGCATGCTCTGAAGCATCAGCTTGCACCATCAATGTTCAATATGAACATGTCTGTATGTACCAGATGTTGGTCTCGTACATTTTATGCTGCTGCCCGGAGGTCTCCATCTATCCAGTCCCTGGGCTCCCAGCAGTGGCAATGGCTGTCGAGGCGAGGCACGGCCTCTATGAGTTTGGAAGGTCAGCACAAGGTACCGTTTTTGTGGGAACTCCATGTATAATGATTCTGATGATGTCTAAGCTATTGGCTGCAAATCTGGAAGAAGCAGACCCTGCTGTTTATGAAATACTTCAAAGGGTACGCTATCATCCAAACGACAACCGCTTCCCACAATGGGCTCCAGAGGGATCCTCACTGACGCATGATATATAGGAGAAAAGACGGCAGAAACACTTCATCAACCTCATACCCTCCGAAAACTTCACTTCACAAGCAGTTCTCGATGCCTTGGGCAGTATCATGCAAAGTACGCCTCTTTAAAGTTATGCATAGGAGAAATGAGAGCTGAAAGGGATTCAACAAATAGACAAGTACTCGGAAGGGTACCCAGGGGCCCGATACTATGGCGGTAATGAGCACATAGACGAGTCAGAGAGACTTTGCCAACAAAGAGCTTTGGAGACGTTTGGCCTAAGCGAGGAAGAATGGGGAGTCAATGTGCAACGTACGCTCTTGAGCGGACTTGACGTGCGTGCCTTGCTAACGTGCGAATCAATAGCCCTCTCTGGATCACCCGCAAATCTTTATGCCTACTCTGCTCTTCTTAATTCGCATGATCGAATCATGGGTCTTGATCTCCCTCACGGCGGACATCTGTCTCACGGATACCAGACTCCCACCAAGAAGATATCCGCGATCTCAAAGTATTTCGAGACCCTACCTTATAGACTTGACGAGTCGACGGGTCTTATCGACTACCAGAAGCTCGAAGAGCTGGCGATGCTGTACCGCCCAAGAATCATCATCGCCGGTACTTCAGCGTATAGCAGACTTATCGAATATGCACAGATGAGAGAGATTGCAGAAAAGGTGGGGGCATATCTGCTTAGCGACATGGCTCATATATCAGGCCTTGTGGCCGGAGGTGTCATTCCTTCTCCATTCCCCCACTCAGACGTCGTCACTACTACTACCCACAAGTCGCTGAGAGGTCCGAGAGGGGCCATGATATTCTTCCGCAAGGGCGTCCGTAGACAGGATAAGAAAGGCCACCCAGAGATGTACGACCTCGAAGGTCCAATCAATGCTTCGGTCTTTCCAGGTCACCAGGGCGGGCCTCATAACCACACCATCACAGCTCTTTCAGTTGCTCTACATCAGGCGCAGAGCCGCGAGTTTAAGGACTATCAGAAAACCGTGTTGTTGAACGCAAAGGCTCTGGCCGAGCGCTTGGGCAATTCTAAGGAGAAGGGCGGCCTAGGATATAGTGTTGTCTCGGGAGGCACTGATAATCACTTGGTGCTCGTCGACCTCAAGAACAAAGGCGTAGATGGAGCCCGTGTAGAACGTGTGCTTGAGCTCGTGGGCGTTGCCAGCAACAAGAACACTGTACCGGGCGACAAGTCAGCTATGAAACCAGGCGGACTGCGAATGGGCTCACCTGCTATGACCACCCGAGGATTGTTGCCGGACGATTTTACAAGAGTTGCTGAAATTGTTGATCGTGCTGTAACAATAACGCAGCATCTGGACAAAAAGGCCAAGGACGAGTCTGAGGCGAAGGGACGGAAGAATCCTGGAAGCGTGAAAGCCTTCGTGGAATTCCTTGGTGATGGCAATGAAGTGCGGGAGGTTGTTGAGCTGAGGAGGGAAGTTGAAGAGTGGGTTGGCACTTTCTCACTGCCTTGGATTAAATGAGGATCTTAGAATTAGGCAAGCCCCCACTGCTTCTCGTGCTTTTGTCGCACTGCATTTAAGAACGTCTCCTGGGTTTTACCTCAACGGAACACCATTTCAGGAATACACAGCCTGACTTTTCCACATCTATCATTAAGTCTCCAAGCACTCGAGTCGTCTTGACGGTTCTGAAAAGTGTCTGTAACACCTAACGATAGCACCGAAGTAGTTGAGTCCCTTCAGTTCGATATCTAGCTACTCCACTCTCTGCTGAAAGGCGACCACACAGTGGTTTGATGTTCATTGGGCAGCATCAAAACATCAACTTCATACCCACCAAAAAGTTCTTCAATCGCCAGTATGCATTCCGCTCTACCTCTTCATGTGGTAGTAGTCCTCGTCTTCGTGGTGTTCGGCCTCGTTGCCACAACTCAGGCCCTTCCAATTCGGAATATGGGGCTCGCGTCATCCAACAGTATCGTTGAAGTCACCCGAGTACAAGCCAGGCACTGGTGGGATGGGCCTGGAATTCAGACCGCGACAATTCTCCTCTTAGTATTCGGTTTTTTCAGCGGTGCAGCGCTGATAGTACACTTATACCGACTCTACTCGTTTGTAGGTCTTACCCTTCCGTTCATCTATTCATAGTGGAGTCGTCCTGATAGCTGGCAGCGACGTACAAAGACAGAAGCGGCGGAGGAATTTGAGATGGCTTGAGGCTACGAACTTGCAGTCAGCTAAGGAACCAAGTGGCCTGTCTGAACACGGGCATACTGTCGACTCGCATTGACACAACGTCCACCTACTGCGCCTTCGTCCACAACATGTTACATTTCTACCAGTGAAGGCTACACCATCCATTCAACAACTGAATCAACCCGGAAGCTAAGCTCTTTTAGTACGTTAGACTTTGGTCAAGCTACAGAAGGTCAGCGGAGCTTGTCAGAAGATTGTTGTGCTATTGTTTGAGAAGAGGTTCTCAGAAATGCCCGCGTCTGTACTCTAAACCGACTTTCCCTATGAGGAGCTTCCAGGTCTTCACATTCCCCGAAAAAACGGATCATCGCTGACTTTGCTGACCTCGAGAACCTTCATGCCGCCATTCCATTTCTGTCCCGAAATCTTCCCCTTTCAATCGGCACATGTCCCATGTATACCAGCATCGGAGAGAAGGATTCGGTCAACAAAGAAACCATTCTCTCCCCCTCCATATTTGCGCTCCTTTCTACGCATTGTCCTCTTGTTGGAATACACAATCGCCATGTTCCGGCACAAAGGACTTTCTTTTTCAACCGAGGCCGACAAAGCATTGTGAGCCAGCATTGTCTTTCCTCTCCTTAAGAATCCCCCACGTCCCCGTCGTTGCATCCAACAACCCCCAGCTCTAAACTCTCCAGACTCCAACTTACCTCCCTCTCTCCCTCAATCCAGTTGCATACCAAGTCTCAGCAGACAAGCATCCAACCAAGAGAGACCTCCCCTGTGACAATGTCTGACTTCATCAACTCCGTCATCCTCACCACCAACACCCACCCCTATACTTTCGGCCTTGTCATTTTCATCCTAGCTCTTTTCGCCGCCTTTGCCCTCGTCGTCGTCAGCATGACAGGTCTCCACTATGAGTGCGACTGCGAAGAAAACAGCCCAATCTTCATCGACCAGGAGACCCGTCCGCTGCTCGACAGCCAAGACCCATTGAAGGACTATCCCTACGGGCGGTACGTAACGCGCACTGTCTCGGCTAAGCGAGCGAAAAAACAGTCGGTCAACCGGGCAATTTTGAGGCAGATGCTCGAGGTTGATTGGGCAGAATCCTCGTATGGAACGATTACTGCTGCGCCGAGGGTGGGGGAGAAGAGAAAGATGAGGGACGACGGGATGGGGAGGGGCAAGCGGATTAGGATGGAGGAGAGTTCCGAGGAGGATAGTGAATGGTAGGTAACTTGCTGGTGAGTCGAGCTGATGGTGGGAGTTGGAGTTGGTGGAGTGATGATGATGTGGAAGAGTTTTGCTGCTCAATTACACATCGAATTTTGGGAGATAGGAATCAATCTCAACTTGCTCTCTTTTGTGAACAAACCGATTTGCATTCCAACACTGACCGCTTCTCCTGCATTGCACTCATGAAACCCTAACAAAATGAACGTTTGTTCATCCTCGAAAATGTTGAAGACTTACGATCTGATATTTCGTCCCATTCTACATCATTGCATCAAGTATTTTCAAACCTTAGCACAAACTACCGCCATCTCCTGCCCCCTCTCGCCCATCTAACCCCCCACCAAACGCTCACGCTCCCGGCAGAAACCCAAGAACAGTCTCCCGATCGCCCCTATCAATCATCGCGAGCATCTCCTCGTCCACAAGCTCAGCACGCACCCGCGCCGGGCAAACGAACCAATAAAGGCCGGCGATGGCGTCCGCGTCGACGCCCGACATCAGGGACACCCAGTGCGCCGTCTTCGGCGCGCCCGCGAGGTGTGACGCCACGAAGACGGCGACCGCCGCGACGGACGGCGGAGCGTGGCCCGCGAGCGCGCACGCGACGTGGATCTTCTCGGCGAAGCGCTGGGAGACGGCGATCGTCTTCGAGCTGGAGGTGAAGTTGAGCCGGTAGCTGTAGGTTTCGCACATGGCTTTTACGGTCTGCAGGTCGGTGCTGGGGCGGTATTCGACCTCGCTCGTCACCCTCGCTCCCTCGTGGATATCCTCTTCAGGCACCTCTTCGTCGTCGTCGTCGTCGTCGTCCTCCGCCATAGTGTTTCCTTGGTGTTCGAGATTCGAGCTGACGGGGGATCTCGGAGCGCTGTCAGAGGATCGGGGGCTGTAGCCTGGCGATCCTGGAATATTGCCTCCGCCAATGTCTGGCCCCCAACCTTGATCGTCGTCATCCTCCGCTCCATGATAATACAGGCGGCCGAAATCCCGATTGACAGGGTTGAAAGTCCAAGCGTTGTCAGCGTTGTAGTTTGGCGATCCAGGACCGTCGTACTCACCACCATCTGACATGTCAAAGTGATCTTCTTCTATAATCCCATGCTCGAGGTACGGCCGAGGCTGTGCGGGAAAGAAGACATACCGACATACGGGGCACGAATTGTTGGCGGCGCCTGTGGGATCAAGCCAGGTGGCAATGCATCGGGAGCCTACCTTGTGGTCGCACGGGAGGCGCATTTCCCACTCGACGATGCCGCTCTCGTCACAAAGCGTGCCGCATTCTGTTAGACAGACGATGCATCGGTCGCTGCTGTTGGGCTCCACGCTGTTCTCGACTCTAAGCAGCTGGCTGAGGAACGCCGCTGCCATTGTGGGAAGTTGCAAGGTTCGTTGATGGCGAGGTCGAGTATTCAGTGTATGCTGGTCCCGAACCGTCAATTTGGAGAGGTGGGTTAGCGAAGGCTGGTCAGGGGTATGAGAAAGTGAAGGAAGATCAGTATGGGATGGGTGTGGATGGGTGTGGGTGCAAAGTGTTAATATATAAAGATTGGGTGTGGTCCTCGACAAAGAGCGCTTGAACATGGCATTGTGTCGATGAACCTGAAGCGTGGCTCTAGTTCTCTTTGTCGAGTACTGTGCTCTTAGCTCTTTGTGCGAGGCAGTCACGGTACAGCATTCCATGGAATAGTCCAGGGCCAACGAGTAGGGAATGTAGATGAGAGAGGTTTTTCACCTGTTATTTGGGATACTAACCAAAAATGCAGCCATTATTCAGCTTTCAGATTCCGCACAACCTTCTCCAACCATTTTCCAATTCGTGATATCTCATCCGCTCCTTTTTCTCCAGCTTGGTTCTCACCTGTATCACGCCTTACTTTCCGGCCAGGACGTCTGGCCAGCTTTACGTGAGCGTCAGTGATCTCAACGTTCTGATGTGCCTTCGACGCCTTTTCGCTCTGCTCATATGCTTCGCCGGCAACATCGACGGTGCATGTTGTGGCTAGGACGATGTAAAGAGCAAGGAATGTGCCGATGTCGTAGCATGTATACCTTCCAGGCGGCCCGTTCTCAGAATCGCATACATGAGTAGATGTGACCGAAGTATTGGATGCGGAACCCTGGGTGGTCGAGTTATCCATCTAGGAGACGAGATTAGCGTGAGTCTGGTGTTGCTTTGGTTCGATGGTTGAGACGCGATTGGTGAGTTTTAGAGATTGCACCCCTGTGGAAGAGTATGTGAAGAGGTTGCTGCTGAGGAAGAGAGGAATTATCGGCAAGTTTAAAATGTCGAAGAAGGATATGAAGACAAAACAAAAGCAACAAAGACGTGGTGCTCTTTCACTTGTAATATTTTTTTTATAAAGAACGTCTGAGTCACAAAACTTTCAGGCAACAATAGAACACACTGGTATTGTCAACACCTCTTTGTCAACACGAGTCGATACAAAACACGCTTCGGAAGCTTCAATCCAGACTTGACAGCTTCAGGCCTGCTTAGCTTTTATGAATTGTTCTCTGCGCCTCATCCGAATCCTTTGTAGGCCATTGACCATCCATATATCTCTAGTTTGCTTACATACCATACCCAGACTTCTTCAAACCCCGGACGATATGAGTTGTGTCTACAACGTAAACAACCCTGACCCCCGCAGAGCGCCAGACTTGGCCCCACGACCCACATTTGGCCTATGGGACGCAATATTCTTCCTTGACCAGCATGGTACGTCTTTGAGCCAAGCTGATGAGGTTATCTTTGGTCACTGGGATGACTATGCCGATCAGACCGTCAATATCTTACACCAGATGATCAAACAGACAGAGGGACTGGTATTCTCGGATGATGAGTACACAGATCTCGTGCGGACTTTTCAAGCTTTCCCACACCGACCCAATCTATCGAATGTGCTCAGAGACAACATGTATGACGAGCACGAGTGTATCGTAAAAATGCTGGCCGACCTGGCTCAGACACCCGTTCAGAAGGTCTGGCACATGTGGGCTACCAGAGTCGAGGAAGTTCATCAAGGTCTGGCCGAGAAAATGAACCGCTGCAAGCTACAGCTTGCTCAGCAGGGTGAGGGCGACTTTGGCCTGGCGAATCTGTCCCTGTCCTCCAATCTGCCAAAAGCAGAGAGTTTGACTGGTCTGTTGCATAAGATGCTGGACTCGGCCAGCGAACCCGATAACGCGCAGGATAACCCCGCAACTGGTTTGGAAGCTCACATGCAGCAAATGGGCTTCTAACAATAATGCTTCTCGTCTGGGATCAGTATTTGGACTGGCTATCAGGTGCTACATCTGCGCTGTGCCTTTGGAGCTGGACATCTGTACAAAGCGGAGAGGACGTTGGTAGTCATGGAAGCATCTCCTTCAAATCAATTGCTGAGAGAATCATCGAAGACCTGACGATTTCCACTGTTTGCATCAGGATGTCCAATCTTTGAATCAACACTGAGGAATCCCACTTTGTTGAATAAAATGTAGTCATGCAGGAGCACTTGGCCAGGAGGTAGGTAGAGTACCTCGGCAAGCGAGCTGTGAGCCTGTGATTCTGATTTTCCATGGATGTCTGGATTGCTTCCACTTTGATAGGAATGTACTTGGGGAGAATGTAGAAAGCGGGTTGAAATTGCAAAAGTTATTTTCTTGCCGATTGTAGTAGAGGAGAGAGCCGTTGAGTTGGGAGTCTTAGAGAACGCCGCAAAGCGTACCATCTTTTGCTGAAAGACTCAGGGATTGGTCTCGACCACTGGCACAGAGATTGGTCGCACTGGGGACCCAGGATTGGGAATTTGACACACAAGCCAGGGAAGGCGGAACACGGCCGGTCTCCTAACTCTTTTCCAGAAACATGCTTAAGCTCAAGCTTTACGGTTTGCATGGCTGATGGCGGACAACAGCGGTGGCATATGAATCGTCTCTTTCGTCACCAACAAGTTTTCCATCTCAGAGTTGACAAAGTATTGCGTCGGTGGTTGCGAGTCCTAGAACAATGGTAAAAGGCGTTTGTTGAAGATGAGTTGACAACGGCTTTGTCAACACTCCGTACAAAGGCTCTGTCAACACATCTTTGTGTACCTGTACAATAACACTTCTTGATTGCAAACCTGTGTGGGTCATCATTGATGACTTTATCAGCGTGCCAACTTTGTTTGCACACTGACCACCACCAAAATTCCAGCAGCTCACAGTTCAATGATGGGGTTCGAAATCACCAACGCAATGGACTGCCTCAGCATTTCAGACCCACGTAAAGTTCCCGCCTTGCCTGTGCGCCCTTCGTGGCTGGCGGAAGAATCAATGGACCGCGAAGCAGATATATCCAAGGCCGTCCAAGGAATCATGACCACCTGGAACGCGTGGACCGACTGCGTCGAAAAAGTTTTTCAGCACATGGGCAATCAAACAGCAGACCTTCAGGTAAGGAAGGCACTTTTCAGTCCTTTTTCGAGACTGCTCTTCGAGTCGCGAGACATGCTGGGGGAATAAGATCCCCATTTAACAGTCTTTCTACTCCTCAAACATGTCTTATTACTAAGTCCTTGTCTACGAATGGCAATGCTGACTCCTAATTGTGCTAGATCTCAGAAGATGAATACATTAACTTCGTCCGCATGTTTGCCTCTCACCCAGCGAGGCCTATCCGACGGCCGCTCGAGGATATAACGGAACACGAATATTGGTTTATAAGAACCATGCCGCATAGGTATCTCACCTACCTCCACGGTCTCTGGAACGCATATGCCGACAGGCTCGAGAAGACCTATATTGGCATGGCCGCTGAGCTTGGACGCTGCAATTTGCTGGCTTCTCCTTTTGAAACAGCGTCACCGAGAGGGCAGTTGCATGGCATTTTGCGCTCTATGTTGGGTCCGGGGAGACTGTTCCACGGGCTGGCAGATACGCGGACTCATGAGGTGGCAGCTGTTGGAGAGATGAGCCTACAAGGACGCTCGTTCACTCATTCAGACCAGCTGGTGTCTGGCCTAGAGACCACGGGTCTTCATGGAGCACCGGTCACCTACATGAAAGGTGCGGAGGAGCTGGTCGTAGGGTTAAAGAATATGAATATCGAGGCAGACATCTCTTGAATAGACTGTGACTTGCCATGAGAGGGTAATCATCGGAGCAAGCCCACTAGCGAATTCCATACTTCCGTAAGAACGGAATGGGAAAGGGTTAGCTGACACGCTTAACTGCGCAAGCCGCAACATAGATATTACGGAGATTGCTTAAGAAATTTCATATTAAAATTGGTAACTCGAGGAATAGCGTAGCAAGCGCCTAGTGATCAGCGTAAATGGAGTCTGAGGAAATCATCCGAAACATCGTGTTTCGCCTACGTACAACTCATGTGGTTTCGTATCCCAGTGTTCACGCAGACCTTGGGATTCTGAGTGCCAGACTAGTCAACCTCCTAATCTCACAGCCCGTTGAAGACATAGAAGGCAGGAAGCTGGTCTTCCGAGTACAGATGCGTCATTGGACCCATTGATTTTCGGAAGATTTGGGTAGCAGACTGATGCCAGTCGAGGGAGCGCTCTGCTCGCAGCCTTAGGGGGTGTCCCTTTTTGGCTCCAAAGGCTGTTGCGGAATTGTCAAAACTTGAGCATCAGCCCCGGAGTATGTGCATCAAGGCTACTGGAACAGGCTGTACAATCTTGAATCCCATTTTTAGAAGTCCGAGTTAAGTGGGGAAATGGTGGTTCGGCCGTAAGCTTCACGGTCTCAGCGCCTTCACTTCTGAATGCTCTTGATGCTGTGTAGTTCATTGGGTTTCAGCTTTCACGACGGTCCGGAAGGATCCGTCTTTTACACCCTCCCAATAAGGATCTGTGGCAGGATTTCCCCAAATTCAGTGTCTCACTCATAGCAAGATTTGCCACGGTGGTCTGTCAAGCCATGCTTTCGAATGGGCGCCATCAATCTCGTACAAGAGATGGAGTTTTGATCCCACCGAGCTCCAAGAGATGTGGTCGGCTGATGGAGTGTTTCAAGTTGTGTGTATGTAGGTAGTATGTATGATCCTGCATACGTTGGCGGTAGGTACCGTTCCTGCGGCTCCGCTACAGCATGCACAACATGATACATGGTACATGATACATGGGGACTTGGCTTTAGCTGCCTTTAGGGAAAAGGATGCGCAGCCAGTCAGACGGAGTAATCCAAGGCAAGGATAAGCGGAATTGAGGGGTAGCTTGCATAAGGAAGGGCATAAGCCGTTTTCCCCTTGTTCGGCAGGTAGTAGTACTAGCGATAAGGTCCTACACTAGTATTAAGCTAATGAATGTACTTTATGCACGGCCGTAAAGTACAAAGTGGAAAAAAAAAAGGTTAAAAACCAAAAAACCAATTGACTGGCCCGTGACTGGTGATCCGATAGCGAGGAAAGAATCCTTCCTTCCTTTCGATATTGATAAATGCTAATCTTCCCTCTTTTCGTGTGTGGCGTGTGGTGGGGAGAACATGTGAACAGAAGCCTGGCCTCCTGCGCTGCTGGGTATTGGGCCATGAAAGAAAAAGTGGGAAGAGGTGGACGGCGGGTCCAGACGTGTTTCTCTCTTATTCGCTCGCCTCAACCCAGACTCCACAAGACCCTCCCTCCCCATTCAGCGACTGACCCTACCCTCCCCCCGCCCCCTTTACCGGGCAACACCTTGCCATCCACTCACAGCCTTGATGGAATTTCACGCTTTCTGATAGTTGACATGCTCAGATCAAGCTGTCAAGAGGCTGATGGTTAAGATGAAACCTGGAGAGCAGAGAGAGCTAAAGATTATCTGCGCCTGCTTCCGGAATCTCCCATTTCCCCGTGAGGCAGAGCGCAACGGTTAGGCCAGGAATACACTCGCATACCCATGGGAACCAGAGCGGGATCTAAGGGTAACCACTATCGCAAAAAAATGAAATCAGGCCAATCAATCCACGGTACGTTGCTCCACTCCAAGACCCTATCAACATGCTGCAATCGCCGAAGCTGACATCACCGCACCGGACGCGGAGATCTAAGCATCAGGGCACAGATGTTTCAAATGCTATTTTTCCAAGAAGATACGCTTCGAGACGAGACATATGCACAGCATTGTGCGGCGGGATGCGGTGTGAGCTTAATTGCGCGGCGTCGGCGCCCCTCCTTGCCTATGCAGATCGCCGTTGTACTTTGAAAAGGTTGTCTACTACTCTACCCTACTTTATTTCTCAATACAGGAATATCTAAGGGGCTGGGAAGGAGAGGAGTCAGCAAAGGTCATGCATAATAACTCCGATGGTCGGAAGAATCTGCCTATGCCATGAAAATCTTTGGTTCCCTCTTCCAAGGCAAGATCAGCAGGCTCGTTATCGGGGCAATTATTGGTTTGAAATCTGGGAATACTCAGGTAATAAGGATTCTGTTTTGGTGAAGGATGTGTGACATGTGGTTTGCTACTGCTACCGTAAGTGTGTAAATTATGCCACGTTTGGGTTCACCGCCAAAAGATAGAAGCGCCGCACCTCGAAATTCCTGTGAGTGGGCTGATGCGTTGTCAAAAGCCACGAAGAGCTGACGGCCTATCAAATCGCTCATCCCGGTTCTCTTCTCCACACACCACCCGCGGATCGAAACGTCAAAGTCTAGTCCTCTTCCAGCTCTAGTTCGCCGTTCCCCCAGACATTCTTCTGGCATGTCCTATCACGTCTTCTCTCCTAGCCTCGAACCTCCCATCTTTCAGCAAACTGGGACATCCGAGGGCACCACACCCTCCTTTTTTTTCCCTTTCATCTTTCCTCGTCTCACAGGCGCTGTGCCTCATTCATTCATTCATTCAGTCAGTCAGTCGTTTGCCTGAATCCCCTTGATTAGTCGGACAGCTAATCACGTGGGGGATTTACGTGTCTCGGCTCGCTTGGTTGAATGGGAACTGGGTGTCCTGATAGTCATAGTCATCATTGCCACGGGGCTTATGAAAACCGAAAACCCAGGATCGCTGAGAATTTGCATCGTATAACTAAAGGGAAGTCGCCGTAGATGCACGATAATTGCAATGGCTCGGAAAGGAAGGCCCATCAAAATGGGTGGATCCGCCAGTTAGATTATAGCTCAACTGCTCTCCCGAGTCCCGAGCGTCTACACTGACCCTTTCTAATTTCCAAATTGCACAATGCGTGCATGCAAATAACACTCTCAACCTGGGACGAATTGAAGTTGCCTTATCGTCGCGATCGCGAATGCATGAACTGTTTTCTTCTTACAGGCATCTCAAGTCCAAGGGGGGTTTTTTCTCTTTTTTTTTCCCTTTTTTCTTTTTCGGGTTGGGAGATTTTTTCAATTCGAGCCGAGCGGACGATCGTAGGTAGGTGAATATGCTCCCACAAACCTTGTGATCTTCACGGTTCCAGTACAGTAGTGGACCAAGCGTGTTCCGGGCCGACCAATTGGGCTGACTCAAGCCCGCGTATCAAGAGTCACCCTTGGGATGTCGATCCAAATTCGCAGACAAGGGTAAGAAGGGGGTTTTGTGGGAAAGGATAGGACAGTTGAAAAAGAGAGTTTCGCTTGCCTGCATGTGCAGGCCCCTAAAAGCGGAAGAGACAGCTTTCTCTCTCGATATTGAACACGGACCGACCATTAGAGTCCTCAGACTGTTAGACCCATACTACACTAATCCCTGGCTTTTTTTTCTTCTCTTACTCCCGCCGGCCATTCTTCTTCCCTCGATCAATGGTGTAAATTAGTACAGTAGATCAGTTATGATTATTATGATTATTATGATTTTTATTACTATTGATATTGCAATTGTTGGCAGGACTTGATTACTGTTAATAACAATGCAATTTGCCCCAACTCCCACAAACTATTATACCCATTCAAACTATCATTTTGATTGAGACCTGGCACTGACTTGATAAGACCAGCCTTTTCCCTGTAGTTCGCCCCGAGCCGTTGAGTTGCATCAAAAAGAGCCCGTCTCCCGCTCTCTTGCATGACTACTGCTTTTTCAACGGTCACCACCTTCGTCTGTCTATCAGTCTTCCTACCACAGCCCAATTCACAATTCTGCCTCTGAATTGCAACCGCGTGTCCTTGTTCTCATTAACATTATTCGCTCCCGGCCAATTGGCTGCCCAACAAGACACGTATCGCACAGAGCGCAACATAAGTCCCAAGATTGCCCTCGCGCATATCCAGAGCGCATTTCTCCCAGATCTGATCTACTTCATTGGACCTGGACGCCTCCAACGCATTATAAACCGAGATCCCCATCATTCGCTTTTGCTCTCATCCGGGATATATTAGCAGCAGACATCATCCGAGATTTGGTTGCTGGTCACGGGTGTAAGGTATCCTATCATCACGGCGGACTTCCCAGACGCCGAAGCAACTAGCTTACACGCTAACAGCGCACTCCCAGCCTCCGCCGTCTTGTGCCTCTCACAGAATCCCCCTCCCTTCCCTGAGCCTGGGAAGTGGGCAGAGCTTTGTTCAGCGCTGCACTTCTTGCATGCACCTTTCACGAGCCAGGAGGTACGTATGTACGACGGAAGTCATGCAAACATCATTCCTTTCATCCTCATGCCCTACGTTTTGCGCGATCTTGTAGCGCTAACCTGAGCTTCTACAGCTGCGGAGACGTCAACTTTTCCAAACCCCCCCCCCAAGACAACTTTACTAGTCAACGAAACTCTACGAGCATAACGGCCATCTACACGATCTTTGTTCCTCAAAACACCAGTACCTCATAGACGCGTGTTCGAAGCGCTTTTGCACTGAAACCTTCCTCTTTCCGCCTTATCCAGCACGCTACAGCGCACAGCGATCCACTTGCATTTACCTGCATCAAAGCAAGCAAACAACCTCAAAGCCCCCCCCTTAACGACCTGAAACGAGTGACACGCCTTTGATGTCTTGATACAGCGCTGCAGTACTTCTTCAGGCACATCCGCACCTTAGTCGAAGCGCAGAATCATCTGCCACAATCCTCTGTACATCAGCCTGACCCGCCTTGCATACCCATATCCCACCTGGATTCTTACCACACCCATTGGCAGTGCTCTACATACCCAATCACACATTTGATAGATCTCCTATTCGAGACACCCTCGCCTTAGACGCCGTTCATATAGGTCACCTGCCAAGCAATTGGATTGCTTCAACTACCGAGACGACGACAACGCGTGTACTATTATCGGAGCCTCTTGATCCTCTCGAGTCTCGGAGGGAAAAGCCATATACAAACTCTACCGTGACGAGCTGCGCTTTTCCCCTTACGAAGCCAGCAGTCGCAAGCGAAGACTACTGTCTGGAATTGCCGTACCCATCTCCGTCGCAGTCTTGAGCAATAGAATCTCCAAAAGGTCAATCAGGCCATTGATGATCAATACCGAAAAACTGGAGCTCCCATCGATATCCCAGGTTCAAAACCGTGGCCCTGTTGACAGTCCGTGGCACAGTTCAAATTATTCCCGTCCAAAGCTCCCCAGTGATCGCCTGCCAGATCTGCACCTACCTCAGTCCTACACGTCAACAACCGCCCGGGTCGGAGGTTCAGAGCCTTTGTCAAGCGCTCACGGCATCCAATACTCTACCACCCACGCAGGCTCGTACTCTGACAACAACAGTGGGATCGGCCTAAAGACGCCGTCGCCTTCACCAACTTCTCTGTGCTCAGCGGCTCCGATCCACGGACTGCCAGAGGATTCTGAAGGGCGCTCGGATTATACGCAGTCAAGTCATTATAACCAGCCTACCGGTCACTATCAGCCCGTAATGAACCAGCAGCACCAATACCTCGAGTCGCAACAGCCTCAGATGTCGGGAGGACAACCGTACGCACCTCACTCCACCACTGCAAGCGGTATGACCCCATATTCCAGCTATGCACAACAGCCGCCACCGTTGCAACCAGGACCTGGCAGTTATGCGCAATCTCCAGGCTACGGCCAGTATGGCTACCCCAACAGCATAACCTCTCCATCAGGCCCTGGCCACCCAGTGTCCTCTTCTATGGCTGGGCAGATGAATTCGGGACTGCTACCCTTACCAGGTATTCCCAACAGTTCTTGACCAAACTGGCGATTCTTTGGCTAACCAAAACAGCGATGGGAGCTGGCGGACCTGCACAGCATACGTACGTGGGAGCGCCCACTGGCCCTCCTCCAAACTACCCTCCACAAAATCCGGATACAACTGGCCAAGTGGCTCCCTCAGGTATGAAGCCCAGGGTAACTGCAACTCTGTGGGAGGACGAGGGATGCATGTGCTTTCAAGTCGAAGCTAAGGGTGTGTGCGTTGCTCGGAGAGATGGTAAGGCCCATTGCATGCAGCTTGCATCATGCACTTTGACTAGATGCATCACAGCTCAAGCACACTGGACTAATGCGACTGACAGATAATCATATGATCAATGGCACAAAGCTCCTCAATGTGGCGGGAATGACTCGAGGTCGACGAGATGGAATACTCAAAAGCGAAAAGACCCGACATGTGGTTAAGATCGGTCCAATGCATCTCAAGGGTGTCTGGTATGAAACTGGAGCTTTTTGGATGTGTTCTTGACGCTAATTCAGATACAGGATTCCTTTCGACCGGGCCCTAGACTTTGCCAACAAGGAAAAGATCACAGAGTCGTTGTATCCTTTGTTTGTGCATAACATTGGGGCTCTTCTATACCATCCCACAAATCAAAGCAGGACGAATGCAGTGATGGCTGCAGCTGATCGTCGAAGACTGGAAACATCGAAGGCACAAGGTGGGGGAGTGGGTCATCCAGGCTCGCAAGCTCCATCTTTGCACCACCACCATTCAATGGGCAGCTCTATGAACTCCCAACAACCTCACTCGATTGCTCCTCATCCAGGCGCAGGGAGACCGGGCTTGGATAGAGCTCACACCTTTCCTACTCCTCCAACTAGCGCATCAAGCACCAGCATGGGACTAAGCAACCAGGGTTCCTATGGTTGGGAAGGACAGAGCATCCCCGGGAATGCTCAACCCTTAATGCTCGACAGTCACCCACACTCAACGCCGGCTACGCCAGCAACAACCCCCCCAGGTGCTTCGATGCCGACTTTGCAACCGTATCAAAGTCATCAATCATACGATAATAACCGACCAATGTACTCCTCAGCTGCCCCGCAGCAAGGTCAATATGCAACGCAACATCAACAGCAGGGCATGTCACATGGTGCGCCCTTGTCATCAAGTTCTTACGGGAAACAAGATATGGGACCCCCTGCAACACGCGCGCCAGGATCAAAGGCAGAGAGCGAACACGGTGACTCAAAGAACGACATTTACGGCCACAGCCAGGGAACTGATCGGGTGGGCCACGAGGAAGCAGAGCATGAGCCGGAGGGCGAGTACTCGCACGATAATAGCGCTTACGCTCCCCACCGCGGTCAATACAATCATTACAATTCAGCCTCGCATATGGGCTCCTTGCATGGAGAACATGCCCAAGCTCCTTCTGACATTAATGGGTCTCAATCCCATCAGAACGGTTCCGGTCGATCAACACCCCGTACATCCAATGGCAGCCAACAACAGTGGTCTGCCGCCGGATATCATACCCCGCCTCGCGCTGCGCCATCGGGCAACCTCTACAATCCAATGAGTGATACTCGCGGTACAGTGACGAACGGCAATAACGGTGCAGAACACTACTCGACGGCACCGCTTCATCCATACGCTCCCACACAGGCCAATGGTGTCAACTCATCTAATAAGCGAATGCGCGAGGATGAAGAGTATACTTCTCGACCTGAAAGTCGCAATGATGACATGGAATCCATGAAACGTCGGAAGATGGGCCGAGAGGGCAGTGGGGCTGGCAAAATCGCCAGCACCTCGTACGAAAGCGATGTAAAGCCCGTCAGCGCCAATCGACCTCGAAGCATTGCAACTCCACGCGCTCATCGGTGAGCCAAGGAATCACGACTCTGGACACTCATATTAGCGCAGGACGAAGTGCGAGGTCAGATCGATAAAGACTTGGCCAATCCGACTAATCTTGACGCTCAATGATCAGCTGTATTCTGGACCATCTACGAACCACTCTTGCATACAAATCTCTCTAATGTCTTTTCTGTGGCATGACCAATCGCCACGCCAAAGACACATCCGTCATCTCATGTTCCTCTATGACCTCTACTCAAGCTTCCCAGAAGCCCCGTTACGACTCCATTTCTACCATATCTTACTCCACCAATTATTTACGACATAACGACACGAGCTTCACTTCTTCATGAACCCATTTGTCAATACCCCGCGCAAGAGAGGTGGGCTTTACGATTACGATTTTCTTTACGATGGATATGTGTGAAAGCAGCGGTATTATGACGGCAATACAGTGTTTAATTCAACCAAAAAAGCCTGTGATGGACCTAGGCCGGGGAGATGAGCAGCTGGATAGTGTTAGCATTTTTGGCTTGCGAGAGTATTCCGATCTGATATTGGCAAACTCTAGGGTAGCATGACAATGGAAGACGGTTGGCTCGCATATTTGAATCGCCCTTTCGCATGTCACCAGTTTCCCCGAAAAGGGCAATCGAGTGTGGGATCGAGTAAGTCCGATTGTACATCTGTACCCATGCTCGCATGACATTGTCCAGATGGCCCTAGGAGCTCGCAATGATAAACTGGAGATCTTTGGTGAAACAGCCAGGTTGGGGTTGGGGCGTAGAGGCTACTCTACCACTACTACTGCTGTCAGACCTGTAGATTACGGATCCTTAGCCGGCGAAGCAGGACTAATGCACAGTGCCATAGTCATCTGCAGCGCATATGTACTGCACAATTGAGGCACGTTCATGATTCAGTCTAACCAGCCGCGGGTCTGTCCCTCTATCCTCTATCCTCCGAACATATCCGAATGAAGTAGTTTGCGAGTTAGCCGCTCCAATGTTTTTACCTCTCCTGACTCCTCCACGCACCTGCATGTTTCTGCGCTTCGCATGTAAACTGTATTCAACAACCCGAAGATCCGAAGAAGATTATCTGATGACTTGATGACAGATGCTGTAGCGTGTAGCACTAGCAACGAAGAATAATAGGAAGCCAGCATCTACGGGGACTGATCTTCGACGCATGTAAAGACCCAGTGACGGGGATCCACAAGATTGACAACACGAGAACCGAAGCTGGATCTGGCAGTCATTGTCTCTGCTCTTCTATCCGCACCAGCCAATTTTCAGTCTGCAAACTGCAGGAACGCCCACCACGCCACGCCCAAACTATCGCGTCTGAAACAGGATTCTGCACTGACCACCAGTATCATCTTGTCATGCAATATCGGACATCGGACTCTGACTGAAGCTGCGAGCTTCCAGCTCGCCACTCGCCACCCGCCACTCGTCATTTTGACAGGGTCTGTCTCTGTTTGCCAAGGCACCGCCAACACCTGCCTCGCCTCGCCCACGCGCGCCCTCCCCAGACAGACCACCCCACTCCCGAATCTCCTACGCTCAACAATGCCCAGCCCCCACCCCCCACATACCCCCTGCCCCGGAACCTCTCCGCAAGACCTTCGACCCTTGGAACTCCTCCTCCACCGGCCATCAGCGGGCAGACAACCGTCTCGCAGGCAGCACGTCATGGCGCGCCTCTCGCACTTTGAAATTAGGACACCAGTTCCGCGCCGGCGAAGGGGGAGGGCAGAGGGTCTTTGATACCGTGGGGGCCGGGTCGAAGGATTTTGGCCGGGATGGCAGGACCGAGAATGGGGGGGTGGGAGAAGGGCGCGCCGGGATTGAGACCGAAGGGGTGGAGAGATGTGGGCTTGATGGTCAGTCAGGGGAGCCAGGCGGAGTTGGGGACGCAGGAGAGGGAGAAGCGGAAGAGGAAGAGGGAGGACCCGGAGTCTTTGCTCGACGAACCGGAAGAACCCACGACGCCGGAGAAAGAGAAGGAGAGAGGTATCTTCACCGGCCTCTGCATCTACATCAACGGCTCCACCGCCCCTGCGATCGGCGACCACAAACTCAAGCACCTCCTCGCCGAACACGGGGCCCATATCTCAATCGCCCTCGGCCGGCGTAGCGTCACGCACGTTATAGTGGGCAAGCCGAACGACGGCAGAGGGGGAGGTGCAGGAGGTGGATTGTCTGGGAGTAAGATCCAAAAGGAGATACAGAGGGTAAGAGGGAAGGGGGTGAAGTTTGTAGGCGTGGAGTGGGTGACGGAGAGTGTGAAGGCTGGGAAGAGGCTGGCGGAGGCGAGGTTTCAGGGGGTAAGTATCGCGCCGCGGGGGGTGGGGAGTGTTTATGGGCTGTTCAAGAAGAAGGAGGAGGAAGATGCTGAGAATGCAGATACTGAGAACGAGGGAACGAAGACAGAGGTCGGTGATGAGGGTAAGGAAAAGGGCGGATGATAGGCCATTGGATTTACGGCTCATGGGAGATGATGGTATGAAGGGTAAGGGGACTACGGTATGCATATTAAGGCAACGGTGCATCGAGCCATGGCGTTGGGCTTAAAAGGTGTCTGTTTGATTGTTACTTCTGAGATACCATGCTTGCTATGTATGCTACACCGAAGACACCGTGCAAAACTCCCATCCGGAACCTTTCCCGTCACGATCTTGGCCAAACAGCCACCTGCAACAAATAATGAAGAGGCCCACAGCGACAACGAGGAGGCCGGCGCAGTCCATCCGCAACGAAACCGAGACACCCATTCCCTCTGTCCTTCGTTCCCCGATCCATCGACCTCGCCTTCCCCCACCCTTTCTTTCCCAGCCTTGGATTTTGTCTTCTTCCACCCTTTCCCAGCCTCGGACCTCTCCCCCAGCCTTCCGCTGATTTTGTCTTCTTCCAAATAGTGTTCGCGGGCCTATTTACCGCTTTCTCTGGCGTACGCGGGCCCACCTACCGCTTTCTCTGGCGTACGCGGGCCCACCTACCGCTTTCTCTGGCGTACGCGGGCCCACCTACCGCTTTCTCTGGCATCAAGCTCGGCCTATCCGTCGCGCTTGCTGTCTGTTCCATCGCCGATCAAATCTCCTCTGGAGGCGCATCGTTCAATCGTCGATTAGAGCGACGGCGTTGGGGATGATGGCGCGGGGATACCGCATTCGGGAATGCCCCCTATGGGCCCCGTCGTCGACTTTCTTGTCCTCCAACCCTGCCTACTGAAGCATCAAGCATATCATCTATCCACGATCATCCGTCCTGTTTTGTGCTGAGTGAAAAACATGGAACCATACTCGATCGTCTCCGTACTTCGAACCTCCGACCCACGAGCGTCGGGGCCGTCGGGTTCGAGCGTCGTGCCCGCTTGCGTATTCACCGCCTTTCGTATCCCCCTCCACATCCTCTCCCTGCCCTTTCTCGCTCTTCGAAATTGGCCTGCTGCTGCAACACCTCACGTCGGCGGCGAAGTCCGGCCGACTCCTCCTGCGCGGCCCTGCTTGGCTCTACTACCGTCGAGGACCCCCCCCCCACCCAGGGCCAATTGTGCTTCCCCTTGTCCTATCGATCGGACCAGTGGTTTGGGAATGCTTGCTGTTTTGTTCTCTTCGCGCGGATGGATCCTTTCCGGCTCCGTTGCGTTGAGCTGTGCTGTCTTCGCGACTGGCTTCTTTTCTGGGAACATAACATGGCTTTTACTTACTCATGAGTCTGCAGGACATGAGATGTAGGCTTCCTGTTTTCGTCGAGCCAGTCGGTGTGACCTGCAGGCTGCAGGCTTCCGTCTGTTGCCCTCGTGTTTTTTTTTTGGTGGCGAAAGCCGGGAACTCTCTTCTCGGCATGGTCAGGAAAAGGTGTCGGCTTCGTCACCATCGGTAAGGCGATGAGCCGTCCGCAGGCGACCGACGAGCTACGCCAGGACGGCGGTGTTTTCGTCTTATCGCTGCGGCGAACGAGCATCATCGGTTTTCCTTTTCTGCCTCGGCAAGCTTGGACTCTTGTGAGCGGGTTGCGCTCTCCCTTCTAGCCTCCATACTCTTTGGCGTCGCAATCGCTCGATCGAGACTTCGCCGTGTGTCTGTGGCTGTTCAACGGGTGAGAGTCATATACGCGTCCGCGAGCACTTGGTCAATTTGAGCTCAGTCATGGAAATGTAAGAGCGTTCGTTGCGCCGTTGGCCCTTCCGTGGACCAAGGCTTTCGCGCTGGAGTCCATGCCAGTGGTGTCATCCTCCATACTGGCTTCGGATTCGGCGGAAGGGCATCGAGCGGATGATGACGTTGGTGTGGTGGTGACTTGCTTGTTACTTGCGGACCGAGTAGGCTTCATTGATGGCTACCAAATGCAGTGCGGAATCTATGGACTTCTGTGGCAAGACTTCCATTGCATTGTTCGGCGGCTCTCGACTTCTCTTCCGATTGGTGGACGAGCTGTAACCAGTTGTCATTGTCTTGCTTTGTGTGGTGGATGTCGGCCTCGAAAGGATAAGATACTTGGATGATTGGCCACCCTGTGACGACGACGAGCCTGGGTATAACAACACGAGACCATCCACATGACTTCCAATAACGGTAGATTGGCCAGCGCGATCCATATCAGAAGGTCAAATGCGCGGGATGAGTCGCCGAAGGTCCTCGTATATTACATTCTTCTGCCACCATACTCGATCCACAACCGGCGATATGATCTCTTCGAATTTGCTGCTGACAGTAATCGAGCCTGACGATGCACCTTCAGCTTTCGAAGACGCCGTTGTACACACTGCAGCCCCTCCGTTCTTTGCCGAGTTGCGTAGCAAACGAAGAGTATCCGCGTCGAAGCGGCCGTCCAAGGATCTGAACTCGTGTGCTGGTCGAAGATTTTCTGATGAATAGACTCTCAAGATAACCAACCTATAGTTGCTTGGCTGCGCAGTGTCAATGGTGGTAGTATAGTAGCTTTGCCAGCTTCTGATAAGGACCAGGACCACAAGTGGTCCACAGGATTCCGAATGCGATTCCAACCAGAAGGGAATTAGGAGCTCTGAAAAGCTTTTAGATGAGCAGTACTTCCATGTTTGCTAAGAATGGAAGTCATTAATAAGCTTCGGAAAAGCCTGCCCATACCTCTCCATTCGGAGTGTGGTGCATCATACGCCGGAGATTGAACCCAATCTAATGCTGGGGCAGGCTTTGCAACCGCAGAAGGGTCAAGTCTTACGGCGGTGTCGCGAGATAATCCTCTGACCACGTATATGAAAGTGTGAATAGACAGGGCAGGGTGGTCTGGTTTTGGGATCCAGGGCGTTGTGCCCACCACACCCTATTGTACTTCTCTGTGTAGGTAGTATATGTTATGTGGCCAAAAATCAAGTAAGAATCTCACATTACATGAGGCAAAATGAGTGAACGGTTCAGTTTGCAGAATCTTGAACTGGGATGATGTGTGAAAGCGAGAAACCATCATTGGGGATCTAATTTTTTATGTGTAAAACGGACCACCACAAGTGAGTGTGACCTGGGATGGGTGAATGGCCATGGGGAATGAACGTGAAATGCTAGCAGACACGAAGAAAGCGAAAGAGAATATGGCATCAGGAAGGGGTTGTCTCTGTAGTCGCTGCGAAACTCAAATCGAGCAGGCTCTCGAAGCGAAATGAAAGAAGATGTTGAAGATGATGGCATGTCTTAGGAACGGGGTTCAGTCCTTCGGAGTTGTTGGCAGCGGGAACGGATTTCCTGTCAGAGACATATATCATCATCAGTGATAAGGCATTCCCTCCAAACCGAATAGTCTTGGCTAGCTTTCATCATAGGTCACGTTGGAATATCCAACCGAACCCCGACTTGCGTCACTCCTGGTCTTAACGCTGTGAGCTTCACATTCTCCGTGTGTCAAGGACTGCTTTACCTCCAAATCGTCATACATTTAGGCAGTCCCCCCAACATCGTCTTTGTCTGTATCTTCCGTCATGTCTCTCATCTGCCAGCCCAGGATGGCCCAGATGCCTCTCATTGCTTCCACTCTGTCGTCCGCGATAAGAAGGTCGAACCATTTTGATCGCTTCATCTCAAGTGCATACCATGTCTGCTGCGGTGCGTTGGAGACCTTGGATTGATCTGGGGTTTTGAGAAGATAGTCGATATATTTCTGGTGGATGCGAAGGTGGAGGATGGAAATGTGGTGGTTGATGGCTGAGACCAGATAGATCTAGAGTGGTGATTAGTAAATCACATGCAACAAGGACACACACGGGTACCGGGATGAGTCTGAGCCCTTCCGTTGGCCTCACTTACGTCGTCATACTCGCTATTCTTATCTTTCCCAAGTTGTTGATACCTCACGCCTCTCTCCCAGATGCTGGAAGGCGGTTGCAAACTCATCCAAGCGTCCATGCGGCTCGACTTCTTCAGTCTTTTGCGTGAGAATTCGAATGATGTGGGGTCTCCAGTGGTTTCTTCGTCGGCGACTCCTAGCTCACCGCCAGCGCCACCACCCCACCGAGGTGCGTTTGCCCACCATTTGCCCTTACCTGGCACCTCTTCCTCCTTTCCTTCTCTCGCTCGTTTCTGAGCCAGCATCAACATCAAGCCAGTCTCTCGAAGCAAATCCAAGATCTCCTGCTTTCCTTCACCTTCAACTTCGTCAAGGCCACGAAATGAGGTTTGCTCTCTGCAGAAAACACCTAACATCGGCCCCTCTGCCACCCCTCTCCTCGCTTCTCGGACATCTTCTGGCACGCGATGGACTGATGCTGCGTGTAGAATGGGGATGATGGTGCCTTGTAAGTTGAGTCTCTGTTGTGAATGGGGTTGCTCTAGCCTGCAACAAAAAGCCCAGGTGAGTGTCTCGACAAAGGCGAAGGCTGTGTCCTCGCGGTATTTGCCTGGCATGTCTCGGCCCGTCCCCGTGCGATGTCCTGTATACGTCTTCTTTAGTTCTCCACCCTTGTCTGTCTCCATTTTCGGCCCAGCCTCGGTTGCTTCTGAACGTAGCTCATCTACATCCATAGCAGACTTGCTCTCTGTATGTTTGCTGTCCGAGTACTTGTCAAGACTGGTATCCCAATGCTCAGCCACCAGAAGCAAGCCTTCCCAGAACTTGCGAAAGTGAACGATGCGGGCAGGCTGACGATTTGGAAGAGGAGGCTTGCGTTGAATGGCACAAAAGGCATCCTCATTGCTATGTAAAAGTTCCTTTACTCGGACGAAGAATTCGTCTTTTCCCGGGATTGGTGCTCCGTTACTCAATGATTTTGACCTTGACAATGCGGCTTGGGATGACTCCGAAGGTTCACTTGCTGCAGGATATTTTGACCAGGAGGAATGTGGAATGAAGTCTGTAGGGACGACTTGCTCTAAGGAGAGCTCGTTTGCTAGACTGACATTCAAAGCTTGGAGGTGCTTTGCCGTTGGGCCGGTTCTGAGAGTACTGCTGAATAGCTTGACAAGGTCATTTGACACACCGGACTCAGTGACTGGAAGCTTCGAAGGCTCACAGCGGGGAAATTCGAGAGGGGTTGCCGGAGGTGGTGGCTCTCGTGGATCGTTCTTGTCATCTCGGCGGGCAGCTGGAGTGGAACTCGTTAGCGACTCCCACATCTCCTGCATGTCATCCATGTGGATATCTTCCAATATAGCTGCAAATTTCAAGTCATGAGCAGTACAGCTCTGTAGCAACATTGGATTGTAAGATGAGTAGGAAAAGGCAGAAAAGGGCGAGACGAGAGTGTAAGCCAAATGTTAGGAGTACACATCTGTGGCATGAAACTCAGACCACCATTAACACTAGCTCGGCCCCGAGCCTGTTTCCTTGTCGACACTGCAATGATACGCTGAACCCTACAGCAAATTCACGCCTATCAAAAAAGAAATGAAGCCTTGGCTCGGATTTGTTCCAAGAGCCTGTAATATGAGACAGACAATCCGCGCATGCTGTAAAATATAATATGCAAGATAGCGGGTCACATCGCAGACCGATTGGACTTCCTTTACTTCGAAGCTGCAGCTGAAATGAAGGGGCGAAATGAGAAGTACACCAACTGAGAGCAGCCAAATTTCCAAACATCGTGACCCCTCTCGATCAGTACTTTGGGCCTCTTGAGCCCCCAGTCATCTTGCAGAAGATGCCAGACCAATTCGTGAGCAACACGGCAGCATTTGAAGGTTTGAGATCATAACCTGAAGCACAACGTCGAACGAAGAGCATGGGGAGGAAGAACCAGAGTTCCCAAGCTTCTTCTTGCAGACAGCGGTCTGTCCCGAAGCTAACGCCTTACGGTCTAGTTTTCGTCCAATCATAGAGTACCTTACGATGGCCGCGGGAAAGGCGCCGGCTCCCTCAAGCCTCTAGAGTTTCATCTCGACTTGAAACCCGGGATATTGTTGTAGACATCATTGCACTTGAATACACATATTCCGCCCTTTAATCACCGGTAACACTCCCTTGTAAACGGGTCAATCATTTGAGAATTACCAGAGTTTTTCCTATCAGCAACCACGGAAAATCATAAGTATAGTTGAATACAAGAACGCCTCCCGATGCAAATACCCAAATTTCACTGCAATGCTCCCCCTTACTAGATTTGCTAGCAATTCAACCCACCTCAATGTGCTAGTGATAAAATTGTATGTTGTTGTTCTAGAGACCAAAGAGCACGTAATAAACCCCAAATTACCTGAGAGGTTGGGTCATGGAACTTTGCTGACTACATACAAATTTAGGTGGGGAAAGCAATTAAGCGAAGATGCCAAGCAATACGAAATGTACCCCGGAATCTGCCCCTATTAGCTCTAGGGTGACCGCCGCTCGAGCCTCTAACGTTAGACTAAAGATCTAAAGATCATCCCATACAGCGATACCTAGTCGGAACTCCGAATCCATCATCACTAGCATAGCAGGAGGAGATCCTGGTGATGCGCTCGAAGGATATCAAATGGGCGCTGCTCAGTCATGCTTGATACTTTACTTTAGCTGTGGAGAACTTGCTGCGCTTGGCAGCAGCCGATAGCTCGCTTGCGCACTAGGCGAGCGCCTATCAGATTCAATACTTCAGTTTACATGTTTTTGAGGACCCTACCACGTATGTGCCTGGCCGCAGATGAAATTACTCCAGTAGTAAGTAAGCCATGGACCTGTGACATAAGAGAGTAAGAGTGAGATGAGCTAATAGAGGCGGAAGCTACCTCTTTCGAAGCCTAGAGTGGTGTCGGTATCCGAGGTCTGAGGTGTTTGGGTCTCTGACGTTGCAGAGCGTTTCTCACAACTCTAGACTTAAAACATCGCGATTGAAACGCTTGGCTGTGGTGCTTGACATGCCAAGAATTTAGAAAAAGGGCATAAGTGCCTGAAACAAATTGCCACCAGAGACGACACTTGCTGAATTCAGACGCGGCGCATTTCCCGTCAAACAAGCGAGCAACCATCAGAAACATTCATCGGTAAAACAATTAGGCAGCTGGAACGGTTTTGCCTTGGTCGACCACCTTCGATGAAGACACATCCCTCCTACAGACCTCAAAGGCTCAAACAAAGATGGAAACATCCAAGATGTCATCATTCTCTTTGTCACCAATGATGTTGGTGCTTTGCTGCCGTCCGTATGCTGAGAAATGCTCTTGCAACGTCAGAGGCTCAAACATGCCTCAGATCTCCGACAGTGCTGTCTTTGTGAGCATCATAGCCAACCATTTGGACGCCCTTGGCTTCGGACATGGTGGCCTCTGTGGCTGCGCAAGATGAAACCCAAAATATTCAACATCCTCTTTGTCACCAATGATGTTGGTGCTTTGCTGTCGTCCGTAGCTGAGAAACGCTCTTGCAACGTCAGAGGCTCAAACATGCCTCAGATCTCGGACAGTGCGGTCTCTGTAAGAACCATAGCCAACCATTTGGACGCCCTTGGCTTCGGACATGGTGGCCTCTGTGGCTGCGCAAGATGAAACCTCCAAGATATTCAACATCCTCTTTGTCACCAATGATGTTGGTGCTTTGCTGTCGTCCGTATGCTGAGAAACGCTCTTGCAACGTCAGAGGCTCAAACATGCCTCAGATCTCGGACAGTGCGGTCTCTGTAAGAACCATAGCCAACCATTTGGACGCCCTTGGCTTCGGTCATGGTGGCCTCGGGGTCTGCGCTCTGTCTCAGGATCCCGATGGTATATTCGGAACATCGAGCAAGCGCCAGGGGAAGGATGAAAGGGATCCATCTTGTTCTATAAAAGCTGACCTTCTCCCCATATGCCATCTTTCTTTTGATACTCCGCATCACACACCTTCTGCGCATACCTTCAACACACCATTTCATTACGTTCTTCCATCGACCACACACACCTCATAAGACACCTTTAGGACGTTCTTTCACCTACCCATACGATACTCTCGACCCTCTCATCGTCAAAGACCTGCACATCATCATCCTTTACCAGGCTCTCATCAAAGCCCGACAGCTCATTCCTTGCTCAAGATATAACTCAGCTCAAAATGTCAGACCGACTAGCCCCTAAGCCCACGGCAGTAGTTGGGCCTTCAAGTGGAACATCAGTATTACACGTCATGCAGTCTCTGAGCAGTGGCGATATGCCAGTGTTTGGTGGATCGAAAATGTCCATCCCCATATTCATTATCGCCTTCGCCAGCTACAATTTTTTCGAGTTTCGTGGGAGATCGTTAAATCGAGAAGAAGTCCTAGGCATAGTATGCGTCTGTTACGGCAGACGCGAACCCCCGGACAACAATTACTCGCTGTACAAGAGAATAGAGAACCCGGATCAGAGCTTGAACAAAAAACTCGACGAGTTGACGGACTCGAATAAAGACTACTTGAGGAAGCAGGTTTCTGATCTGTTTCAAACTTATCTAGAGAGGAATCCGGTAGCCAGATTTGGAGCTGACGAACTGGATGGATTGTAAGTGCGAATGTGATTCTGTGTGGACGAGACTCTTGCTGACTGGTGGGTTTGCTGCCATACAGCCAAGGGAGGATGACATCTTTGCCATGGGGTCACAAGGATTGGGCCCAAGGCAAACCGGGGTTGAATTTTCAAACCTTACGGGATGAACAGCTCTACCTTATTCACGCCATCATGCATTGCTGTGTAGACGCTGGAGATAACCGAATTACCGAATTCGACACTGCGCAAATAGTCTGTCGACATTACGATTATGATGCTTCGCCGGCCATCATAGCCAAAAGCTCCGTCTTCAAGAATTTGGCAAACCCGGAACACAAGCTCTGCCAGATGGTGGCTCATTTCATAAATGAGCGTAGGCATAAAACGTTTTTCGAAGCCAAAGCTCATTTTCTGTATGACAAGTGTTCCAGAATAGGAGTCTTGCGATTTCCAACCATCATAGAGGGCGAGTTAGTTGGCCTATCTTCTATTGATGGAGAGGAGGATATGCTTACAATGGCAATAGAATTCCTTCAAACGCTGTTCCAGCAGCAACCCGAGAATTGGCAAAATTATCAGTGGGAGTCACCGCAGGTCCAAGCCAGGCCAGAGCGCCAGATACACCCCAGCGCACCCAGGATCTATTTAGTCAATATACTCACCTAAACTCGCCTGAAATTCAATCCCCAGAAGCTTCGTCACCTCCCGATGAAAGCACCAGCCACGAAGCAACCGGGAAAGGCAAGGGGAGGTCGCTAGAGTCTAGTTCTAGCCCATCAGGGGAAGAAGTGTCTGGGAAAGGGAAAGGGAAGGGAAAGGTTGCGAAAAAACCTAAGAAGTGAGGGGAGGGAAATGCGGGTGGGAGGCATTATGAGAAAACGGATGCACGGACGTTGGGGAGTTTAATTTCCGGGAAAGACACTCAGACACTCCTTTAGTATCAGCATGCGTTCCTTCTTGTTCTTTCAAGCCCCAACTAATAGTACTCCTTGTTGGGCGCAGCGACAGCGGATAGATAGAGCTTGCATTCATTCGGATCCATGGTTTTTCACATCAGAGATAGAGCATGATCTCAATCCTGATAATTTGACTCCATTCAGCAAAAGCTGCGTCCTGTACTCTGCCCATTTGATACTCCTCGTCATCTCTCTCATCTTCCCACGGCCTCTGTGGCATTTTCAAACTGATTTGCGTCTGCTCTCCTACGGGCCCGGTTCGCCAATATACTCGTACGACGCGGATTGGCCTATCGGTGCCAGTCTTCTTGCCGTGCGGCGAAGCGGGATCCTTGTGTTCTTTTGACCTACTTATGTGGATGGGCCTGAGGTGAGGCATCTGATCAGCTTGTGGGGATAGTATTGGAGAAGGAAGGGGGAGGTCACTTTTGGAATTTTTCATCTCATCGGCATATTGCTTGGTGGGGCATTCGGTGAGAAACCATAACGGCGGTATGCTAACGGCTTCGTGCGCCACTGCTATGGAAAGGATTGAAGCTGATGGGCCTGACCATGGCATCTCGCCTGTCCCATGAGTCGGATATTACTTCCAACTTTGGTAGGTAGATATTCCTTCACTCTTCAATTATTGAAGTCTATAGTCAAAGCCGTGCGTCTGTAGATAAGATATCTTCTAATAAATTGCAGCTTTAACCAATATCGGAAGAGATTTTCCACATCTTCCAAGTGTTAATAGGCGATTCCAATTGACCTACGGCGTTATACACGGTAACATGAAGAGAAAATTATTTAAACGTCCCCCTCGTAACATTTCGCAATTTTAGAATATTATCTTCCCACAATCACCAGGACCTAAACCCCGTCCATTTCCCCTCAGTCACAAGGAGGGTCCCATCCTTATTCTTTGTTGTTCGTGGCATCAACTTCCAACATATCGTCAACGGAAATTCCCTCCGACGCAAAGCCGGTTCTAGCTGCCTTGCGTGGCCAAAATCTCGCCATAGCCGACTTCAAAGGGAATCTTCTGTGGCTGGCCTAGCAAGATCAATCCCAACATCGAAGAGCTACGCCAGGATGTGAACACTTGGCTCGAGAGGTACGCTGCAACTCCTTCCTAGAAGTTAACATTCACAAGACAGGAACAAAGGGAAATGGAAAAGATCCTCTGCAAACCTGCACACAAAGATTTCTGCAGTACGCCGAGCAGCTGCGGTCAATCCTGCAATACGTTCGAGGCGTTAGGAATTTACCTCGCGTTGTTCTAGTGACTATGGCCAAGAAGATGTGGTTACCCGCTGCCCCTGGGTCTCCTAGGTCAGAGCCACACTCCACAGCAAAGGATTCCTCCGACAGCCCCACGCACAGATACTGAGGCCCTAGCGATCCCTCAAACACCCTTGTTCTACTCCATCACCAACCCTAGGCACTACGCGCTCTCCTCTTCTCCCCGGCCTTTCTCTTCCCAACCTTTTCTAGCGTGAACATCTCGCGAACCCAGCCTTGAAACTCAGATTCCGCACTCAATCCCAAGCTCGGGGTAGAATTGCCCGATCTGCTCTGCCTCCCTCCATGATCCAGTCTCTTTCCCATGTACCCGCGTAGCGCCTTCTGAAAACTTGAGTCTTGACTCAGGCTCCGGGTGTCTGACAGAGCGCCGCCATCGTTACATCTCCACACCATGATCTCAGGTATTTCCTCATCGATGTCCACGTCATTGGCATCGACTCCCTTCAGCGTGCCACAGCAGGCTTTGACTGTGTGAGTGTTAGCCAAGTTGGTCTGGCTTATCCATTTTTCGATCTTCTTAGACTCGCGAGCGGTGATGACGTTGTCGGCGGCTTTGGTTTGGCCAGCTGCCTCGGTGTGGTTAACAGCTCTTGCCTTGAGCGCGTTCTCATTCTGCTCACCTGCATCGCTCATCTCCTCTGGTGAAGCTAATATTTCCTCACAGAAGCGAGGGACCCCGTCCACGGTCTTCGCGATAGCGATTTGCCCCTTCTCATGATCGTCTTCCAAGGCCGTTTGCCGCGAAGTACTAGCTGCAGACGTGAAAGGAGGAGCCCCATCGTCGCGAGCAGCGGGGTTGGCGACGCACGTATCAGCGTCAGTCAGACGGTGTATTGCCGTCGCTTGCGCCTCAATGAAAGGAGGTCGAAGGGCACGTCTCAGCCGTTCACACTCGGCTTGGTGCGCAAGTAGAGCTGCACAGTCAGAAAGGCGGGGCGTAGGCTGAACCGAGACCTCACGGTATGCTTTCTGAGTCAGCGTGGTTTCGAGGACCCCCTGTGGTGCTGAGCCTTCGCGGTGTGCCTCTTGGATGGGTGTGGCATCGACGGTCTGCTGTGGTGCAGACACCTCGTGATGTGCCTCTTGAATGGGCGCGGCATCGGAAACATCCTGTGAGGCTGGTACCTCTTCCGGAACCAGCGTCTCACCGACGATTTCCTGGATGCTCCGTGACTCTGGCGAGGCTTCGTTGTCGAAGCAGACCCCAGTCAGAGCGACGAACAGAAGAGTCAACAAGATGCTCAAGCCAAGGGCATAGAAGAGATAATTGGTGATGGTGCGGATGGTACCGACGGGGTTGAAGATGACGCAGATGCAAGTCGAGAAGCTTGATAGGCATAGGCTGACGCTGAGGATGTAGAAGAGGAACATGACGGCGACGTTGAATGTCAGTGGGTTGCCATATCTGGAGCTCGGGTTTCGGTCCATGGTCGGATTGGAGGGGTGGAAGCTGGTTGGTGGCTGTTTGCTTCTGTTCTGTTGCGTTTGCATGGTGGCTGCTAAGAACTTTGAGGATGGAATTTTGAAAGCTGGAGGTTTCTTCGACGTTTGGTAGGATAGGAGTAGGCACCTTGTTGAGTGTTGAATGAAGTAATGTGTTATCGTGTACGTAAAACGAAGACACTGTGTAGAAGTAATGTCTTTGTTCGATAGGATACAGGGCGATGGGAACGCAGATCTCGGCGATGGGACCGCAGATCTCATTGCGGTTGCATGCCTTCAACACTCCAGCAACAACACCTTTGTTCCTGCTTCCTCCCAAGTTCGCAAGTCTTCCACACTCCAGCAACGACACCTTTATTCACGCCCTGTCCCAACACAAATCACCACCGTCCAGTCTTGCTCCCTCCAAATTATCAAGCGTCCTCCAACCACACCCCACAGCATCCACCCACAACGAAATGAGTCAAACCCAGAACTCGCACAGTTCAGCCACTTCCCCATCTCCAAATCTGCCGAGAAGGCAGAGGTGGAACACAGACGACATCCTCTGCATGGGCGACGACTATACCTACGCCGATGCCGCAAAAGAGATCATGTGGTTATGGAACGAGTGGGCAGACAGTGCCGAGAACGTCCTTGGCGGGATAATCGATCAGATGGAAGAAGTGGACGTGTCATACGACGACTACCTCGACTTCGTCAGACAACTTGCGTCATATCCCGCACGACCGGCCCTTCCCGCCGCCGCCGCAGATGCCCAAAACACGTCAGACCGAGCGCTGAGCGGTGTCTGGAACGAGTGGGCGGACGTGGTTGAGAGGATCGTAGACGAGATGAAGAGGGCCGTCGATCGGAGCGTTCCGCTGCCGAGGGAGCAGCGGACGCTATGCGCCGGCAGAGCTTTCGACTTCAGCCTGGATCTCTCGAACCAGGACCCACCGCCGATGCATATGGCTGCTCATTTGCGGGAGATGTTGCGGGATGGCACCGTCTCCCGCGATGAGCTGGCCGAGTTCATGGAGGATCTGAGCCTTTAGCAAAGGCATGTCACGATGGATTGATGGCTGGGGTAGGAACTTGTTTGTTTGTTTGCTCCAATGTTACTGGGTGGAAGGACTCCAGTCAGACATGGCATCGAATCGTTCAGACGGCGCAAAATAATGATCAAGATCTGACAATCTGCTCAATCTAGTGATGTGTGGTCCAAGTAATTACCTCTTAATGAAGCGTATGGCATGGCTATCTACTTGCCAGTAGCTTTCCAAAGTGATGATGGTTTACATTGCAAGAACATACCGCTCGATCCTGTAATTTCTGAAATGCGAATCAATCCAGTGAAATTTGTAAAATCGTCGAGACAGAGAAATGAGTGTGCGAAAAAATACGGAATCACCGATGATGCGAAAGCAGAATGTGATGAGTCTTTGTCTGACTGTATTGCTAGCTTCACTGAGCCCTATTATTCAATCCACTTGGTATCCGCAAAATTATGGTGGCGCGAGAGGTAAGCATGGACGTAAGCACTGATCCACTTGACAAATCGGTCAATGCAGTGAGTACCTTTAAACAGAAAGCCTGTAGGTTTAGCATTCGCAATATGAGACATGGTGATCCGATTTAGAGCCCATTGGCTTCTGCAGAAATGTTATAAAGGAGCGCCAGGTCTGTGGGATAGCATTCATAAGTCTGTTGGAACCACAGAGCCGGCGCGATGTCAGCCTCCTTCAGAGCAGCAATTGCTTACACCAACAGCACAAGGGAGTCGACGCACCTCGACACAGATCCACTCTCGCCTGGTCTGCATAACTTCTCTACTGGCTACAACAACCTCACATACACGATCTTCGGGACCGGTCCTTCACTCGTAATATGTCAAGTCCCTGGCTGGGGGATTGGCCCATCCTACCTTTCGAATGGCCTAGCTCCTCTCCACGACTCATTCAAGATCCTCTATTTCACTCCACGCGGCACACCGCCGTCCAGCCGTCCCCTTGATACCTTAGAGATGAGCTCGAAGCACATGGTCGATGATCTTGAGATTCTGCGTCAATACCTCAAGCTGGGCAGTATGCTCCTGCTGGGACATTCCAATGGTGGCAGCATTGCATTAGGGTATGCTCAGCAGTATCCTTCTCACGTAGATAAGTTGGTGCTGCTTGACCACGAGCTGCAAGGGTTCGACGATTCGGCTACATATATCGAGTTTGCGATGAAGAGAAAAGACGATCCGGTGTACAGCGCTGCTCTGGAACGGCTACAAACATTCAAAGCGGACACGGATGAGAAGATGCAAGATGAATTGAATGGCATTTTGCCGTTCTACTTCGCCAATCCAACGAAATTTGGGGCGAAGATGCTAGAGACGATGCAAAACATGCCTTCTCCTTGGGGTCTGAAACATCAACGTGCGGCCGACAGGAAGAGGCCTACTTACCTAGTTGACGATCTGGACAACGTGACAGCCAAGACTTTGATCGTGGTTGGCCGGGAAGATCCCTTCTGCAGTGTGAAAGCTGCCGAGAAAGCGCACGCCGGCATGGCCACATCATCGCGAGGCTGCCAGATAGTCGAATGAAGTAAGTCTGAGGAGACCAAGCTCCACTCAAGAACCAGTTCGTAGGCTATTGCCCGTAATTTCTTCATTTTCCGAAAGCCATGCCTTCTATTCGAACAATGGTTGGTTGTGTGGTGAGGGATTTTCTCTCCGCCGCGAATAGCCGAAGCTGCGGAATTAACTTCCTATCTTTAGTGCCGAGGTTGAAAGAGGGCATGGTGATTTAAATCCAACAACTTCAGGTGCAATTCCTTCAAACATTGCCATCTCAAAATCATGTCCCATGTGAAGGTACTATTTGGTACGGCGTCGTTTGGCTCATTGCCCACGGAGGCCAGTCAAGAGTTCCTCGATCTCCTCAAAAAGTACAATGTCAAGGACCTTGATACGGCCAACCGATATGTAAGGGTGCATCTTCAAATTTCGAGGACAGGAGCTGACTACATGAGCCCACAGGAAGGAAGTGAGAGAGCGCTGAAAGAGCTAGGCGCAACCTCAAGCTTCACCATTCATACGAAATCCCCAGGATTTGCCAAAGGTTCTGGGACCAAAGCATCAATATTGGCAGCTGCGAAGCAGAGTTTCGAAGATCTGGGTGTCAACAGCGTATTTCTGACCTCCTGGACCAGTTTCGAAGGCCGCTGACGTCTTCTGTAAAGGTCGAAACCTATTTCGTGCATTCTCCGGACCCCTACACTCCGATTGAACAGACAGTCGATGGTATGCAATTGGTCTATGCGTCGGGCAAATATAAGCACGTAGGTCTATTTGCCTGGTACAATGTAAGACAGAGTCCAGCTCTGAAGCTTACGTGTTCCAAAGTTCGGTCTCTCGAATTTCAAGCCGGAAGATGTGAGGAAGGTATACGACTATGCCAAGTCGAAAGGATACGTTCTGCCGACGGTCTTCCAGGGGAATTACAACCCCGTCGCTCGCCACTATGACACGACGCTTTTCCCACTCCTTCGAGAACTCAACATCGCTTTCTATGCGTATTCTCCTCTGGCTGGTGGATTCCTCGTGAAAGACGCTCAGACACTCAATACAGGCGGCGGTCAAGGCCGATGGGATCCGACTTCCTTTCTGGGAAAGCTGTATAATGAGAAATACACCAAACCGTCGCTGCTCGAGGCATTATCTGAGTGGGACGCGATTGCCAATGAGGCTCGTGTGTCCAAGGCTGCGTTGGCCTATCGATGGGTGATGTACAACTCGAAGCTGAGCGCTGAGCATGGCGATGGTATCATCGTATGTATCTTCGCAGCCCATATCCCCTCTTCTGAAGCACATCTGGCGGCATGAAACATGTCTGCAGAGTAGACACTGTTTCGAGGCTCAAGCATTCCTCTTGCAATGTATGCTGACCCCGAAATCCCTACGCAGATCGGAGCGACTCGAGGGTCGCAGCTCGCAGAAACGCTTAGGGCGATCGAGGATGGGCCATTAGACGAGAGTATCGCGAAGAGGGTTGACAAGGTGTGGGAACTTGTGAAAGATGAGGCGCCTGTTGATAATTTCAATCCGTGATAGTTTGGCTTTGCGATGTCATGATTGAATACATATAGGTATAGACGATTAATTAAGCTTGCTGATGGCCTTGGCGTGTCTCTCAAGGGTTGTAAGTAAGCACACGGCAATGTTGAGCAAGTAAACAGGAACAGGAGAAGAGCACGGACAGCGCTCGCACCAAATGCAAGCGTGCCTCCATGCGAAGATCGACGCTCAGACTTGGCAGGGGTGGGGCTTCCCAGGGGGGAATTAAGCGTGCGGACCCAACTCAACGTAGAGCGACAGCGAGGAAAACCACAAAACCATATCCCCTCGACCCTTCCCTCTCATCCTCAGTCTGTATAGAATACATCCGCGTGTTTCTCTTCTTGCCAATTTATCACCCTATTTCTCCGGCGCTTCCCCCTACAAAGATCCGCCTTCTACCGACAGAGCACCACCCCTTGGCCGAAGTGCCTCTCCCCTGGCGCTGCGGTCTCGTGAAAGGTCGAAATGGTCATGCAGCCAACCGCTCGACCAATATAATCCTTCCCGATCCATCACTTGTGGACAATCGACGTACAGCCTATTGATACCTCCCGCAATTCAAGTGGCAACACGCCTCTCCTGCGCCGCCTCCCCCTCCACCGACAATACCACTCGACTTCGGCAATTGTGTATAGGTACATCTCGCGGCACGGAGAGCTTACTGTACCAATATTCTCCTGGAGCCTTCCCTCGAACTACAACACGACTCAACCGTTTATTGAGATATCACAACGATATAAACAATATACAAACTGTTTATATCGGTATAATGGAAGGGAAATGATCGGATCAAAGTGAGAAAATGGTTTGAGGCGGAGGAAGTCAAAAGCTGGCAGGCCAATCAGAGTTACGTATCGCTATAATCGGAAGATCGATCAGAAGAAACCGGCATCTCCGTTGTTATACTACAGGAGCCATTTGCATGCCAGCTTACGCGCTGTCTTCGCTGTGGGACCTCCCCTCGATATTCTTGTCCGGCGTCTAAAGTATTGTGAAATACTACATTCCATTTGAGGTCAGACACTACTCGTGATTGGTATGGCATCGTTGGCCAAACCATCTACACACCAGCGACAGGGTTCCAGGCCCAACTCAGCATCATCTTCCTCCGTCATCACTGTACAGCGTGCCTCCTCAGTCACCGCACGGAACGGTGCACACCCACCCGTCACAGGTCTGAGATCGCAGAGCCCTAACGAAGCGAATACGATAACCGCAAATCTTACACGTCGTACTCTGTCTCCAGAAAATACCAAGCGAAGGTCTAGCGCTTTATATACTCGGCCAGATAGTGGGAATGGCTTTCGAGAAGGCGTGGGTAATCTGAATAGATGGTCTCAATCCACGGCCTCAAGCAAAAACTCTGCGCACAATAGACGGAGCAGCTTTTCAAAGAGACTTTCCGAATCATTTGGTTCCTTTGGTGGCTTTGCGGGCGGCCAGACGCCATCTCCCAATGCAACATTTTCTACCAGAGGACGACCATCCCCGCAGAAAAGCCCTCCAGCGTTAGCAAAGATGTCACCACCTTCGAACCCACCGCCAATACTACCTCCTATCGTCACACTATCATCCCTGTCTCAGGCTGTTGACGCAGCGGATTCGCCGTCAACAGTCGCCACAGTTACTCCTGCGACAGCTGACATACTTTCACCGTTAAACCACACCTCGGCCCAGCGCGACTATTTCGGGAACGGGTGGAGCTCTCGCTCTCCTACGAAATCGATGGTGGGAATGAAGCGGCCGGCGCCCTCGCATTCTCCTAGAGCCAACAAACCCTCGCCGATAATCATCGACAATTCCACAAGCCCTGGATCGCCTGGCCCTCCCGAATCCGTCTACTCTCCACGCACTGCATCTCGGCTCAAGCATGCGTCTCGTCGAATCTCGCAAAATGGGCATTATCGGCATAGAGACGACAGTAACAAGGGTAGTGGCACCACCGAGGGGGAGAGTTCAGCCTCTGACAACCGTGCTCGCGCTGATAGAGTGCAAAAGCGCAAGGCGCCTTCGCAGAAGGCCATGTTGTCTAAAGCTTTGCAAAAGGCACACCATGCAGTCACCCTTGATCAGCACTCAAATTTCGAAGGAGCCATGAATGCGTACCAAGATGCTTGTGCTTTGCTACAAAAGGTGATGATCAGAAGCTCGGGCCTTGAAGATCGGCAGAAGCTGGATGCTGTTGTAAGTTGATGGCCATCCATAAATCAAAGCGGAAAGCCACGCTAATATTCGTTGAAGCGCAATACGTATGAAGCGCGTATCGCTGAGCTACGGGGCACTGACGCAGCGTATCGCACTGCAGATGGCAAAACTCTGCCACAGCGTCCTCCGGAAAGAGACTCGAAAGACTCCGAGCGGTTGTCAGTAGTCACGGACACTGACGATGGAGAGACAACCTTGGGAACATCAACGGTAGCACCTCTCGGCAACGAAGAGAAACGCAGGGAAAAGTTACCGCATCTTGGCCAATTGGCCAACATACCCCCAAGACGACAGTCATTACAGACAACCGCCTACATGGTAGAGGGCAGAGATATTCAGACTTCGAGTCGAATGCAGGACCAGCGACCGCTACGAGCAAGATATGTAGGCCAGGAGACCATCGACGAGACTCACTTAGATTCTGGTACAGCAGTTTACCAAGAGTATATGCCGCCTCCCCTGTCGCCGCGACGTCCTCTATCGCCAGCTCCTGTAAAAGGGAATACTACGCAGTCATCTACAGATGTATCAGCGCAATCTGCACCAGACGAGGATTCTAATCCGTCAGACTCTATTCGCCAGGACAATGGAGAACATACGTCTTGGCTTAACACCATCAACGAATCGAGCGGCTCTTCAGCTTCATCTGTGCATTCGCGGAGGTCATCCGTAGGTCTCAGGAGAAAGCACATACGACCCGCAAGCGGTCAAACGGAGGCAGAATTTGATGCAGCCCTCGATGCAGCAGTGGAGGCAGCCTACGATGATGGATTTGAGCCCGATGATGAGGGAGACTATGACGAGCAGCTGATGAACGATCCTGAGTACCCTTTTGAAGAGTCCGGAGCCCTGTCTCATGCGACTAGAAACGTTGAGCTAGCCAAAGAGGATGTCCGTGAAGCTGAACGAGAGGCTGCGATCTCCCGAGCCAAAGAGAGAGAAAAAGAACGACTTCAGACCGCGAGAGACAGCATTGAGTTGGAATACAACGACGAAGAAGATGATGAGGAAGAGCGAATGCTGGAAGAAATGACCAGGGACTATTTCATGGATGATGAATATGACCTTCAGACTAAGTCCGCTCTTCCACGTCAATCAGACTCCAGCGGGTTTTCTGGGAGGACATGGGTTAGTTCGTTTGGCTCGAACCCTACGTCAGCGGGAACCTCACTGTCAACCGTTGCTGAAGCTTCTATACTGCCATCGATGGCGGCGCAGCTAAAAGAGAATCCATTGCCGCCGCCACTGCACCCTCCACCCTCGAGTGCTCTTCCGCCTCCTCCATTGTCGGCATCCCCCAAAATCTCTCAGCAACAGAACGGTACTACGATAAGACCTCCAAGTTTAGTCTCCAGGAACACAAGTCCAGGCGTCCGAGAGCGCAGGCTGTCGGGCATGAAACGGAAGCCGCTGAAGATTGAGACGCACGCGAAACACTCAGACACGTCTGAATCTGAAGCCCCCAGGACGCAGCCGGCCCCCTCTGCACCTCGAATGATTCCCACTCCAGCAGTAGCCGAGCCACCAAGATCCGCGCTTCTTGTGCCAGAATCCCAGCAGCTTTTGCCAAGCCTTGCTTTCAACCCAGTGCCATCTCCAGCAACACTACCAAGCAGCCGCAAAGGCTCATCGCCGTTTCCTGGATCCGATACCACTGATCAGACTACATCTACTGCTTCTGCTCTAACCAGAGTGACCTCAGCAGATAGCGATAACAGTGTAACATCTATGCCGGCATCACCTGCCCGTTTCGCTAGCAAAGCTGCAATAGGGCTGAGAAAGAACTTCTCCTCGTCCAGTCTACGAAACAAAAACTTGAGTGTCGTTGTTCCAGAGACACATGACGCATCATCGAACGCTTCTCTTAGTAGTATGTCGTCGACGCCAAAGCAACAAAGAGTCCCTTCACCAGCCGTGCCTGTTTTACCAACACCCATGGAGGCGAGTTTTATCATCAAAGGGCAACCGATGAGTGGCCCATACCTTTTCGACAATGATATCCACTCTCCCGACACACCCGGCTCTCCGAATCCTTCCGCCAATCATGCTCCTCTACCACTTGAGCCTTGTCCTGAGTCAGCGTTACTCCGACCATTCTGGTTTCTCCGCTCCATCTACCAGACGATTGCTCACCCGAGAGGCGGTTACATTTCTACCAAGCTTTTCGTCCCTCGAGACATATGGAGGGTCAAGAACATCAAGCTGAAGAATGTGGAGGAGAAGGTTTCAAACTGCGATTTTTTGACTGCTGCATTACTCAAGCTTGGGAAGGTCGACAATTTGGATGCGAATGCTGTGAAGGATGAGATGGAGATCTTCGAGACTGTTATGGAACAAGTCCATGCCAATCTATCCAAGAAGCTTGGTAGCGATGTTGGAGTGCAAGGCGCGGCTCAGCTATTCAAATTCTTTGGGGCTGGAGATGAGACAGCCTATCCAGAGGCATTGGCATCTAAGACTACAAACGCCAGCAGCAAAAATTACCTGTCATGGCGAAAATTGCGAAACAAAAATTCTTTGGGTCCAGGTCTGCCATCGGTGAGCTCGAACAACGTGACTAGGGACGGTAATAAGGAAGCCCCAACGTTAAGGTCCATACCTATGACTTCGGCACCAAATCCGAGGTTCCCCAAGCGTGATGTCAACCAAGTCCAGTGTGTGGGTCCAAACCCAAGCTACATGGGTGCGCTTGCGAGGCTATGCGATGCTGCACAGGTTCTGGGTAAGCAAGAAACGCGCCAACCTTACTGTTCAGTACTAATCTGAGGTATAGATCAAATCATCCGTCAAGTGGAGGATCCAGGACTAAAGCATTCCTCGCAAACCCATATTGGGCTCGAATTGAGCGCGCGACACGCCGCAGAATTCTTTGGCTTCATCGTGTGCAGGTTCATCTTGACAGACATCGGCATCATGCTGGATAAATTCATCAAGAGAGGGAGCGAGTGGGTGCTGGCGTGACCTTGAGAGCCGAGGAGACAAGCGAGGGCAGTAGTAATATTGCGAAGCGTCCGGGCAGCGACGTGTGGGATATCCCTGATATCACCCGCCTTCCTCAGGAAGCTATATCGCATGACCGGACATGGGATGGCGAGGAGAAACAGGCAGAGTGCTTTTATCTGCAACGCTTCTGGTTAGAGTTTACTTTTTTGATGGCTCTCTGATGTTATAGGAGGAGGAGGAAGAGGAGGCTCCATTTACTGTCCATAATACCTACCATACTATGTGTGTATCTGCTACGGCCGACGTGCTGGATCATCTATTAGATAGAGAAGAGAATCGCATCGAATTTGCTTGACGCCTCCGTGAGACTAATTATGAATTCGTCTGAACGCACGAGTCGCCTGAAGAGCGGTACGAGATCCCATGCGTAAAGATTCTGTATCAGAGAAATATGTGAGTAACCCTTCCCCTCGGCGTGAAACCAGCCGCGGCCGTAAACTCGTCCATCGTATCCCGCCAAACACCCTGCTTCCAATCCTCCCCCCTGACGCAAACGTGACATCGTAAGGTACTTGCGCACCAGTAGCGCCGTCACGGACCACGGCTCCGCGAGCGACTGATTCCTTTCTTCCTCGCGCCAGCTGAAAAAGACCGATGCTGAAGGGTGCGGAGGCGCGTTTGTCGGCGACCCTTTGTCGCGGTAGAGTACGATGGTTTCGGAGGCACGGACAGAGAAATTTTCGACGCTGGGGAGTGGAGAGTGGAGTTTTTGTTTTGGTCAGAGTCTCGTTTCCCTTTCTTTTTGTGTACTTGGGGCTGTTGCGGGGGTTTAAGGGAAGGAAGGGAAAGGACGTATGAACGACGACCCGTGGTATGTCTCGGCGCCACGATCGTAGCGTTGCCGGGGACGAAGCGCCCTGCGGTTGCGACGCCTGGGGGAGGGTTTTCGCGATAGCCGTTTGTTGGTACTGAAGGATGCAGGTGCGGGATGTCGTTGATCGCGCTGTCTGAATGGTGGAGAGTCTTCGGGTAGATTGAATTTATGCTGTGTAATTCCTCGCGGGTTTCCTCGGTGCGTTGGGGCTCGAGATTAAGATGGTAGAACAGGTAGACTATTGTCGAGGCTACGGAGTTGCTGGTGGGGGTTTCGTTACTTTCAGGGATAGAGGAGTTGGGGAATAGGACTTGCCTGCCCGCGATGACCAAGCCTACGGAGTCCCCGTGCAGCCAAAAGCGATTTTGCTATAGACTGTTCTTTTGTTTGGGGACCCTCGATTAACCGGGAAGAGATCTGGGCATCGAGGTCAGCTTTGAGTAATAGGAATATATCACAGTGGAGATGGCATAGATCGGATTCAATTACTCCAGTCTGGATGTAGAGAGCACGTCAGCCTGTGTGAAAGCATTCCCGTATGAAGGATTGAGATTGCCGCTGCCCGCATGGATTCGCTCCTCCATTCGATTGGGACACCAATTTATCATCTTGTTCCAATCCCGCACAAGTGGCAAACCGAAGGCCAGCTGAACCAGTCAGAGTACAAATATCATAGGACCCAGGAGATTAAGTGCTCTTCATAGCATAAGAACGGAGTAGTGTCACTTTACTCTGCAACAGGATGAATGACTTCGCAAACGCAAAGTCTCCCATCACGTCAAAGCCAAGGAAGTAGAATCATGTTGAGACGTACATTGATTTGCCGGCAGTACATGCAATAAGTTCTTCAAGCAGCAGTCTGTACCCTTTCCCAATCGCTCGGAAAATTGGACTGGTTTTGTACCCCGATCCTTGTACCAGGCAACGATTGGCGAGTCACAGACCTTTTCCCTCTTCTTGTTTGAGCACTATCTCGAAATCCGCGTTCATGTAATACCTGATTACATAGATCGCTCTTTCCTCCGTAGCACTCTTAGATTAACACAACTAAATGTCCTACCTCACGTTTTGACAAGCCTGATTAGGACACTCACATTTCAGGTTACCAGCAACCAAAGCTGCTGAACATGACCAAACCGAGATTTGTCCTCGTCCCTGGCGCCTGGATCAAACCCGACATCTACTCTAGCGTCATGGAAGTGGGCATGTTTGGAGATAACGAGAGAGGAGATATGCTTACTGGTTCATCCTGGATGCCTTCGAGGACGTCATAGGATTCGCTGGGAGAAGAGATGCAAGGTTGAGGGTAGTTGGGAGGTTTCCACCCTATTTCAGATGTGAGCATTCCTGCTGGTGGAGGAAAGAGGAAAGAAGTTGCCAAGAAACGCTTGCAGTAATTCTCATAATCTATGGGACAATAAAAGGCCAATACAGGCTCCGGGGCTCTGCAGCCCCGTTGCGGCGCGGTCTACGCAATTGTCGAGGCCAAGAGTCCGCCCGATGACTAACCCACTGCTACGACTTTCTCGCCATTCACCTCGAGGCCTGGCGTAAGCTGTGAGGCTAAGGATGATAGCTGGAAGCGTGTCCTATGCAGAGCCTTACAGACGTCGTTTATTGGGCCGTTGAGGATGTTGATTTTAGGACAGAGGCGGTTATTAATACTCACCGGGAGAAAGCCGTCGGCAAGAAGGAGTTCGATATGTTTGGGGTTGACTTCCTAATACGTAAACATCACGTGGCCACCACGGTGGATGAGTAGCGCTTTAAACATATCAAGTTTGATCTCTGTGTATGTTAGGGTAGCTCATTATCAATAGGTTTCTTCTCGCCGAGCTTGATGCCGAAGGGGATGTAAACATCAACGTATAGCGACGTCTTTCCAGCCCGCTTATATACCAAAGTTTTAATCCCCGTCCCCTGTGACATTGCGTACCGTTTCAATGCTAGTATTGTCTAGGGTTTGAGTATTGATGCTGGCCCTGGAAAATGAGGTCAAGGGTGCTCGGTCTCTCCGCTGGCAGTCAATTTTCGAACACGTGGGGACCATAGGGGAGAGTGCGCGCGATCAGGTCGAGGGCAATTAGGGTGAGCTCACCGATGGCGTTGCAGTACCGTTCTGCTGGTTGCTGAAATTGGGACGAGGCGAAGATGGAGAGAGTAGAGGTAAGACAAGGAAAGAGCATACTTTAGTATATACATTTTGTAACTGGAAAGCAAAGAAAGCCGCTTGCACTTTCCAATGCTCCAGTCAATTGTCGAAATGAAGCGGGGACCATTACCCTACCTCATAACCTTCCAATCATTCCGATCACCAAGATGATACATTAAGAAAAGCAAGTAGGTATGTGCACGGCCGATAGATGTGAGTAATCAGAGACTCACTCAGTATATCTGCAGCCTCAGTGACTATGGAAAGAAAAAGAATCATCACAGCTTCATCTGGGACTACCTTACCTCTCGTATATATCTTGGTGATAGTAAATAATCGTGTGCTTTATGCGCTGATACATTACTTTATGAACCAGCCGCGTCTCCGATCTAGCCCCCAACGGATCAAACCGATTAGCCAAAAGCTTGCGGAAGTTTTACACGGGATGCCAAGAAACGGTAGAGGCTATCTTAAGTACGAGGACCAAAAGCCTTAGTAATAACTTTCAGTAATTACAGGAAATACCAAAGCAATTGGTCGACGGCACGCTAGTAGGGCACTAGTAGGTATTTAAAATTTGGCCTAATCCACCTTTGAGAGGTACCATTTCCGTGTAATCTAGTCCTACGAGGGTACTCTTGCGAGTCAAGAAATGAGGCTATACAGATCCGAGGTACGTCAGGAGCCATGGGAGCTATGGAGCTTCCAACAACGCGTCTACCTCGTAGTCAGGCCCCACATCATCGTCAGCTTGGTGGGAGGCAATTGATGAAGAAATGGTAGGTTTTGAAAATTTTCTCCGCAAGATATTGCCAAGACTATGGATTTGGCCAATCAGAAGGCCTACATTTGGATTACTAAGCGCATTTCACGAATTACATGCTGTAATGCTCTAGAGGCCTGACATACGGTAATACTGTAAAGCATTTGCTTGCATGTAATATCACATCGCTAATCTTAAGTCCAATCACATGAGCCCTAGCCCTATGAGCATTGTCGCTAGTAGCGCCATTTCCACCCACAAATTCTAACCATGAGTCCATCAAGGACCATAAAAGCCAACCAATAAGCGTGCAACATGGGCTCTTGCCTCTCAAGAATCCCCACCACATGGCGAGATGTCCAGGTCAAGACCATCAACAACAAAGATTCATCACTTCATGTGCTGCCTCTGGAAATCCTACAGTACATCAGCGCCACCTTTTTACCTTCCGATGCTGCAGCCTCTCTCGCCCTTTGCAGCCGTTCGATGCTGAAGATCCTGGGAGGCCAGGGCCTGCGTTCCTTACGTTTGGAAAGTCACACCATCGAGAAGACACGCTTCTTGAAAAATTTGGAGAAAGATCTTCCAGACTGGCGGCTTTGCCATTATTGCTCAATGTTCCACCCCGTCGATCAGAATGGAGATCCGAGCCAGCGCTGGCGGTATTTTGATGAAACAGAATGTTTTCGAGTAAATGGGTGGTGTCGATTGGATATGATTTCCATATACGATACGAACATGCGCAACTACTCATGAGGAATTACCGGCTTGGAAGACCCTATAAGATCAATCTGGAGAGGTTGTCTGACAGATTCGCCAGGCATCTTCCAGAGACAAGTCTTGAGAGTGTGGTCACGGCCAACATTGTCGCAGGTGAACTCCTCTTACAGATCAAATACACGCTGCGGCTGCTTAAGAATTGGGACATAACCTTGATTCGAATGGAAGTTCCAGAACTCTGCCCTCACCTTGTTGATCGCTTCCGCGATTCAATTTTCGCGCAAGCTCTTCGATGTCGTTTAAGCCATGCCAATAGATTGCCTTGCATTGAATGTAAGAAGCAGAAGCACTGTCTGGAATGTTCGACATCATTCCAAGTGGACATCCGAACGCTTGAAAATCTCGTGACAGAGGTTCAAGTCGACGTCTGAGAGATGCCTCGGTTCGTGCGAGAGTCCTTTCGACTCAAAGTGGCGCAGGCAAGCCGACCGATATCTGCCAAACGTAAGTAGAAGGCAAGGGAGGCGAAACGATCTGGAATCTATGGGGAGGGTTTTTCCAATGTTTGGAGCTACGGATGAGGAGCTGGCAAAATGGTGTGCGAGCATCTGAGACGACTTGGTGTTGCCACTATTCAACGGCCCCGTCTGTCCTCAATGCATTCACTTTTGGCTCTTTGGTGCCTAGCCCCAGAAGGCTGGCGGAAGTGTGTTTTCACTGCTGACGGTTGGGATTGACAACCCTAGCCCACCAGAGCGTCAATTGATCTTAGATTCAGGAAAGTGGGAGAGTACAAAGCGCTGTTGGTCCACCATAACTTTGGTTATGCTAAGAGTTGCAAGTAAGTCGGATAATACTAGCTATAATTCAATGGTGGGTGAGCTGTTCAAACGTGTGCGGCCAACCCTTCGACAAGCAACAGACTAGCCGTTCTGCTACCCCAACGCAGTGGGGATCAAGGCGAAGGGAGGATATCACAGAGGACTGGAAAGGGACCAAAGTGTTGATCGAAACGCCAGCTCGACGAGCACCATGTCTTACTTCCATTTGTAGATGTTCACCTCATCGAATAGTGGATATCATGAGTCTCACCCGGACTTGTTAGCGTTCTGCAATACCAAGGTTGGAGTGGAAGAGCTACTTACCGGATCTCGAAGATTCGGTGACGGGTTGAAGAAGAGGGTCCGAGCAGTGTGTTACTCAAAGGGTGAATATGGCGAAGAAGCAGCGAGGGAATATCGAGGCGTTTAAATAATCACGTCCTCGCTATTCCGCCAGATGGCGCCTAACCCGATCAGGTACCATCGAGTCCACCTTGCCGTATCCGGTAATCCACGTAGGTCGGCCAATGTTAGACCTTCCTGCACACGCTAATCGGCACGCTTTTGTTCTGTCCCAGTTCACGCAGTTTGCCGTCTCCCTTATTAACCCAGCATCCTGCTTTCCCGATCCATCTCACTGCCCGTCGACCCAATCGTGCGAGCTCATCTCTTCCATTCCGTTTTGCCACGTGCAGCCATGCTTCATCCCTCGTGAGACTCCCCTTGTGAGAATCGTTCACACGTGTGTTCCCCTGCATCCAGCCTACCTTCAACTCGCCGCACACGGTACGAGACAAGTTCCAATAAGATCGAATACCGATCTCGGTGCAGCCGCCGAGCGAGCCAGATGAGGTCATCGCGTTCAGACACGGTTTATGGATGCCAGTCGCTGTTGAGTGGGTGGTAGCAGGTGGAGGCTTGAGTGAGGTCTGCAGGTGTCCTTGTAGTGCTCGAGTGGCCATGGTTTTTGGTACCGGGGAAGGGAATTAGTGTTTGGATTCTGAGACGGTTCGGGCGAAGAAGTTTCGTTGCCCGTTTTTCTGTGGGTCGGAAAGCGTCTGAGGCGTTGGTGCCGCCGTCGTTGACCGTGCAATGTTCTGCCTTTGAAGACTCGGTGCGGATGGAATGGGAATGGGAGCGTGGACCTTGACGCGGACGGTTTTCAGCGCTTTGAAATCTCTGAGCAGAGAGTGATGTTGTCACTACCGAATACAAATGTAGGCAACCGTGACGCTTCGTGATACATGCAAGCCATAACCCATGAGATCCCAAGAGAGAAGATGCAGCCGATAATGCCTCGCAAGATATCCAAGGCCCCTACATCCGAACGCCCATCGAAAGCCGCCTCAAACCTCCCCCCAAGCACCCATTCCCCCACCTCCGACACCGATCGCACTGCCACCGCCGCTTCCCACAGCACTACCGCCAATATCCCAATAATTCCTGCTCGAACTCCCTAAACTGCCTCCTCTCAATCCCATCCTCCTCGCACTACCGACAATGCTGCTCGCACAACTACTTCCACTTCTTCTCCTTAGCAAGCTATGCCGCCTCGCATGTCCATGTCTCTGTTCCCAGGTTGCTGCAGCGCGTGAAACGAGAGGGTGATACTGCCTTATGATAGCTGCGCGGCGGAGGGAGTCTGGGGTGGATGTAGTGGCGATGTTGAGAGGTGGTTTGCTTGTGGTTGCGGGGCGTCGTTGGGACGTGAAACGGTTGTGGAGGAAGCGAAAGACGGTTTTGATGTCTGGGGTTTGTTCCCAATATTCGCGGTTGTCTTCTGGAGTGGCAGGGGCGGGTTCTTCTTCAATGCCCCAGAGGGCAGCATGTGTGGAATCAGCGGCAGAAGTTTGTGCGGGGAGAGTTGCGTCTTGCAGGGTCGGTCTGAAGTCGAAGGATGCTGCTGCATTTGCGGTGGGCGTTGGGGGCTTGGACTGTGACCTTGAAGACGTTGGCATTGTGATTGGTATACCAGCGTAGTCTGAGGTGGAAGGATTGAATGGGGTGCTGAGGGTGCTGGATGCGCCTGGGTGCTCTGTGAGCTGCTGCAATAGTATTCCGAGTTCACGAGATAGACGGTCCAAAAGCCGTCCTTCCCAACCAGTGCCAGCAGGTATGGATGATGAGCTATCCAAACGTAACGATCTTGCGGAGCCCAATCCTGGAGAAGGGTTGCCGTCGAGTCTCTCTGTCGGAAGCGATTCGCCGAAGATGATGGAGAGCAGATCGTCGTCGATACCAATGAAATCACGAATGACTCTTCGAGTGATGCGCTGCCAGAAGGATTCGCGGTCCTCGATCACTGAGGAGCTCGCACTCAAAAGTCCGGTTGTCGCTTCATCCCCAGCATTTTTAGCAACTGAGTCCTTGATAGTCTGCTCCAGGCCAGCAGGACCGGGTGTCGTTTCTGCTCGCTGGCTTTTCACACTGGTTCTTCTCCGCCTGGTCTCCTTCTCAATCTCATCCAACAGAAGCCTGGATTGTTCCATCCTCCATTTCTCAATCCTCTCCCTTGTTTCGGCCTCAATGCTCGCAACATCATGCTCTTCGACAGCCTCTATTCTCCTTTGCACGCTAGATCTTCTTCTATGGCGCCCGAGCCCGATAGATCGTTTTCGCGGGTTGAAATGCTCAAAGTGCCATAGCTGCTCCTGAAGAGGTGGACTGGACGTAGGAAATGTGCCCAGTCCATCATGCCGTGGCAGTATGGAACCGCTTGGTTCGAAGAGTCCTGGTCTGTGTGTGGGCGAAGGTTCCTGAAAATCGTGAAGGCCTTCGTCTAGACTGTCCAAGTCCTCGTCGTCTTCGACGGAGCCATTTGTGGTCTCGCAAGGGACATAATCATCTTGTCTTGACTTGGCGTCCAAAGAGCCAAAGTCGCTTAGCCTCGACAATCCAGCTGTACGTGTCTGTGCCGTCGATGCAGTCTGAGTTAGGGTATTTGAACGTGCTGGGAAGAGGACCCATTCTTGCGACTGTTCAAGCTCTCGATGTAGCGGCGAGGAAATGGGGGATGCAGCATTGTCCCGTGAGTCCTGGGCGGCGTGTTGCCGTATCGCAGGGGCGAAGGTAGTTTGGTGGAATGCCATGGCGTCTCGAATTCTGTCTTTCGATGAGGAATCCTCCTTAATGCCTGCTTTCCCTCCGCGCAATCAAGCCCCAAGTGGGCCAGCGCGCAGGACTCGATCCAAATATGATTTGCTCTCCTGCCTTCCGACAGTGGTCAAAGAAGCTCAACCGAAGATGGCTGCCGATAGAAAAGTTTGGTCAATGCAGTCGCAAGGTGAGGCAGCAATGTTTTGGTGGAGATGACTCGTGTGACTCATGTGTATGACCTGGGAATTGTGACTAAGGAATGGATGACAGGTTGGTGCTTGGTAAGGCGGCCAAGGTGGGAGAGCACAGGGAAATGGTGTACCTAGGTCTTGCACTGATGACTGATTTAGACTAAGTATATATTGCCATCAATTAAAATGCCATGTCGTCGCCAGGCATAGAGTATGTTCGCTTGCTTGCTTGCTGCTTATCGCCAGTATTCACTAGAGTATTCATCGGAGCTCCAGCCACATGTTCGATTGATACTAGTACAGATCCTGGTCATTTGATAACGGTTAGCGGTTACCGGTTAGCGCCGTTGCAAGGTCTAGCACCCTCGTGCGCTCAGACCCCTGGACGATCCAAAGATTTTATTTCCTCACCTACAGAGTTGAGCCTCACTGCATTCTGTCGATATTCTGGGTGACTGGATCCTTCGTTTCTCACAGCACGCTGAAGAACGTTCCGCCTGGAAAGGTGCTTGTGTCATCGGAAATCTTCAAAAAAATTGGAAGTCTTTGTTGTATTGAGTAAGCTGTTGCATGATATGATGGCACCCTAGTCGCGGGATAGTACCTACTCATCCTCAAAAAGCCTTAGGTTCTGGGGCAACACTTCGCATTTTCTGTGACTTTACACTCTCTTGACCGCCTCCCTCTTGTCTTGCTGTACAGAGCAAGGCTCCTGCATGCTGGATCTGCTTCTGGGTCCAGTGTCTTGCTTCCTTCACAAGCGACTTCTTGCGTCACTATCCACTTATTCATCACTCTACTGCTCCTGTGTCCCTTCTGAAATTGTTATACTGACCGCATATTACCCATCCGCCTATTGAGAGACCAGCTACCAGCCCGGCATGTTCTCCCCAACCTACGTCCAACTCAAGTACTGGTTCTATCCAATTGGGAACACACCTGCGGTCAATCTGCTTCGGGATCTTCCATCATGCCAGGAGGAGGAGACTATCAACATCCTGTCTTTAGCTTGTGGGGATCCGAGAAACGTCCTGTTTTCTTTGTGGTGCGAGCAAGGACACAGCAGCAAGCGGACCGTAAGCTTCACCTGCTGCGATATTGAACCGGCAATACTTGCACGAAACGTGGTCCTTCTCACGCTCATTACCAATGGATGCCCAAGTACAGAGCTATGGGACCTCTTTTACCATTTCTACGTGCCTACCAAAACTCTATCCATCCTTCGCACTCATGTTGCGGGCTTGGTAGAGGCCTCGAAATCTACTGAAAAATGGGCATCGTCTCCATATGGCAGCTACATTAAATACGTAGATAAGGCCACACTGCAGGAGTTGCGGCGGTATTGGACCCGCTATGCGTCGACCGAGAAATTTCCCCAAGCCAGGACTGCTATCGCCCAACGCAGCAAGGAGATTGGCAACATGCATCTTTTGACAGGCGTACGGTCGGCAGGTCCGTTGTGGTCTCGTGCAAGTGAGACAATGGCGCATGTTTACCGGGAGTTCTGGAAGACAGGTGTCGTAGCAGGGAACATTGAGGATCTCTCTCGACTGAACGGCAAAGGAGAAGTCAATCCGATGTTTGCGGTCTCTTCAGCTGCTTCGAGAGATTTCGCTGTTCACTACGGTGCCGAGCCACTTCTAGGGTTCCGCCTCCCAGAAGCTTTTCATCAAAAGGTTCCTGAACAAAGAGGGGGCACATCGGAACAGGCGAAGCGTGCGGTAGCGATTGCCAAGTCGCAGTTCAAGGCTTGGTGTGAGTGCTTTACCAAGTACGTGAGCAATGACCGTGTCCATGTCAGCTTCTTCTGCGGAGAAGCTCTTGCTCTCAGCCACGACTTGCAACTAGCAATTACTCTCAACCAGAAGCCTGGCCACGTTACCAGGACCTACGTCAAGCCATGGAGCGCCTGTCCGCTATTGCTCGATGGGTATGTCAGTCTGAACGCATCGAGAGACTTGCCCTACGATCTGTTCGATGTCATCGATACCTCAAACCTTGGTGATCATGTCGGATTCATTAACATCCTTTCTGCCACGACTCCATTACTCCGGCGAAACGCCTCTTCAGTGGTCTACACCGAGAGCCTGTTGATGGCGTCAGAGGATATCTCAGCATCTTTGTCGACAGTTCTGGGTTCAGACGTTGCCACGTTCTCAATGCTTATAGGATTGGCCCCTTCAGGATTGTTGACAGGCGTGACACTCGATGCTGTCTCCAATGAGACTGCGTTATTTACCTTTATGCAAGGAGATAACAGCCAAAAGCAGTATCGTATGAGGGTCTCTTGGAAATACCCCCAATTTTCGGATCCCAGCGTCGTAGGAGTGCTTGGAAGTAGTACCGGGAGCGACTTCCAAGTCACATTCGAAGCGAAAGAGCTCGCCGGTCACCTTTTCGATATCTACAAGACAATGTTCGCTCACGAGGATATCTCGAGGATGACGGCCCAGCTCGCTCGCATGAGCGTTGGACAATATTCGATTGATTTGCAGCGCTATACAAGGGCTGGCATGGCTGCTCTGCTCCGCCTGGTCAGGGCCACAGTCCAGGTAGACTGGGAGCAAACTATGCACCTCCTCGATAGCCATCTCGTCACGGATCGGTCGTTGATAGTCGGATCCAATAGTCTCCAGGAGTTGTATATGCATCTTCACATTTTTGGTGTCTGGACAAACGAGTGTTTGGAACGTAGCCCGAATCAGCTTGGAACCGGCTTCGGGCTGTCTTTGAGACCAACATCCGGCGATAAAGGCATCCTCGCTGCAGACAATACACCCTCAGTTGTTCAATTAGTCCTGGTAGTGCCAAGGGAGAAGCTCACCGTCTTTACCGGCAAGACTCCTGACGCGATTGGAACTCCCGCTCTACATGTCTCTGTCACCCAGACCAATGGTCAAAACCAATACGAAAATTGCTTCCACTCATTCCAGGCTTTCTTCGGCAAGGTTGTCTATGACGACAGCACCCAGAACGCTTCAATCATCGAAGAAGACGACCATGGCTGGCTGGGCTCAGCTGATCTTGTTGTTACTTGTGCGGTGCCCGCCTTTGGCTTGCTAATTGGGCCAAGAAATGGCATTCGGGCTGCTCTCATGATCAATACCAATCCTGATAACCTTATGAAGTTTAGACACCTTGGTGTGCGGATGGCGGTCTTCAAGACCGGATTTCACGATGGGAAGAGACTTTTTGTCTGTCGTGATGCACCCAAGCTGGACGCCTTGCGATCGTCCTCAATGCAAAAAAGGTGGATCGAGAAGGTTTCATCGCAAAACCAATCTTCGCTTCAGACGCTCGTAAAGCTGAACGCCGGGCACAGAGCTACTCACCTGCAGAGCCATATCGATTTCCCAAAGGACTCCGCTGAGAGCCAAGCGCTGTCTACTGGGGCAGCGGTCACGGTCATCGAATATTCACCAAGGTCTGTGATGTTGCGAATTGGCTCGTCTCTGAAGCGACAAGTCACCTTTCCCTTCCCGATTCAAGGATCCCAGCCGAAGACAAGAGTGGCAAGAAAGTCTTCCTGGATAGAGGTCGAGGTCCCAATCTTCACTGCATTGGATGGTGACCGCTTCAACTCGTGGACCCAGGCGACGGTGTTCGAGTCCGGTCATCCACCACTGTGTTGGAGTATACCCCGGATAAATTTAGAGTTGCAGCCCTCAGTCACTTTTCCAAAGAAGGGAGACTGGTCATGGCTTCGCACATTCATGGGGACCACTCTCAGTGACGCTGAGAGACCCTTGAGTAAGCCAGATCAAGCAACGACAACGAACGCCAAATTGGATTTAAAGCAGTCATTGAATATTCTCTTCTTGACATTTGCGGGCCTCAATGAGAACCGTGTTGGTCCAAAGAAGACCTTTCAACTCGCTCTTGAAACAACCGGCGCTCATACCCTCATATTTGCTACCGGGATCCGTCATGATCTTGACTTGGGCTCCCTAGTAATGGAAGCTTACGTCGTGCCTTTAACGATCCCAAGAGTGAAAGAGCTTCTCCCGTCGCTTAAGGCATTGCAAACGACCGAACCCTGCACTATCCGAGTCAGCAACGACGAATCGACCCTGTGGAAGAGAATGCTCCCAGCCTTAGCCGAGCGCTGCCGGACATGGCAGCATAAGTCGACATGTGAATATCAGAACAAGGGCGCTCCTCTGTCCACAGAGGAAGGCAAATCACCTCTGTGCAGCTGCGGCGAGGGAAATGTCTCTGGCTCCGAGCTCGCCAAGCTTGGTTTGAAGGAATGGGCGCCATTCGCGAAATACGCTGTTCGGGTTGCTATCGCTCCGATATTCCCGGTCCCATACGTGGAGTCGTCGTTGTCGGACATCCTCAAACTGCCGCGAGCGACTCAATCATATCCTTCCCCTAGCTCGCCGCCGAAGTTGCCGTCGCAGGCTCCAAAGTCGGCGGGGACAGAGGCCAAGTGCGATCATTGTGGGAAGTCTGGGGACAAACTTCAGGTGTGTGGAGGCTGCCGGAAGGTGAGATATTGCGGATCGGAGTGTCAGAAGGCGGCGAGGAAGGAGCATAAGAAGGATTGTGTGAGGTGATTGAAGATGTCAGCTTGACAGTGCAGTGGAAATCCATATCGTAGACCGACATGATAATCAAAAGCTATGTGACTAAGATCCATTTCTGAGATAAGGTACATTTGCAAAGGCCACGACTTAGCTTGTACCACTTATACGAGCCCTAAAAGTGGATGTCGATGATAGCGCCACCCTTCTCGCAGGCTGCACTTGATACAGGTTGGACGTCAGGCAGGATGTCGGAAAAAATTTTGCAATCTGGGGCGTTCCCTTTCTTGCACCGGCGTCCGCAAGTGGTACCACACTCAGCAATGTAGTCTCCAAATCTGGGCCATAATCAAACACCGAATCACTTCTTCTCTATTGGCGCCTGATCTCGCCGATATCGTCATGCGCTTTTGTACCGGCCACCTTTTCTGTTCCTTTGCTTGCTCTTCCGAGGTTTTCTCTCCCAGTAGAGCTTCGTTCTTGTCCGTGTCTTGCTCGCGTCGAGGATTTTCCGTTGGAGCTCCGTATCTTTGAGTGCGCGCTTTGGTTTGGATTCAGCATCTCATTTAGCTTGACAGTCCGCCTTGTGTGCCTATCCGCCTCTTCGAGTGCAGTTCTTCGGCCGTCAATGCGACCTAATCTGTTGCTCCTATGAATTGGTGCGCGAGCGACACATGTCGAAGTCCTTGCCCGTCGCACACTCTCATGTCTCTCATAGCTCATCCTGACCATGCTGCTCCCTCCTAACATGTCCCTTTCCCTGTCCCCGTTCCAATTTTCCTCCTTTCACCATCACAACAGATCAAAGTCATCCAACTTCTCCCTATACTTCAGGATATTCCGCTTCACCTTACTGCTGTCCACCCACGTCACGAAATCCTCCATGTTCCTCGTCACCAGGAACGCGGGGTCCGTCACCACCTCCGTCCCCACCCTCACGTGTCCCTGTTCCACGAACCTGACGGCCGCGGTGACGTTCTCCGCCATCCGCAGCCGCGTCATCACGACGCCGAGCCTCCTCCTCGCGAGCCTCGAGACTCCGACTTTCCGCTCGACTTCGCTGGGTTTGGTGGTGCCGGAGAGGATGCCCATGTCGTAGAGTTTTTCCAGCATGATTTTCTCGGTCTGGACGCGGACGGGGTCGGAAGGGTCGAGGTTGCTGAGGGAGTGGGCTAGTTGGCGGAGGGAGCCGCAGATTCCTGAGGGTTGGTTAGTTTTGTCTGGTATTCTGGGGGCCGAGAGGGGATCAGGGCTAGGTGGGAGATTCGTACGGTTGTACTTTGTGTAGTCATTGGGATTCTGGATCGTATATCTCCGACAGATGGCGGCGGCGTGATGGTTTGCATCGCTTTTGTAGGTGGTGAAGTCGACTTTCTTTGAGTAGCTTTGATTCGTGGTACTTAAGACGGCGGACTGCGTGGATTAGCAATGATTTGTGTTACAGTGTGCGGGAGTCTTACCCATCTTGAAGAGTCGAAGAAGTGGTTATTGGTATACTCGGGCTCTTTACAGATTTTTCTGAGCTTTATACAAGGTGTAAAAAAGTATTCCTGTGTAGGAGTAGAAAGTCCTCATGAATCCCCGAGTACGGAGTATCGTAGCCACAATTTGAGAATTTTGAAAGGGTGTGCGACGGTGCGAGAGAAACTTTTATGTATCTGTATGCATACCTTTTCTTTAGCGCGCTAGTCGCGCGGGTATATTGTGCACAAGTGAGCATGTCTTCGAATTCGAGACTGCTTTCCCAGACTGCCCTGGCACTGAACAACAGCGACAATGAAAACCCGCTGTCTCGCAAGAGCCGTGACCCGACTCGAATCCCCCAGATGCCTCCATCGCCCCTTCTCCACCTCACCCTCCACCTCCGACGACCCTCTCCCCCCCCCCGCCCCCAACGTCCCTCCCCCCGCCCCTCCCCTCCAACATCGCCCGCAACGCCTCTCGCAACCCGAACCGCGACGACGGCATCGCCCTCGCCAAGAACATGATGCAGGAGATCGACCGCACGCGGTACAACGCCGTCCGGGGCTACGACGCCCAACGCGCCACCCTCAACGACGTCGCCAAGGTCCAGCGCGCAAAGGATCTGGAACGGCAGATGCCGAGGCTGTCGAAGTGGGGGGTCGGCGACGTGTACGCGCCGCACGATTTGAGTGCCGTGGAGGCGGGGAAGTGGAGGAAGAGGAAGAGTAGTGAGAGGGATGTTTTTGATATTTTGGGCATCAATCCCTTGGAGGAATACAAGGTATGCGGAATCTATGGAGTTGTCCGATGGGGGTATGGGGGACAGGGGGTTTCCTTGATGCTAATGCCCGGGTGACGGACAAGAATTTCTCAATGATGTCCGAATTCATGACGCCCATGGGCCGGATCAAACACCGACGCGAGACCGGCTTACGCGCCGTGAACCAAAGGAAAATCGCAAAGGCGATCAGGAGAGCTGTGGGTATGGGGTTGCTACCGAGCGTGCATGAGCATCCGGAGGTGTTGGAGGTGAAGGCGAGGGATAGGGCGATGAGGCTGGAGTACGGAGCCGGTTCTAGGCGGTGACGGGCGGTCATGGTGATTTCGGACGCATGGGCTATTGCGCCTCCAAAATGCTTCGGTCGAGACTACGAACATGGTGGAGTGCAGAAGCTCCTGCGAAGCCAACGTTTACAACGACCGTTTGCGCCTACGTCGCAAATGCGTTTTGATGAATCCATGAGCGTTCCATGCTCTTAAGGAGGTCTTGCATCTTACTCTGCAAGAGAGGGGTTTGAGCATCCGAACGCAAGTGTACATATATCACAAGACAAAATCATCGCATAGATCCACATGTGTTATGTCCAGCCTTAGCATACAGTGTGGGCTTCTAGCTATCTGGAAACATTGATACCGAAATTTCCATGAGCCAGGAGGACCTTTATTGCACCTGTACTTTTCCTTTTCCCTTTGTTTTGGCTCTCGTCCTGGTATACCAATGCCTCTGCTGCGGGTGACCGCTCGCTCTCTTAGCACGCTTCGAATGCTGTCGCTAAGAGGAAAACAAAAGAAAATCGTAAATCATAGAGACAGACATAATTAGGCATCAAAGCGAACCCTCAGACCATTGTCCTGAAGGGACCGTTCAACCAAGACATTACTACCCTGTTCGAATGGTCCCGTTCGTTGCTGCACATTCGTGGTACCTGACCCGCTGATACCATCGCTGGGGTGGACAATGACGCTGCCAGCGATGTTCACCTTTCTTAGCCTTGAGCTGATGGGCAAAGAGTATTTCATGACGCCACGAACAATTAAATCAAAGTCGTACTGAAGGACGTGTTCCCAACGCTCGCTACCGCCCTCTTCGGTCCTGTTGCCAGGCTTGGCAAGGCGGACTTCACCTACGCTACCAAGTGAGTAGTGGCGAATAGGTGATGCCTCGAAGATAAGAGGGGAATCGAACTCGAATATTTGACCAAGAAGCATGGTTTGTGAGTCGGTGGTAGGGTCGTCAATAGGATCTGTGCCTTCGTCGACACCGCCGTCAAAATGGGAGATGATATCTGAGGGGTCAAGCAGCGGGGGAGCTTGTTGGGAAGCAGCTTCGTTTTTTTGCGACTTGGATCGGAGTTTTCGAGTTGATGTTTGTGGATGACCGGATCGCCATAAAGAGCTTGTACCGACGTGTTTGCTTTTCGCAAAGATGTTGACATCGAGCTCGCTGACTTGGATAGCGAGAATGTTGGGGTTCATGGCGTGCACGTGAAGGTCGAGCATTATCTCTTGCTCCGATGCAAGAACGTTACGAATGTCTTTCACATGAACATCGATCAATGGCTTGGAGCACATGACGAGGATCATCACAATTGCGGCTATCAAAACTGCCAAAACGCTGCCTAGACCCGTAAAGGCTGTGACACGACCACAGCAACGGTGGTCTCTGTTTTCTGAATAGATGTGTCGTACACTCCCAGGCAACGGCCGTCGACGATTACGCCCACTACGGACGGAGCCTATCAACGGTGTTCGCTCATCGTCGGCACCTTCGCCTTCAAAATCGTATGACATAAGTTCTTCAATCTTGCGTGGGCTTTTGGTGACATGGACAGCTTGAGGATTCCGTGAGCTGCGGGGAGAAACGTGACCGGTTGCAGAACGTGTAGACTTGGTAGCATTTGGGAACGGAGAGTCGCTGTCAAATAGAGATGCATGGCCACCACGTCCATATCGCCCAATGTGGTGGTGATGAGTTGTATTTCCGCTGGCCGGTCGCCCAGTCTGACTTGGACCTCTCACAGTCCCATCACCGCCTTCATTTGAGTATCCAATAGAATTGTAATTGTTAGAAAACTTCATGCTCTTCTTACCAACAACACTATGATGTCCCTCGTGTCTCCCTTTAGCACCGTAATGGTCATGGTGACTAGCGGTGGACGTCGCACTTGGGGTACGGGAGTGGAAACGATTTGCGCGGGCTGAATGTGGCTCTGGTGGATTGGATTCGTAGACGAAAGTTTCTTCAGAGTCTGATGAATCTGCTTCATCAACGGCACTTGCGACTTTTGCTTCGAAGATGTCTGCTTTTGAGGAGGCTATTCTCCCTCCGAAAGGTATCAGCACGGTACTTGTACGCCTGGGGATTCCATGGGGGTTTGGGGATTTGCAGTGAGCATTTTGGGTATGCTTGTCCTCGCGATTGGTAGATCGCAAGTCGGACATAAATTGCCCTGGCACTTGATTATTGGGCAAGTCAAGGGACCTTACGAGCATTGAGCTCATGGATTCAGGAGAGGGGAGTCGCGAATGGACATGATGGTAATGATAACGATGACAAGCTTTGAACATTAACCCACCTGTGCCAGAATTCATAGAGGGCGCCTTTCGCACCACCCTCTTTTTCTCCTTTTTGGGCCGTATCGTCTCATTACTAGGCTTCAAGCGCAAACTTCCTCCCGTCTCCGTCCTACCAAGGGGATGTCGTTCACCAGCACCACCTCCCAAAGCGAGCTGTGGTATCGAGCTGACGGTTTCGGTCTCCACGGTCATGTTCTTGACAGACCCATCACTAGCGGGGATCTTACTCTTCGTGAACGGCAATTGCGTGAACGACTTCTTTAACTGCACCACCGGCGGCTTGGCAGAGTTGGCAGCGGTTGCTGGTTTCCGTGTATCTTTGTTGCCATCAGCGCCCTTGGCTCCAGCACGCTTACTGCCTGCACTGTCATTTCCACTTTCGGGCCTTGAGTCTGCTTCCTTTCCGAACGCCTCTTCCATTGGGTTCTCCTCAATCCGCTCTGGGTGATCGTTTGAGCCTCCCTTGCTTGTGTGAGTCATTCTTGTGCCGATGGCCGGTGTAGCTGGAAGGCTACTCTCTTGTACAGTCTCGAGTGCTGGGCCATTCCCACTTATAATTCGAACTGGCGTCCGCATTCCCGACTTTACTGGGTGATCATCCTCCGGTATATCTGATTCGCTGCCAAAAGTAGAGCTTCGAGTAGGACGTTCGACGACAATAGTAGGAGTTGTAGGTGTGGACTGCGATTGATCGATCTTGCGAGATGTTAAGTAAGAGCTGTTTGTTCCAGATGATGCAGATGGCGGAGGAGACTTGACACGGAGCACGCTGGATCCGGAGTGCTGAGAGCCGCCAGCCGGTCCTTTGTTGGCCCTCTGAGGCCGTGGCGTATCAACAGCAAAGTCCGCTGCAGTAGAGGGTGGTAAATGTGGGGTACCTGTCGCCGATAAAGCTCTTTGAATGGCAGCTGCAGACGGCACCGTGGGTATATTTGCGCTCGGTCCTCGTATCGGACTCAGATCCTGACTGTTTTTCCTCGACCTAGTCGTCAGTCGGCTTCCCGTTGATGCGCCGGGCTTCAGAGGAGGTCGTACGGGCGAACCTTCACGTGAAGGTTTGGGAGAGGTTGTGGCAGATGAGTTGGCGGAGAGCTGAGGAGTCGTCGAAGCCCGTATGAGGCTCGGCGCGGACGATGAAGGTTGTTGTGAATCTTGCGTGCCTTCTTTGCTTGGATCAGACTTGTTTTCATCATTGCCCTTCTCCTCAACTTCCGCTTGGTCATTATTAGGCTTTTCTGCAGTGGGCGCCATGAATTGGGTTCAATCACAGGCACACACGTCAGTATTCTGTTCCTGGCGGGTCGGCATCCGGGTTCTCTTGAGAAATTGTACTGGGCAAATAGGGAAGTGAGAGGGATTCGCGCTGAGAGAGCGATGAACGTATTAACATTGTGTATACAAGAGATACAAGAGAGACAAGAGAGACAAGAGAGACATGATATGTGGCTCAGTTATTTGGAGTACTTTAGTTTGAGGCATGATGAAATAATGCGTGGCGCATTGTCGTTCGCTGTCTCGCTGTCAGGGCCTTGTCCGCTTTTCACGCCGAGCATTAGTGTCAGAACTTGACCAATCAGAGGACGCTTAGTAATCACACGTTTCTTAGTGAGGGCTCCACCGGCTCGGTGATTGCCCATTTCTCAGTAGCACAGATATGTAACTCTTTGCTACTCGACACCACGACGCCAAAAATTAGTCCCATACGTCCACTAACTTGATACGTACGACTTGACACCTTACTCATCCTTCTTGCGAAGTAGATGTCTTGAGAAGACTGCTCATTAGATTAGCTCAGCTTAAATCTTCTGGGAACACTCGTCATTTGTTTTCATCTTGCAGACCAGCCAAAGACTCAAACCAAAATTCTACGTCGAGGCCCGTAGGTTGCCTTTCTTGACGTCCCAATTTCACACGGTCCTCTGTCCCTTATAGGGTCTTTGACACTCAAGACGATGTGTCGAGCCTAAAGTTCAACACAAGCACATGCTAAGTAGCCCACTTCTTCTTTTGCTACTTGAACGTTTCTTCTCTGCACTTCCTTTACCATCCAAGCCACACCATTATCCCATCTCATTATGCCTCTAAGAAAGCTAGCCATGAAGAGACGTGTATATCGTGGCCCAGAGACAGAGCGAAAGTTAGCTTTCATGCTTGCCCATCAATTGCATCTTCAGGATACACAGCGACAACGACCTTTCCCTGAGACACCTTTGGGTAGACTTCCTGGGGAGATTCGTGAACTGATCTACGAACACGTCCTAGTGGCTCCACCATCACAGTCGACGAAATATCTTCGCGTCCCTCTCATCGCAGCCACAAACTCGGATATGACTTTGGCTAACGGGGCTCCCATAACCACGAACTCCAAGGCCACCTCTGCAGAATCTCCACAACTTGCTTTAGTAAAACACCCCGGGTCTGCTAAGGTTTCGTACCTTGCTGTTCTACAAACTTGTCGTCAAATAAACCGCGAAGCCTATCATATCTTCTACGCCAAAAACTCCTTCCACTTTACAAACGCACCAGATCTGCTTGCTTTTCTCTTCGGCATTGGACAAGTGCGGCGAGCAGAACTCACGTCTCTCCATATTGAGGGTCTGGTGGTAGACCAACCTTTCTGGTACATGTCTTTCCTCGACCGCTATTGCATTCACCATAACATCTGTACGGCTGAGCGAGGGAGACTTGAAGCTTTGCGGTGGCCAGGTCTACACCCAGACGTCTACAAAGCCTCAATAGCACTGGAAGGCTGCAAGAACCTTTCCAAACTGATTCTTGAGCTGCCCGCAGAGGAGAGATTCAAATACATCCTGTTTCTGATATACGATCTCGGATTGAGCAGACCTGTAGCTTATGTGGTTGACGAATCTCATTGGGTTATTAAGGCGCGTCGCGATGGGAATATTCCGCCTCGCCAACCTTTGGAGGACTTTAAAAAGTGGACAAATTATAAAGCATGCCATCCGAACTGTGTGACAGGAAAGAAGCTCAGGGTCGAGGTAGAGATCATCAGGGATTCGGAACAAGAGTTGAGGAAAGGATTCGAGGTAGCAATAGGCTGAATCGCCCCGGCCGGGGAAATGCCAGAGGTGTAGAGATAGAAGGGGAGAGGACCACTTGATCATTAGATAGATTTTGAGCAAGCCGTGTAGTGTTCCCATTCGCTCAAGAAAAGTCCAATTCTCTTATGGATGTGCAAGTTTACATGGTTAGATGCTAGACTTATTAATGCCTAAGTGCCTTACCGGCACCCGAACGCCCGCTCCTATCATCCACTATCTAGTGCGATGTTTTGGCCCTCGACTGACACAGAGACCTTCTACTCCCCGATCTTGTTAGCCTTTCCTCAATCCTTCCTCTTCCCACTCATACCAGTATGGAGTAGACATAGATACTTCATCCCACACATTGCTGTGAAGATTCAACATTAGTTAGATCTGAAGCGATCCTAAGTTAAGGTACCTCTAAACTCACACCTACAGTAATAGACAGTACCTACATCATCTGCGGGGCACCAGCCCTGTTATCCGTCGAGCTAGCGATAAAGCTAACTCAAGGCAACGAGGCAACCTTCCCAGCCTCACCTTTCCCACCTCAACGCTGACCTTCTTTTCCCATCATCAATAATCCCATCAACCCATCAACCCATCAACCCATCAGTCATACAGCATAACAGCATAACAGCCAATATGTCTCGCTACGGTGGTGGCGACACCACGAGGGTTGTCTATCGAGATGCTCGTGACGTCGAAGGCGGATCGACTGTGTCACGTTCAGCAGCAGCACCCCGCAGTAACAACGAAAGCTACACCACTCGCAAGGTCTATCGCGTGTCCAACCAAGATGAAGAGGAAGAACGTATTCCGGCCTTTCTGGCCCCTCGCGAGCGCACCTACGGAGAGACTCGTGTCGTCCGCCGAGAGAGAACTCCGGAGCCCGAGCCTATCGTTGAGCGTCGAGAGATTCGAATCAGAGAGAGAACTCCTGAACCTGAACCTGAACCTGTTGTTGAGCGTCGAGAGATCCGGATCGAACGAGAACGCGAACCTCAGCCTGAACCCCGACGCTACGAAACAGAATATCGATATGATCGAGAAATTGATCGAGTAGCACCTCGTCGCGACGATCTTGAAAGATACGTCAGGACTGTAGACTACTACCCACGTCAAGAGGCCCCCCAGCCTATCATCATTCGCCAAGAGCCGCAACAGATCATCATCCAAGAAGCACCGCGACCACCCCTTGTAGTGTCACCACCACCGCTACCAGCAACCCAGGAAGAAAGCTATGATATCATCAAGCGCTCTGAGGTTCGCTCAGAGGTCGGACACCGCTCCGAAAGCCATCGCTCTGAAGTCGGAGAAGAGCGCCAGATTGCTCGACGGCCGAAGCCGCCGAAGCCAGAACCCGAAGAGGAAGAGGAAGATTACTATTATGAGCGCAGAACACGTCGAATCGATGGCCGCGATCGTGATGATGAAGAGTACGAATCGAGTCATCGTCGTCGTGACAGAGAAAGAGACGTCAGCCCTGGCGATTCGATCTCTCAGTATGGCCGTGATCGTCGAGGTGGCTACGACAGTGATTCTAGCTATGAGTACATTAAGAGAGAGACACGTGAGGAGTTCAGCGATGAAGAGCCTCGTCACCGACGGCATCTTGCTGAGGGTGCTGCAGTTGGTCTTGGAGCTGCTGAGCTACTGCGCCATCACCGTAAGAAGAAAGGGGAAGATGAAGGCGGCCGCGGTAGTCGTGTAGGCAGGGACGTTGGAGCCGCAGCCTTGGGTGCCATCGGTGCGGAGGCTGTGACACGAGCCCGAAGCCACTATCGAAGCAAGAGCCGCCGTGGATCTCGAGATCGCGGATCTCGGGACCGTGACCGTGATCGTGACCGTGACCGTGACCGTGACGGCGACCGTGAAGGACGGCGGAAGCACAAGCGCGATAAGTCTCGTGGCAAAGAACGAAGCCGGAGTGAATCAAACCATCGCGTCAGGAATCTCGCAGGTTTGGGTCTTGGAGCCGCTGCTGTTGCTGCTGCCGTCGGCTACGCAAACAGGAACGCAAAGAAGAACGAAGGCCAAGATCGGCGCAGCCGCTCAAGGACTCGAAGGAATTCTGTCGGCGCTCTCCCTGCACCCGAGGAGGCGGATGATGCTCGAAATGCTTCTCACAGGAACAAGAAGATTGCCCAAGCTGGTCTGGCCGGCGCCGCCGTGGCTGGGCTTGTAGAAAGAGCTAGAAGCAAGTCTCGCGGGGGTGGGAAGAGGGATCGTTCCAAGAGTAGAATTCGCCAAGGTCTTCCAATTGCTGCTACTGCTCTAGGTTCCGCTGCTGTCGCAGGCTTGTATGAGAAACAGCAAGCTGGCAAAAAAGAGAAAGAAGCCCGACGTGAAGAACGTGCAGCCCGGAGGTCAGCAAGATCGAGATCCAGGTCACACGGTTATGACGCTTCTCGTGAAGCTCCGGTCGGAGATCCCGGCCTCATCGAGTATGGACAAGAACCGGTCTACAATCAAAATGGAGTGCCGGACTTCTACAATCGACCAGCAAGTCAGCAAGGTTACTACAACAACACTGAAGACGCTATGGTTCCTGCTGCAACTGCAGGTGCAGCATATGGAGCTCAAGCTCAAAGAGACATGGACAGGGGCCAGAGGCAACGAAGCATTTCTTCTGGATCAGATGATGGTCGTCGAAGAAGAAGACACCGACGTCATAAGAGTGGGAGCCGTAGTCCGAGCCGTAGCAGAGATGCAACCACAGCAGCTCTTGCGGCAGGAGCAGCAGGTTTGGCTGCTTCTGAACATGAGAAGAGAAAACAACGCAAGAGGGAAAAGAAGGAAGAACGTAGACGTGAGTATGGACTGGCCGCTTCAATAGCTAAATTGCTAACCATATTTCAGGTCAAGAAGCAGCTGAAAGGGCGTCGTATGGCCAAGATCCGTACGGCCAGCAATATCAGCCCAATAGTCCACCACCTGCTGGGTATCAAAATGAAGGACAACAGACTCCTTATTATCCTCCTCCACCCGGCCAAGAGTATCCTGGTGCTACCCCTGCCCCTGTCGGCCAGATTCAGCAGGAATACAATTACCCACAACAACCAGGCTACACACCTCCAGTGCCCAACACCTATTCTCCAACTCCCGGAGCGGCTGGATATGCTCCGCAACCTAGGGAGCCCAGGAGGGCTGATGAGAATGTGAGTGCTGAAATGTTTCACAACACTGCCAACAACGATGTCCCTTTAAACCCCAACAACGATGCCCTTTCTTTACTCAGCAACGATGCCCCTTTCTATGATTCCAATGGTGCACCTTTTTACTATGAACCCAACAATTTCTCAGGGGAGGGTGGGTGACCATCATTATGCGCCTTACATACCAATCATCTACAACATTTCGCTGACAAAAAACTCTACAGGTGTAAATACGCCCCGCGCCCAGTCCCCGTCCCGCCCTAGTCTTCAACGCAGGGCATCTTCACAACCACCACCCACCACCAAAACTGTCCAATTCGCTCTTGACACTCCTCCTTCATCCCGTCCCAGTTCCCCAAAGCAAATCCGCCAGCGTCGTCAGCATGCCAGCTCCTCTAAGCACTCTCAACACGACGATTATGATAGCGAAGATGGCTCTTCTTCTCGCAAAGATAAATCTCGTGCCGGTCGTCGTCGTCACCGTCGCTCGTCTAGCGATGATCCGTCCAGATCTTCTTCTCCAGCTGAGTCGGACTCAACAGTCGAATTACCGGAGCGATTTGACGAGCGTGGTCGGCCTTTACCTCAGCAAGACGATGATCCAGTGGCTCATATCGAGGAACTATTTGGCGGCAGGGGCTCCGTTGGCAGGTTATTACAGAATTTTGGATTAGGCGGCGGAAGTGATGATGGAGATAGGAACAGGGACAGGGATAGGCGGGGGCGGCGGAGACGATGATTTTCTATGAATGACGATCGAGCACGATCCTTCTCTTGTCTTTTCCTTTCCTTTCTTTTTTTTCCGACGAGACGATATTGGAACAGGATTGGAGGTGACGATGGTTACGAACATGCATGCTTTTCTTAGACCAATCTATCGAAGCAAATGAAAACACTGAATCACAACGACATGCAAATAATCACCAAAAAAACCAAGTCATTCCACCGCTCGCGATCTATAAGTCTACAACCGTCCAAACATTCATCCAGAGCAGCGATGATACGGACCTCCGAACTCAACCCGCCGGAGACCTCGCCTCCTTTCAGGCATACATCAAGAGTAGAGTACCAACCCAACGACAATCTCAACGTCCACCATAACCCCAACAAGAATAATCATAACCCCCAATTCCACACTACAATCCTCGAACAAATAAAATAATCCGGTCCTCTACACATCCACCCCACCAACCTCATAATGATCCTATACCGCCTGTACTAGTATAGTACAGCACCCCAGCCGACACCGTCACGATTAATAATCTCCTTTCCCCACCCCTACCCTTCCCCTTCCCCTTCCCCCCCCCCCCTCCCCTCCCCCTTCCGCAACGATACCAATCAACCTCCCCTCCCCCCCTCAGCGCCCCCATCATACCACCGACCCCTGCCCCAGATATCCCTACCCCAGCCCCCCCCCCCCCTCCCAGCAAAAACCCCGCCTCCAAATCCCCACCACCATCCGTCCCGATACAACTGCACTACAATCCGGCATTCGATAAGCCCGGCCGGCGTATCGATAGCGAACCAGATCCGTCCGTCCGTCCGTCCTACGGCACCGCAGCCGTTTGCGAGTACGATTCGAAAAAGTGCGGGTGGAGTGGTTGCGGTTCGGGGGTCAGGAAGCGCGATGCCTCGTGCTTGGATGTTGTTCGTGTTGGTTGATTGATTGATTGATTATTGATTATTATTGATTGATTGATTGATTGATTGATTGATTGATACATACTTGTCACTCACTGATGGGATCGATGTCGGCACCTTGTCGCGCACTGGTTGAGTCTTACATACTTGCAGGGGAGGTTGGATATCGTGGGCAGGTATCAGACGCTGTACGTTGAGATGGCGTGGGTGCGGCCGCTGTTGGGAGTTGAGTTGGTGAAGAGGGTGGTGGGGGTGGTGTGGAACCGAGTGTTTGTTGTTGGGATGCGGGGTGGAAGGGGATTGAGATGTCAAGCAAGGGGGGTGGATGGGAGCGTTGAAGTAGGAGAAGAATGTGGGAGAAGGGGACGTCGGATGAACAGTGGGAGGGTTTCATGTCAGGGTATAGTAATTCTTTGTACAAAGGATATTGGGACTGCTATTATTGCAGCTGCAGCAACTCCTCATTGAGGACACCGAAGAGCTTCTCGATTTCCTTGCCCACGTCGGTGATTTCTTTTGAGAGTTGGCCGGTGACCAGTGCTAGAGTGGTGTCAGCACAGGCACACGCCCTTATTTCTGGATGCTACAATTGTCTTACCGTAAGCATATAGGAGCTCGAAATCTTGGTCTGTCACGCCAGCCGCATCTTTCTCCTCTTTGCGAAAGCGGAAGATCTTGGCAAGCAATCTGTCTCGCGCATTATCTGTGTTAGGCAGAGCCTCGTTCAAGGGATACTCAAGCTTCATTGACGATGCGAGCACTGCAGATGTATTAGCAGGCGCTATAGTGATAACAGAGGCTTTTGGTTACCTTGAAGCAGATGGCTTATCCTCGTGCTTAAATATGTTCTTTCCCGGGCCGTATCCTCTAAAATCTGGGCTTCCGCTCCGGTCGCTTTGGGATTCTTCATGATCATGACATTCATCGCATGGAACGCATCTAGCATAGCACCAGTGCTCTTCAGGATCCGGGAATAGGCGGCATCAGGGAATGGTCCTCGGAGGTCAACTTCGGAAGCAGCCGAGCTTTTTAAGTTCTCGAGCCGCGACAGAAAGCGATGGAGCTCGAACTCCTCTCGAAGGTCCATGTAGGCATTCGGACTCTCTCCCTCCGTGAGCATCGCGAGCGGGTCGCGTTTCCAAACCAGACCCATGCGGAGCCATAAGATGCTGAGACCGTCTTTGAACTTCTCCCGGGCGCTAATGGGCCAGACAAGGCGCGTCACAATCAATCCCCAAAGACATCTGTATATAGGCGTTAGGAAACTTCAGATTCGGTCACATCGGAAGAATTACCCTGAAAGTACAGCGACGACCCGGTGAAGCGCAATCTCCGTGATAATAGGCCTGGCACCTCCTTCATCATCATCGCCGTCAACCTCCTGCACTGACAAAGAGTAAGCGTAGAGAGCTGAAAGATTGTATGTCAGCATGATAAAGCGGCCCATAGGTCCTTTGCCTTGAGCAACAATGATATAGGCTGTCCAAAGTGCCATGAGCCAGCCGAAAAACGCCAGCAGGAATGCGTTTCCGCTTGAAGCGATCCAGGATATGATGGCGCAAACGGCTCCGATGCATGTGCCGAAGAATCGAGCGAAACCTGTTGTATTGGAAGCACCGATCGTCATTGCACACACCAGCATGTACGAAAGAAGCCCCCATTCACCACGCCAGTGCTGGTAGAATGGTCTACTTGCAGCTAGGAATGATGGCAGAGCATAAAGGGCCGCTCCAATGCCGACTTTGATGGCGAATTTGACATCGTCTCGTCGAAAAACACTCAGTGCCCTCCACAACCGGTAGCTATATTTTGGACCTTCCCGAGCAGACTGCACTTCAATAGCAGCTATTCTCTGGGCTGGATTGGGAAAGTCCCCAGGTATCTCACTCTCTTCGTTTTGCGCTATGAGGCTGTCTCGTTCTGTTGTGAGTTTTATCAGTCAGCTGAGAGCAATAGAAATTGGTGACTTAGGGCGTGAATGGAAAGAAGATGGATTGTATAGGGGTAGACTCAACGGAAGGTAATTTTGTAAAGAGAGGGAAGAGGAGGAGAAGAAAAAATGGCATGAAGCGGAGGGAAGACAATCGAGCAAAGTACAGATGAATAAGTAAATTGAAGCGGCAAACATGGAGTGGTGAGGGTAGAGAGTGATAACCCACGAAAATTCTACATACCAGGGTCGTCATGATGTCGCTTTGGCTTAATGTCGCCAATCTTGCGCCATACTTTGAGCCAGTTCCATGTCTTCCCATCCGGTCTCTCGTCTATCTCCAGCTTCAAGTCGTCCAAAATTTCTAGATATGCCCTCATCTCATTGGCGAAATCTAGAAGAGAAAAACTGAAATAGCCGCAACTCGCAGCGACCTCCTCGAAGTCCGCTTCCATCTCGACTGGACGTGGCTGGGTGAGCTCCTTCGTCTTGTAAAGCTGACCCAAGGCTTCCTCCCGCGAATCCGTATACAACTCGATTGCATCATCTAAGCTCGTCCTAAAATGAGCGTTGACAGCGATGCTACCATTGGGGGCATATGGAAGTTCATCCAGGAGTTTTCTCAATGTTACAGCAAGTGATTTCTGGAAATTCCAATCAGTAATGATTGTCCACCATCAGGGAATGACGCGCTTACAAGTGAAGGACCTAATTGGATGATGAACCGTGCAAAGATGTCGGATGGAGACGTAACGCTATGTACGCTTCCATCCTCTTGAAAGGGGTTAGGGGATAGACATTCTTCAGAGGATGCGTCTTCGGGTGTCTCATCAATCGCAGCCAGCACGCCGTGATCCTCCGAGGGAGACGTTTGGCCGCTCGAACTAGAGGTGAAATACCCAAACTTCGGTGTAGGCGCATAAATTGTACTCGCGGGGGTTACTGATCCTGACACACTAGGCTGTGCCATAAGAAGGAATTGTGTGGTCGCCGCACTGCGCAAACCACCAATGTTCTGTGCCAATCTCTGTATGCAGTTGACCAGCCTCGCCTCCAGCTGATACTCCTTCTCAGTGCCAAGAACGTAGTGTTCATATTTGGCTTCCTTTAGATTCTTGGTCAGTGAAGTAAACACTTTCTTGTATTTGTCCGAGGCATCTCGGAAGCTCTCCTGTTGAAGTTCTTCTTCTGACCCAGTAAGAAAACCTCGGGTGATCATGGCAAGCAAGTCTCCAAAAGAGTCCGTCACTTGAATAAGATCTCCTCTCAGTTCCTCCCTTGCAGATACCGGCCAGATGATGAAGGATACAGCTGTTGTGGCAAAGACTCCCATTAGTATCATTATCATCACTTGTATCACTTTCTCGCCCGAGAATTCGGCAGCTTGGACCGCGCCTTCCTTGGTCAGAACGGTGATTATGGCAAGAGATGTCAGAGAGCATGAGATGTTGACTAGAGGGTGCCCAAGTCGCTGTTTGATCCATCCAACAAAACCCAGCCCACCACCACAGAACACAATTAGGACAACGATATGGCCGAGAACAAGCATATCCAGCGTTCTCTCAAACAGTATCGAAACACCCATGCTGGAGAAAGAGATGAAAACGGCATAGACAAAAGCTAGTACTGCGCATATCATAGCTTCAATCATGCTACCCTTGGACCTGGCAGGGTGGAAGTAGACCGTGATCGTGGCGACCATATGCTTTCCATCTTGCTTTCCCAGGATCCCAGCGATGAAAGGCACGAAAGTTGCCATACTCCCTATCAGGTACGCAACACTGCACTTAAAGACGCCGCGGCCGGTCTTTGAATTTGCAAATCCCCATGCCTGCTTCATTCTATATGTTGTAGCGTTCGATAACCTTGAGAACATTCCCGATTGTAGATCATGATGCTTTCGCCTCTGGGGTACCTGACACTGCCCGTCTGCTGATCCATTGACGTCGGCACCTCCAAGACGTGGTGCTGGTCCGAAGGTTACATTTCTCTTGACACGTCGACCGGTCTTAGGGAGGATAAGGGTAGCTTGACGCAGTTGTCGCTATCAAGGTGTCAGCAGACCTTATGTTTAGCGCAACCGAATAACTTACCTTTGGTCGAAACGACTGACGATGTATCGGAGAAACATTTCCTCCATTCATGTTAGAGGTCATCTTGGTCTCTGCATGTTGGGGGACCGCCAACAGACCCCGCAACGGATCATTGGGGTCCTAGAGATATGTTTTTCATCAGCGACAACAGACTTGATTTAGGTTATGTGGATTGTTCTTCCCGAGAAGTTCCTAAATTAGCTCAGCACTTGCGTGGCCGCGTCTGTCTCGCTTGCAGCGCTAATCAAGCCCAAACGAGGCTAGCGGAACCAGGCAAAGCAAGTGGAGAACTGCTTCCAAAGACCGCCAGTCCGAGCATTTAGAACGTCCAGTATGGCTTCCAAGATCTTGCCTCGCTTTTCAAGATGTGTCACACATCCTTCACGACTGCCCAGGCGATCCCAATGTCGGTTCTTAACCACCACACCGCGAGTGGCAAGCGAAGCTCTCCAAGTTGTCAGTGCTTCTTCCGTCCATTGCGCGCTGTATAGCTCTGCTCACATGTGTTGACGGAGTCCCTAGCACCGTGACAGCCCAGAAAACAATCCTTCTATACCCTTTAAGTTCAATGCTATCAATCAAAAGTTGATCGCCGAAATCTTGAAACGCTATCCCCCACAATACAAGAAAGCAGCTGTCATGCCTCTACTTGACCTGGGCCAGCGCCAGCATGGCTTCACAAGCATAAGCGTTATGAATGAGGTGGCCAAACTGCTGGAGATGCCTCCCATGCGAGTCTACGAAGTGGCGACCTTCTACACAATGTATAACCGGGATCCAGTGGGCAGGTTTCACGTCCAAGCTTGCACAACGACTCCGTGCCAATTAGGCGGCTGTGGTTCTGACAAGATAATGGCTGCGATCGAAGACCATCTTGGCATTCACCCTGGCCAAACGACCGAAGACCGCATGTTTACGTTCTCCGAAGTCGAATGCCTGGGCGCTTGCGTCAACGCCCCCATGGTCCAGATCAATGACGACTACTACGAAGACTTGACTCCCGAATCGATGGTCACCCTTCTCAAAGCATTGCAAGCAACTGCACACGCCACAGGGGCAGCTGGCGGGACGGCAGGAATAGGAGGCGAGAGCGAGACGGGTATGGGACAAAGGAAAGGAGAGGGGAGAGATCAAGACGGCAAGAGTGGGGAAGTGGACGGTCAAGCTGCGAGGGGATATGCGGCGAAAGGGGTCAAGCTGCCGAGTCCAGGACCTATGAGTGGAAGGAAGACCTGCGAGCCGTTTGCTGGTTTGACGTCGCTCAAGGAGGAACCCTGGGGCAATGAGAAGTTGAGGACCGATGGAGCTTTGTAGAAAATTGCAGGGACTTATGTACAGGGCGTTGGTATTGTGACTTTAGTGCGAAACGATCTTCCGTGTTCTGGAGGCGCGCTGCCAGAATGGCATTTGTAGAAGAATGAGCCTACTGGATCCTGACAGCGTCAACATGAAATACGAGCTTTATTGTTTACGCAATCTTTCACATAGACTGCTTCACATATCGATAGTCCAATCCTTTTGGCTTGACACCCATAAATGCGTAAGCTTTAGAAGCGCCAATACCAAGGCAACCACTTTTTGTGGCAGCTTGTCTGCTGGTGCCCCGTGAGAAGAAGGATACTCATTGACGCCAAATATCCATGTTCTAACGCCACATGTCCGTCGTTTGCCTCATGGGCAGATTCGTAGTCGTCATCTCTAGTCCATCCTCCATCCGGACTCCCTCCCCGTGGTGAATCGATTCCCAGGCCTTGATGCCCGCGTAAGTCTCGTCAAATTGGGGGTAGGTACTTAATGTGCCACATCATACGATGCTCGTTCTCCCACTTGATGTCATCGTTGGCGTGACGCATGACACTACTGCCGAAGTCAGGCATGATAGAGGTCCCCTCCACCCCAACATTGAGACTCACTGCCCGGAGACGAGGCGAGCGAAGTTGAGCTGCAGGTGCATAGACGTATCTGAGGTCTACACGAGGCTCAATGAGGCACATAAATCCGCTGCAGAGTGGGCTGTAGATACTGAGCTCTTCAAGCGCCTGAAAATGCTGGAAGCTTCGCTGGATTGCCAAGTCCTATTGTGGGAAATTAGCTACGGTGGATGAGTTTCTCTTTGTTTAGGCCTACTTACATCGCCAAAGTGAAGACCTAATGTTAGTGTTCGAAGGCGTGGGCACATCTCACAGAGATTTTCGATGTCCCTGACGGTAGTAGCTCGCTGTCGCCGAATGAGGCGGGATGGCGGCCTACGGACAGCGTCGGAGTAGTGCAGCGTCAGTACTTCCAGTGTCTCACCATGCCAGCTAATACTGCGCGCCAGATAGAGCAGCGGCAGTATGATCGCACCTTTCAATGCCAGCTTCTTCAAGCCTTTGAAATGCAGAAGAAAAGCTTCGAAGACTGCGGGCCAACCGCGCGTCGGTAGATTCAAAAGGCCGGGGTACATCCAGTGTATGTCAAGGAATTCCAAGCGAAGTTCGGCGCTTCTCATCAACGTCGCCAGAAAGTTGGGGAGGTTCAACCGCGGGCCAGGTGTTGAGGTGAGTTCTCGAAGAGCGTGAATCTGGATTCTATGCTCCAAGTCGTCAAGGCGTCCCAGGCCAACAGCGTATGCGTGCAGTACCAGGACCTTTATTGGTGGAATAAGCTTGCCTGGGGTGAAACTGAAAGCCCCTGGGATGCGAACATAGCCACCCATAGCTGCATCGTTCGGGTACTGGATCCAGACGCTCAATAGCACCAAATTTGGTGCGTTGAGGATAGCCATCTGACAGGACTGGAAGTTCGGGTTCCCATGGCTGATCCTAGGGATTCCATTCAACCAGCAAGCTCAAGCGGCTCAGCTTCCAATTCATGCCCAGTGCACTAGAAGGGAGCTTCTTTTCGAGAGCTCCCGCTAAGTGATAGTGTATCCCTACATCCAGAATATTTGAACGGTTTTTGAGTAATTTCCGGAGTGATTCTCGGATTTGGAGGCTGCACTGCCATCTACATGTCTTTTGTTAGATACCCTGCCCACAGCAAAAGCGGCGTGCTCACCTGAAGGTGCGGAGCTTTTGGAGATTCCGCGCGAGATGCTCGAACGTTCAGAAGGTAAAGTGTCAGTGACATGGGCACGAGGAGAAACGCTTAAGAAATATTTTGCGGTCACAGCCGTGATGCCGGATGCGAAGCTTGTGATTTGATGTGGCTTGTTCATGTTCAATCGGATACGCTGATAGAGCCATGGATTCGCAGCATCTTGAAGGAGTCGGCTCGACAAGCACATAGCCAGGATGGTGCCCATACTTCCGGTGGCATAGACCTATATAGGAGCATTAGTATGGGGTCCACGTGTTCATTTCCTGTGGCAGTATCCTACTTCACCCGCAATTTGATGCCACAATTCCAGAGGCAAGGAATCCATTGTTATCGATCCGCGCAGGCTTTATCCTGGACTACGCCAGCTATTGCAAGTGCCGAGGCCCCAGAAACCTTAAGGAGAAAACAATAGATAGAATAAACAACACGTCAAGGTGGTTCGTGCGATGCAATGTTGTGCTTCCAGTTGTGTGATTCACTGTGTGCTAGTTCACGAGGTGAGATTAAAAACCTATTATTCCGTAATCGGTATGACCACACCACAGGGATACAGACATTTCCGGGAACGCTTCTTGACACCTGCATTCATCAAGCCAGTAGGGACACCATGGTGGAGACTAGGTGCTTAGGTGGTAGGAGACCCATTTGGAAAAGATCTGATCTTAACGAAAACAGCATCGCAGCCAGTGTTTTTCTAGCTCGTTGACTCTTGCTGTACTGTCTTTCTTCAACCTAATTTCCATGGTCCAGAGCGTTCCTTCAGGTATTTGAACTATGTTTTCAAGAAAGTAATCCCCATATACCGCTTCTTTCTTCCGGTGGACCATAGATGTACCCTTGGCCATTAAAGTGTTGGTTAGGATAATTTTCCACGAACTTGATCAGAGTCAATTTCCACTGGGACGATGGAAGGCAACATTAGAACAGGGTGGTGAAAGAAGTCTACATGTTTATTCATATAAGACAGAATAGATGCAGCAAGACGTTCTGCAAGAAAGACATGAGATTTTTGATTACATGCTCATGTCCACTAGTGTTGTACCAATTCGTGATTCTTGTCTTGAAAGGTGTCTTTTAATATACAAGACACACAGTAAGAAGAGGAATATAGATGTGAGAAAACACTCACTGTAAAAATCATAGAGTAGCGAAGAAAGAATTTACTAGGAAGCATTTACTAGGAAGATATAATTTTTAGAAGAATATACTTCTAAAGGTCAACGTCCGCATAATAAAGTAAATACGGTGATCGTCTACACGGCAGCTGCCGGCGCTTATAGTCGCCCCAGCCGCCTCCCCAGCTTTGTGAATGATACACTTTATCCACAACACTGGCAAGCAATCACTCACAAGTACAGGCATCGCCTAGATCAAGCACTTTGCCACTCCGGAGTTTTCATATGGTATCTAGACTTATTCCTAACTGATGGGGCGCCAGCGCCCATAGAACAACCAGGCGCGTGCCCCTGGCTAAACACCAGCCAACACCATGCCGGACATCGATCCAGCTGCGCTAAGCCGCTCGGACTCAATATCTGCAGCCTTTCCAGGCGCCCTATCCCTCAAACAACCGAATGGGATCTCAGCGCTGCCTTCCCAGAAGGCAATCAAAACAGTCAGCGCCGCGCAGCGCATCGATCTAGAGCCATATTACACTAGCCTGAAAGGTGCTATTGGGGAGAATTTTGCGAAGTACAAGGAAGCCATCTGTCTTTTCATACTCGGTCAGTCTTCTTCTATGGGTTGTGACTGCGAGATTGACAGCGTAAGTCCATTGGCTGACTGAGATCGTGCTTCCATAGGCCATCTCAACCAAAACGAGCTCTCCTTCCAAATAGACCACTATGTGACTGCGGACCCAAATACCGAACATTTACACAACCAATTGATAGCAGGCATATTTGCCAATGTTGGTCGCGACCTTCCCGAACCTGGCGTTGCACCATGGGTCTCAGCGAACGACAAGCCAACGGTGCTTGCCAAGCCTGTGTCTGGAGATGCAGCGGAGCAGAGACTGAAGATGGAGATTATGCGCTTGCCGGCGCGGGATCGGCGGAGACTGAAAGAGGTGCCCGATGTGAGTAGCTTGATCCCGCTAAAGACATCCAGCAGCTCCTTCGTCGACGTGAGGCAGTCATGGAAGTTCGATTAGATAAGGACAGCCGCTAATGCTGGTTTTTTCTTCATCAGGGCGAAACGTACGACAATGTCTCCCATTCGGTGGTCACCTCAATGAACGACTACCATGCTGCAAAGATGATCAGGCTCCCAGACAGTGTTTCCGCGAGCGCAGGTGGACTCAATAAGACAAGTAAGAAGAACTCGATCTTGCGTGTCTTCCGTTCCATTTCCGCTTGTCCTGCTCGCTAATTACCCGGAAATATAGACTGGGACCTTGAAATCCGCAAACGCTACTCCCAGCCCCTCGCCAGTGAAACCGGCGAGTTTCCCGACGTGGACACAATCCACAACCGCATGGTCCCTATCTGCTACGAACAATCGCTACCTAATGGGCCATCTGCCGCCTGCGCCGAATTTATGGCGACTGCTACAGAACAGTACATAAAATCTGTCGTCGGCTCGGTGTTAGCCAAAACGCGAAGCAACCTTGCAGGCGCGGCTGGTTCAATATCCATAACCACGCACCGCTACCGGCAACAGCTTGACAGAGAAGAAGAGATGCTATCCAAAGGGGAAACATCGAGAGGCATGGTGACCAATCTCTTGCCGGCAGAGGCCAAAGAAGCGGCAGCCAGGAGACCGCTGGGAATGGATGATTTCCGAATCGCATTGGAAGTTGGTGGAGCTTGTGGTATTGGTCAGATGCCGACGATTGTGCAGAACATAATGGGCGGCTGGCCAGAAGGGGTCCTGGAAGGATGGGGCAGACATCCTGACGAGGACGTGGAAATACAAGATGTGGGGATGGAGCGAAGCGGTGCCCGGGTGAACGGAGTCTCGACTAACAGTGTCCATGTAAACGGGAACGTACCCGCGGATCATGAGAATTATGGCTGGGAAGGCGGCTCGGCAAAGGATCGAGAAGGTCTCTTTTCGCTGTTGGACGAGTGCTTGGCAATCGGGCAATGATCTCTGGTGATCTTGTGGATTCTTTCATGACTTGATGCATGCCATGCGTACGTGCATGGGGAGTTGGCAGCATATGGCTCTGGATATTGGCCAGGGCAAAAATGGCGTTGGTGATATGGAAAGATACCCACTTTGCATTAATGGAAGGTTTACGTCAGGGTGGCATGCGTGGTGTTGTTTAAGCAATCGTTCTCATTCTATCAAGTGTATGATATCGCTACAAGGGCACTCGACCGCCTCATGTCAATAGTTGTGAGCACGACAAATATTCAATTCATCGAAATACCTTACACCAAGAAAACCTTTTCCGCTTTCCAAGGCTCCTTTTGAAGCAGCCCAAACCGTCCATGACATGTTTTTTTAGTTGACGCCCTAAATCGACGTGAAAACAGAACCTTCAGCTCTCAGATTGCCACTTCCTCTGACAACCTGCCGGGAGGACGTGGAAAGATGCCACAGCGGAGGGGCGTCGATCCCACAATTAATGGTACAGTTGAAGCCTCGAGGGTCGCAGGGATGGTAATGCAATTCCTAGCTGTCGTCGCCCTCGGATGCTTCTTGAGCTGGAAAATTCGGGGCTCAGGCTTTGAAAATGTGGCTAAAGTGGACTTCACTTACGCTTTGAAAGGGGCGAGAAGACTTGCTCGAGGGCGTAGAATTGATCATCGGTGCAATGATATGCAACTTTTTTTGTTCTCGATATCGAATTGGGTTCATTATGCTATGTGCAGATGATACTGTATCATTTTCCGTTCTCCCATAACGCCTTGCTAAATCGTAGAGATGCTACATCGGGCCTCGTCTATTTCATATCCTCAACATCAGCTGAAATGAATGCCTTCCTTGTTAAACGCCCACAGCAATCGGAGAAAGTCACTCTCGTCGCACATCCTCGCTCTCTTATCCGCAAGCTCCGTCTCGTCCTCCAAAATCTTCCTCACCTTTTCTCGGACTAATTCAGCGACTTTACCCTTCCTCTTCCTCGCTCCCCCAGACTTGGCGTTTAATATCTTGGCCTTCTCATCTAGCTCGTCTTGGAAAAAGGAGGGTGTATCCGCGTCATCTACATCCATGATACCTCCCCACTCTTCTTCTTCTTCCTCTTCCTCTTCTTCATCGCCTGCTCCTGGCTCTTCATCTTTTACCGCTTGCACCTCGGCAGCAATTTCCATTCCCACTTCAGCACCGTTGACGTCGGATGGCCCATCTTCAACGGAGACATTGTTCTGCGCGCACCAGGTTCGGTAGTTGGCTTCGAGCATCTCCATAACGGTAGTCGTACCAAGAAACCCCGCTCTCAGCGTCCGGTTCTTCCTCACGAAACAAACTCTCAGTAGCCCATCCCATTCGTCCCAGCTGACATCCGGTCTTGGTCTCTTCGGCACCAGTCTTACCACGCTACTCTCCACCGCTGGTGGAGGACGGAAATTGTTGCGGCCCTGGCGATGTTAGCATAGCCCCTCCTGCGCTGAACAGTTCGTAGCAGTAATACATACGATTTTCATGATGTGTGTTACTGTGGCCCACATTTGCGTATTGACTGAGAGGCGCGAATAGAGAGTGGAGCCAGGCCTAGCAAAAAGTCGTTGCGCAAATTCGAGTTGAAAGGTTAGGATGCAGGTACGAGGGGCGGGAGAGAGTGCAAGGAGTTTGAAAGTTAAGGGGGAGGAGATCTGGGGATAATTAAGTTGGCTAATTGTTTGGATAGGGAGGTGGAAAAAGAGGGCGTACTTGATATGGTGTATTGCTTATGCAGACATCGAAGTACTAGGAACGCTCCATGGTCAGCAATTTCTTTCTGGGGTAGGAATCTCGTGACTGCTCTCACGAAAGGTTCATAAACAAGTCTCGCAAAACGGAGAGAGGGCGCTCTTACAGGTAAATCGGTTTTTACAACGTCACCGAGCAAGACCTCCAATCGCTTCTGCTCAGGTTTGCCTTGTCTTTTGGTTAACCCAAATTATGAAATCTTAGAGAACCTCTTGGACCCAGACAAAACTCACCTTGCACGCGTTTTGTGACTTCGGCTGCCATCCTGGGATCCAATTCGACGGCAATGACTTTCTTTGCTTTCTCAAGTATCTTGACCGTCAAGTTACCCGTCCCAGGGCCCACTTCGAGGACGATCTTCTAGCAGTCAGCATTGACTTCATCGCCCAATCTGGGAGAAGTTGGCGGCTGACATCGCTCTGTTTAAGGTCGGCTTTGTCGACTAGAAGAAATTTATGGAGTCAGTATCCCCTCTCTAGAACAGAAATTCGAGCCTGAGAGATGACGATGCGAAAACACATACCTATTGCCTGTGCCACACCAGGATTCTTGAAATAACATGTCAGAGAACCTGACCTTTTCGATACTTGAACGAAGGCATACCTTAAGCACATGTTGACCGATATTCTGAATTACGATTTCGCAGTCAGCAATACGCAATCGAGAGGTTATATCAAGCCATTGGCACATGCTTGGAGAGCAGTAGCTTGCGAGACGTTCCTCAAGACTCGCCAAACTCCAGATTTGAACGTACTGTTTTCATCTTGAAGATATGGTTCGCCGCAGAGCCTTTGCCAGCAGGACTGTACGGGCTGCTGCCATGGGCTGCGCCGTTGCGCTTCTTGCCAGCAGCTTTGGGCATCTCCACTTCCCAAGTTGGAAGAAGCTGACTACTCGAGAGACAAAATGCGGACCAAACGTGAGAAAATCCGTGAAAAGTAGGACGCTCCCGAAAAGAAGATTTCTGGATGTTTGAGGCTTGACAGTCAAGCCCAGCGGCAAGACACTAATTTAGAGTAAAACGGCTCTCAAACACACAGCTCACGAGTACATGGGATTCAGATGGCATTAAGGGGATGATTAAGATGACAATCATGCGATATCAGATCAGACCGACCGGTGGAAGTAAGGATTTTTGAATTTGTAGAGGTTCACCTTATCGATAAGGCGGGAATCTTTTATTACTTGTACCTTAGCGCTGTCGATCCACAACCTTATTTGAGCCTCATGCTCGTTCTTTGCCTGCCAGCCTGCGATTTCCATTGGGGGCTGCGTGACTCAATTCTGAGCCCAGCGACAGCTGCAGGTGTACTTGACAAGACCGGCAGCGCATTATATTCCACGAAACTATGTCTGGACGCAAGGACTTCTTGAGTCAGATCGCGCCTGAAAATTATGTCGCTGGGTTGGGACGTGGTGCCACCGGATTCACAACACGATCCGACCTAGGCCCAGCGAGGGAGGGCCCAAGTGAAGATCAGATCAAAGAAGCTCTAGCGAAACGCGCTGCACAGCTTGGAGCAGCCCCGCCGACAGCATACGGTGCTACAGAAAAAAAGGAAGAGGACGACGATGATGACCGGTTTCAGGATCCAGAGAACGAGACCGGTTTGTTTGCAAATGGGCAATTCGATCGTGATGACGACGAGGCAGATCGTATATATCAAGATATCGACGAACGTATGGAGAAGAGAAGAAAATCAAGAAGGTTAGTTCTCCTCTTTTCTTGCTCCTGCATAGGACCTTTCCCCATATGTTGTACACATGGTTTATCATTATTCCCTTTGTTTGAACAGATTACCGACTTGAACACGTCCGCCATATCTAGGGAAGCACGCGAAGCCCAGGAGCGAGCAGACTACGAAGCCAACAATCCGAAGATCCAACAGCAATTCGCAGATCTCAAGCGGAGCCTTGCTAGTGTGTCAGAAGAAGACTGGGCAAACCTACCGGAAGCTGGAGACTTGACTAGGAAAAACAAGAGAACCAAGACTGAGGCCCGCAATAGATTTTACGCAGTGCCGGATAGTGTCATTGCTGGAGCGAGAGATTCAACTCAGATGGACACCAGCGTGGTAGACGATGGCTCTACTAATGGAGCAGGTGGAGATGCCATGGATGGGACTATGACCAATTTTGCGGACATCGGAGCTGCAAGAGATAAGGTGTTGCAGGTTCGGCTGGACCAAGCAGCCCAATCAGGAGGTGCAGACTCCACATCAGGCATTGCCACGAACATCGATCCCAAGGGCTACCTAACGAGCCTTTCAAAATCCGAACTCAAGGCTGGTGAGGTGGAGGTTGGAGATATAAACCGTGTGCGAGCCTTACTAGAGTCTGTCATCAAGACCAACTCACGGCATGCCCCAGGCTACCTGGCGCTGAGTCGGCTGGAGGAACTCGCTGGAAAAATAGTTGCAGCAAGGAACGTCATAGCCAAGGGTTGCGAGATTTGTGGTTCACAGAGCGAGGATATTTGGCTCGAAGCCATTCGCCTGTCGAGCGGAGGGGACAACCACAATGGCAAGGTCATTGCAGCCAATGCGTTGAAGGCACAGCCACAATCTACAAGGCTTTGGATCCAGGCCATGGAGTTGGAGAACACGATTCCGGGGAAGAAGCGTGTAATGCGCAAAGCTGCGGACTTTCTCTCAAAGAGTGTGGTCATTTGGAAGGAGATGATCAAGCTTGAAGACAGCGAACAAGATGCTAAATTGCTATTAGCTAAAGCTACAGAGGAAATACCGCTCTCCGTAGAGCTCTGGCTGGCGTACGCTCGGCTTGTCGCGCAAACCGAAACACCGGAGAATGCCCAGAAGGTCCTGAACAAAGCTCGATTGGCCAACCCATCCTCGCATTTGGTCTGGATAGCGGCTTCGCGGTTAGCAGAAGAAACTGGTAAAGGAAATCCAGAACAAATTATCCGTAGGGCCATTCAGTCATTGGCTCGTGAGAATGCCATGTTGAAGCGCGAGGAATGGGTACAGGAGGCGGAGAAATGCGAGACTGAGGGTGCGATCAAGACAGCAGCGTGCCTCATAAGGGAGACCCTGGGCTACGGCCTGGACGATGATGACGATGACCGCAAAAACATCTGGATGGAGGATGCACAAGGGTCTATCAGTCGAGGCAGATACGAGACCGCAAGAGCCATCTACGCCTACGCGTTACGGGTTTACTTCACTTCCAGAAAACTTTGGCGAGCCGCTGTCGACCTCGAAAAAGCTCACGGAACACCAGAAGCTCTCTTTCAGCTTATGGAAAAGTCAGTCGAGGCCGTGCCCAATGACGAAGGCCTTTGGATGATGTACGCCCGAGAAAAATGGCGGACCAATGAGCTTGATGAAGCACGTAAGATTCTTGGCCGAGCTTTCAACCAGAACCCGGAGTCCGAATCCATATATCTTTCCGCCTTCCAACTGGAAGCGGACAACCATCAAATATCGGCCGCGCGGGAACTACTCCGCACCGCTCGCCAAGAAGCCAGTACGGACAGAGTGTGGTACAAGAGTGTTGCTTTCGAGCGTCAACAGGGCGATAACGAAGCAGCGCTTGATCTATGCCAGCAAGCTTTGAATACATTTCCAAGTTGCTGGAAATTACATGCCTTGAAAGGACAAATATACACATCGAAAGGTCAAATACCGCAAGCGCGAGAAGCGTACAACGTCGGAACACGGGCATGCCCCGCAGCTGTACCACTCTTTATCCTCCTCAGCCGCCTCGAAGAAGCAAGCGGCGTAGTCGTCAAAGCCCGAAGCGTACTCGAACGGGGCCTAATGTCCTCGCCCAAGAGCGCCGAGCTCCGACTCGAAGCCATCCGCGTCGAACGCCGAGCGGGCAACATACCCCAAGCCAAAGTCCTAATGGCCAAAGCGCTCCAAGCCCTCCCGAGTAGCGGCCTCCTCTGGTCCGAATCAATCTGGCACCTTGAACCGCGCACGCAACGTAAACCCCGCAGTCTCGAAGCCATCAAGAAATGCGACAACGACCCCACACTCTTCGTGACCGTCGCCCGCGTCTTCTGGAATGAACGTAAGTTAGACAAAGCCGCAAATTGGTTCGAGAAGGCGATTGTGCTGGATGCGGACTTGGGAGATACGTGGGCTTGGTACGTCAAGTTTTTGATGCAGCATGGGACGGAGGAGAAGAGGAGGGAGGTGGTGGAGAAGTGTGTGGCGAATGAGCCGAGGCATGGGGAAGTGTGGCAGAGGGTGAGGAAGGAACCGGCGAACAAGGCGTTGGGGACGGAGGAGGTGTTGAAGAGGGTGGTGCGTTTGTTGGATGAGGAGGAGAAGGGAAGGGGTGGTTAGATCTACGACAGGCAAGCTAGCCCAGCAGAGAAATCCGTAGTCTAATCATACGATTTTGGACACGTTTCGGAAACGAAGCATCGTCCACGACTGCAGTTGCTTCAGTACTCTCTAACAGTAAACAATTAAAAATCTTCCTCGGTGGTGCCGCTGTTGACGATACTGTAGCGATCCTCACCACCCTCGACCGTCACCTTTCCCTTCGCGCACCTTATCTGCCTATGCCATGCTCAGATGTCAGAGGCTTCGGACCGTGCTGTCGTGCTCCGTCTAGATGCTAAAGAATACGGAAGGGCGCTTCATAAACGCAATGCCTGGTCCTTGGCAACTCTGAATAACCGTAAGAATGCAGTATCGGACTTCTATCTATCTATCTATCTAAACTACCATTCGTCGATGGAATGGCCTTTGTCTAGGGAAGTTGGCAGTAGAAGAAGTTATGAGGCTGCATTCCTCGCCTGTCATCATTATCACATGCGAGTTTCGTATTTCACAATGGGCATCAAGATATTATCTGAAAAGAATTGATGATTGATTGATTGATTGATTGATCCTGCACCTAATCTAATGTACACGATGGAAGTGCATCAACAGCACTTCCCAATAACGATTTTCCGATAATTCGTTCCTTCTTCCCCCTCCAACGCCAATTGGGATCGCACGTAAATCTCCTGCGGCAAGAAGTGAAGTCGAAGGGATGCAGCTTGAAGGGAAAGCCTCGGATGTAAGTTGGAATGTAGAGATCTCCGGGGTTGGTCAACGATTACGAAGGAGGTCTGCCAATCAGCACTCCCGCCCATAAAGCCACCCGTTCAGCCATTCCTATTGTAAGGATGGAACCCCCTGTGTCCCCCCCTCCCTCCATGGCCACCCCTATAGTTCGCCCCGGGCTTGCCCGCATTCTTTGGGCCCGTCGGTGCATTCGCAGGCGCACTCGGGGCTCCGGCCGGCGGTCCTGCACTGCCTCTGTTCCCACCCCTACCTCCACCCCCACCACCTCTTCCACCCGGCTGCGGGACATCATCGTACATACCCTCCCAAGACGTAGGGCCACCTTGCTGGTATGATTGCATCTGCTGCGCTTCCTGTGCGGCGCGGCGCGCTTGCTGCTGTTCGTACTTCTGCTGCTCGAAGGCGAGTTGGTCTTGCGCGTTGTAGCCTGGTGTGCCACGTCTAGGTCCTCCTCCTCCGGGGCCAAAGCCAGGGCCAGGACTAGCGCCCATAGGACCACCGCCTCCGTTGAAGTTGCCTCCTCCTCCTCCTCCTCCTCCTCCTCCCCGCCTTGCTGGGCTTGAAGTTGGGCTTGTTGCATTTGCATCTGCTGCATTTGTTGCATTTGTTGCAGCATGGCTGGGTTCATGCCTTGCATGCCGCCTTGCGCGCCTGGACTTTGCGGGAGTGGGGATTGGGAGCCTTGTTGTCGGCCCATCTGAGCTTGTTGCATCTGTTGCAGGGCTTTCATTTGCTGCATTTGTTGCATTTGCTGCATCATAGCTGGATTCATGGCGCCCATACCTCCCATGCCTCCGTTTTGCATGACGGCGGCGGAAGCCATTTGTTGCTGCATGGTGGTGAAGTACTGTTGCATCTTTTGCCAGTACTGCGCCATCATTTGGGGCGTCATGCCGCCCATCATACTCTGTCCACCTTGCTGATTCTGGGTGCCTTGATTTTGGTTAGAATTGTTGTCGAAGCCACGGTCATTGTCTCGGAAGTCTTTGCCTCCACGGCCACCACCGCGTCCACCACGTCGGCCTGGGGGTTCTTCTTCTTCGCGCATGTTGCCTCGAGGTTGCGCTTTCTTGACTTCGATGGGCTTGCCGAGGATTTGGAGATCGCCTGCTAGAGTGGCGTCGACGGCGGCTTCGCTGTCGAAAGTGACGAAGCCGAAACCTCGAGGACGGCCAGTGTCCTTGTCCATCATGAGAGTGGCATCAACGACCCGTCCGAACTGGGCGAAGTAATCCTTGAAGACGTGTTCATTTGCGTCCTGGCTGACGCCTCCAACAAAGATCTTGCTGGTGCGTTCTTGTTCATCACGAGGAATAGCCCGCTTGGGGTCGATCTTGGAAGACAGTGAGCTTTTGGTTCTGGAATGGGGGGAAAGGAGCCTTATGGGGGTTTTGGTGGAAATAGATATATCGGGTCTTACAATCTTGCCATCCAAGTAGTGTTCCTTTACCATCACTACATTGACGGTCTTGGGGTCCTTGAAGGTGAGGAAGCCAAATCCACGTGACCGGCCACTGGCGCCATCGCGCATAACGGTGCATTCTTGCACTTCGCCGAAGGTTGAGAAGTATTCCTTCAAAGATTCTAAGGCAGTGGTGGTCAATGAGAAGGGGTTCCAAAGACATAGGATTGTTAGGGCTGAATGTACGTACGGTCGGTAGTTTCCCAATTCAATCCACCAATGAACATTTTTCTACATGACAGACGCAAAAATTAGCAGCGAACATCAACGAAAAAGTAAACATGCAAACAGTAAATACAAGAAATCGAAAGGCAGAACCGGCATGATAGATAAGAAATTCAAGTGAGCCTAAGCCGGTGTCCAGGTTTCCAGAATGTAGTCCAGCCGGTGCCGATGATTATTTGTCGTAACAGCCCCCAGGAGTGGGTTGAGACGTTCTGGGAGACCTTCTTCAGAGTTGGAGTGTGTTATTTGATGTGAGTATGCGTATGCGTGCCAGGAGATGGTGAACCCTTTGTCATCAAGCACACTTTCGGTTTTTGACATAGAGGTGGGAATGATGACAGGCAGCATGCCGTGCACCACTGAGTACACGGACGGATCAATGTACACGTGGATGATTCGTCTTTTGCTATAGAGTCGTATGCTAGGTACCGGTACGCGGCCACTATACTTCGCTGAAGCTAGGCATGGCAAGACATGGGGTCTGCATCCTAGCCTGCTCTATGAAGATAGTATCGACAATAAGCTATGTAGCAGCAGTAGTGGTACTATTATGAGGTCACGAGGTAGTCCGGGTGTCGCGCAGTGGGCATACTGATCCACTTGTCCCGCTCTATCTGCCCAATTCATAAAGAACTCCTCTTGGCGGTTAGGTAGAGCCACATATTCTCCAAGACGCAGGCCATCAGTTTCTGAACCATACTACTCATGCTGCAGACCGTCCAAGCAATGCTTCAGATACTGCCCCGACCCCTAGCCTTCCATCATTTTCCAACCATCAACAAAAGACTCAACAGACCGTGGAGGCAAAAGCCCTCGTTCGATCATGTAGGAGCTTTGGTCTTGGAGGTCTAGCCACGGCCTTGACCGATGACGTCTTCCTCGCTTATTCTCCTTGCTCGACTTTATTCCCTGGGGGGTCTGTCCACGGGGGGATACGGCATCTTATGGCTGGCAGTCTCACGATGATTTGTATTCAAGACTCATAACATTTGCAACCGCGGGAAGCACGGACACAAAGTCAAAGGCAAAGGCATACTGCCTAAACGCAAGTTGAAAAGCAGTAAAAAAAGCTGAAAGTAGAATATGATCCTGGAACTTACCCATCCTCTTTGATACCAATCGGTGCTGGCTCCTGCTCCATCGCTGCATCATTGTACTGGTGTGCGTTTCCTCCGTTTGCCTGCCCGGCGTTCCATGATGGCCCGGTATCGCCATTGTGGCCGTTTCCATACATTGGCTCATCCTTTATAGGTGCGCTTCCTGATTCTTCATCTTTCGGCTCTGGATTCGCGTCGCTCGTGAATGCACCAGTATCGCTTGGAGCTGAAGCTTGTATGGGTTCAGGCTGGATGTCTTGTACCAAGGCTTCGGGCTTTGCTGCTGCATCATCTGCGTCGTAGCTATGAAAAAGATGTCAGTATTCTGACATAATGGCACATTTATCGGGTGGGCCCAAGTGTTAGCGCAACATTGTGATGGTTTGACTCACAGATCTGCGAAGAGATCCTCGTCGAGCTCCTCAGGCTCGGTCATGTTAAAAGTTAGTGGAAGTGTAGATTTTTTTGTTTGGTGATAGCAGGAAGCCCCTGAGGCAGCCCGTCTCAGATGCGGAGCTTGTAGTCCCCAAAACAACCAGCAGTCTTACTGTGGTTCCGGCAATGACGAGCAGTGATGAGAATAAAGGACAAAGGGTCACTCAAACCTGAAAGTGAGAGAGAGAATAAGTTATGCGTTGAAGGCACGATGCATGAGGAAGAAAGAGAAGTATGACACGTATGAGAGATACGGGTTTTGAGAGTTGATGGGGGAAAGAAGTGAGGTCGGAGCTGGAAGACAAGTTGGTAATGACTTTGGCCCGCGGCTAGTCCCACAGCCGCTAGCCGCTTTTAGACCCCTTGTGTCATCTTCACTTAGAGAGCCATTCGCAGGACAGAGCTGTCCTGCGTGCCGCAGCGGGTTTGGGCTTGATACACTCCTTATCAGTGATTGCTGGACTTATAACATACAGTATGGGTTCCAGAAAGCCCCCTAACCAGGTATGTGTCCACCCCAAGGGTGCTCCATTGTGAGACCTTGCCTGACGAAGCATGCAATGTTGCAGGAAATGGTTCAGGTCGGTTCGTACTCTACTTTTACGTCTCGGAGATTTTGAGTCCTCTCGTATGTACCGCGGCAGTGTGTGCTAAGTCATATACCGGCCAGTAGATTCTAGCGAGTATGTACTCCATGGGCGTTACAACATCAGCACAGGCGCCAGCTGACCATCTTCAGCAAAAGCACCTCTCCCTTTTGGCGTAACAGACCAAGCAATCCTAGGAATGTATCCTCAAAGGCTGCGGATCCCAATATGGTCGTTGGTGCATCATATTCGCATACGGATATTCTAAAGTTTGATTCCTTGTGAGCTGCATTTTACAAACATTCCAGCCTTGTACTGACACTTGTGGAGATCCCTAACGCCTTCGAATTCGAGACCCCACACACCTCCGTCTCTGTCCAGGGGCAACACTCGTAATACGTCGACTCCGCCTCCAAGATCCAACTCTGCTCTTTCTTCGCCCCCAAAACGACCCACTTATCCTCAACTCCTGTCACAGACCAACAGTGACTGGAGCGCGGGTCATGAGGACTATGACGAAGATGAAGATGATGTTGAACGCTACTTCTACAATGACAATGCAGACGAGGATGAATTTGGATTGCCAAGTATATCGAGTATGCGGAGAGAAGCAAAGAAAAGGATACCCAATAAGAAGACCAATGATCCTGGCGGAGGCTCTGGCAAGGGTAGCAATGGCATGAACTCGATGCTGACACCTGAGCGGCTACCTGGACGAGCAAGAGCAAACAGCTCGGACATTGCTGAAGAACGAGGGGCTCCTATCTATCCTACAGCAAAGCAAAACGAAGGAAAGATATTGAGGCCCCAATACAAAGACATCCTACGCGGTTCGTCTTCCTTGATCGTGAATTTAGGGAAGTACTGAATTCTTGTCCACAGATCCTGCAAACTCTCTCCACCTGATCAATCACCCTCCGCTTCCTCAAAATGCAACTCCCAAAGAAGCGGAAGCCCACTCTACCCGAATATCTCGTATCAACAAGTTCAAGCGGATCCTTCAAGCAAGCTCCATCCCACTCTCCGATCTTCGAGACTCGTCTTGGTCTGGCATACCCGAAGAGGTGCGCGCCATGTCATGGCAGCTTCTTCTCGGTTACCTTCCAACAAGCAGTGAACGGCGTGTTGCAACCCTTGAGCGCAAGCGAAAGGCCTACCTGGACGGCGTGCGGCAGGCTTTCGAACGAGGTGGTAGCGCGCCCAATGCATCCAATGGGCGGACTTCTACGACTAGTCAAGCGCGGATTCGCGGTCTCGACGAAGCGTTGTGGCATCAAATCTCAATAGACGTACCCCGAACAAGCCCTCATCTACAACTCTACAGCTACGAAGCAACCCAGCGCTCTCTCGAACGCATCCTCTACGTCTGGGCAATCCGCCATCCAGCCAGCGGCTACGTGCAAGGGATCAATGACCTCGTCACACCCTTCTGGCAGGTCTTTCTTGGCAGCTACATTACTGACAATAATGTTGAAAGCGGCATGGATCCCGGGCAGCTTCCGAAGCCGGTCTTAGACGCCGTGGAGGCGGATTCTTTCTGGTGCCTTACCAAATTGCTCGACGGTATACAAGATAACTACATATACGCTCAGCCAGGGATCGTGCGGCAGGTCAACGCACTTCGCGACTTGACCACACGCATTGATGCAGGCCTAGCGAAGCACCTTGAGAGCGAGGGCGTGGAATTCATGCAGTTTAGCTTTCGATGGATGAACTGTCTACTAATGCGCGAGGTGTCTGTGAGAAACACTATCCGAATGTGGGACACCTATATGGCTGAAGAGCAAGGATTTTCGGATTTCCATCTATATGTATGTGCGGCTTTTTTGGTGAAATGGTCTGAGCAGCTTGTGAAGATGGATTTCCAGGTTCGTTGAGTTGCTCTCCAGAGCATGGTCTGTTCAGAATCGAAGCTGACAGGCATGATAGGAGACCATGATGTTCTTGCAAGCTTTGCCGACCCGAGACTGGACCGAGAAAGATATCGAGTTGCTGCTCAGCGAGGCGTTTATATGGCAGAGCTTATTCCGAGGCTCGAGTGCCCATTTGAGAAATTCGAGTGGCGTCACATAGATACTAGATTTAGTGTAGGGAGGACGCGACTTAGCATGGTAATACCCGTTGCACTTGTCCCGAATTCAAACATACCGTCCTTGTTGCAAACGGCCAAATTGCGGGGTGTGCAGGTCGCCTGGTCTTGGAAATATGTACTTCTGGCAAGGTGCTAAGAACGGTTGGCCTCCGAAACGGTATAATTCTCAAAATCTCAACAAGCACAGCATCAACAAAGAGGCCTGTATGCTGTTTTATGTTCTTCCTGGAGCAGTTCTGATCATAAACGACATTGTGTTCCGGGCTGAGGACCAATGTTGACGGGAAAGTAAGAGGGTTCCAGCTCCTCAGACTGCTACTTTGACAGCCTGCCTTACTTCTAGGATACGAAGATTTAGCTCGTGCAAGAAGAAGCTTTACAATTCTTGGCATTGAGAAGATGGCACCCCCGTTTGGTGCCTGTTGCGCTCTTTTTCAATTGAAGAAGATGATATGAAAGAGAAGCTGGATTGCGCAATTTGTCTTTAGCCAGATCAAAAGCAAGCACGGCATTTCGATGATGCACATGGACTGGAAAGTGCAAAGAGACGAGCGCTACTGCAACATGTTTTTGTTGGTAAGTCACTTGCATGACTCTCTCTGTAGCCTTGATTTACATTTATTAACTCGCGAATCTTTCGTCGAGAATCCGAGGGATAATTCAGCTGACATCGAGGCTGGAGGAGTTTACTTGAGCCAAGATTCGGCTGAGCTGCATCGCTCAGTGTGATATAAAGATTGTGTTCTTGACCTAGGCGCAAACAAAATGAGTCAAAGCAACGACTCTCGGAATTTTGGGGATAGAACCACCAACCCAGACGAGTGCTCTTTCCCCACTTCCCCTTGCCTTACACAGATCGCTTCCAGAGTCGTAGCGGCCACGTACAGCTCCCATGTTGCCCACGAGTCAGAAGCGCCAGTATTGAACAAGCTGAGCACACATCGGCCGTCGTCTAATGTTGCAAGCTGTCAGGATGATACTCAACCTGAAAAATGGAAGACTGACCACCATATATACTCCGTGGAAGAGTAACATCTACGTCGGCGTCTCGCTCTCCAAAGCTTTGATCCCGACTGCTTGCGGGCAGAGAACTTCAAGACTTTGACATGATGAGACAGGCGGACCGGTAGGTGGAGGATCCATGCATTGGAGACCAGCCCGTGTGTAAGCAGAATTGACTTCCACATCCAAAGTGATCTGGTGGTCAAGACCTAGGCGAAAGTAAAAACAACGCCAGTCTGCGAGACTCAACCACGCGGTAATGAAAAATTGAGAACACATCACTGACCAAGCTCTGTGACTGCTCCCTCAAGGCTCGGTGTCCTCCCCACACAAGTTCGTAACAGCGTCGACGCCGCTGACGCAAGCTCAGTAACCGACGTCTCGTCAGGCTCAATGTCTTCGAGATAGAGGGTAAAAATGCAAAGACCATCAGCTGTTCAATATTAGGAAAGTTGAGGAGAGATTGAATAACACTGAACGCTTGGTGTACATTGTGTCACTCACAGCTGATGAATGCCATTGCGCCTGAAACGTCCCAAAAACCTCGGCCTACAAGAGTTTCAAATCATTGTCTGACGTTCGAACGTATCACTTTTCGGGCCTTCTCCGGGATCAGCCTGGGAAGGCTCCTGAGCCATGTGAGCAGAACATTGTAAGCCTGCTCACAGCTGTTGGCGTTTGGACTGGGGCGACGACTGTTACAATTTATGTGAAGCGCTGTAAGCTGCGTTGCTTTTCCATCTACGGCAGAGTTTGGGGCGCTGATTAGATCCAGTGATAAGTCTGCGGGTTTAGCGGGCAGAACAATACCAGGTGATGACACTGGAGATGCGTCGTTTGCTGGAGAAGACAGGCTCATGAGATCCACGGCATTAACACTTTGCGCACGGGGCGTCAGCGCACTTGGCTGGCCTAGACAAAAGAGCACAGGGCATACGCGGAGAGACAGAGCGAGCGAGAACATGCTCGAAGCCGAAAAGCCAGAATCGTAGTGACTGGTAAGCTCTAATGAGATTTTGCGAGAAGGAAGTGGTTGACTGAGATGGCAGAGACGTGTTCTCACTTGTGTATTATATATGGCGAGAAAAAGTCGCGTAGGAGAATTACGCGGTGTTATACCCGATCAATTACAACACCCACTACTAAGCCATCCTGTATAGTAGTGTATACAACGACTTTTGCTGCGGCTCGCACTGTGGTCGCTAGATTTTTATGTACGATCGATGGATCTCTTCTTATGGAAGGATTCGGCAGGGTCTATCCTACCAGCAAGCAAGGAGGCTATACTACATATGGACTAGCTGCTAGAGACTGACGCCTTCTCAGCGGCACCAGCGGCAATTTTATTCAAGGCCTGCAACTCGTTGAGTATCTACATTATGGCATCCCGCCTCAATCCCTTAATCCAAAAGAAAGATAGTACAAAATTCGCATAACAGCTTCGTTCGAATGTTTAATGAGGTTTGTTTATGCATTGCGATACTCAATTCTTGTTGAAATTTTGATGTCACAACTTTGGCAAATGTCGAGATATTCGGAAAACTGATACAAGCTGCAGAAACGCGAATATTGGAAATTGTTTAAGTATTAGATAGTAAAAGTACCAGGAGTCTCGTCAACGCTCATATATGATCATCTTTGCTTTTGGTTGAGGCGGGGTGCCATCGGTGCCAAAGGCGGGCGCGATATTCTCAATACCAAGACGTCTACTCCGTATGACTCGACCATTGGGCGTCTGGCAGAAAACGAACGGGTGGTCGGAGCGCTCGGCCTGCTTCAGACGATCCTTTTGCCGCTTCAAGCATCTTCTCCCCTCCCCTCCTCTGGAGACCTGGCACTACGATCAGGCTTTCGATGGCGCTATCGCCGAGTCCGACTCCCCATCCGATAAGTCTTGTGACGCAGTCATGGCTCAGCTCCTCACGGGAAGGAGAAGGCGTGGGGACCGGAACCACACGTCGACGCTCGATATCGTACACACCCTAGGCGTCCTATACAGCGATCAGATAAGAGTGCAAGCTACGGATCTCCTGTCTTTGGCTAAGAGTGTAGCACAATTGTACCAATGTCGTCTACAAGCAGCACGGTATGGGCGAGTGCAAGTGGCAAACATCTTCAAAGACTCTTGGTCCACTTCAGTACATTATTCCACCATACTATCTCCCCACCTGACCACGCTACTCTTCTCCCTCTCCGCCGCGCCTTCGTTCCTCCTTCCCCACCTCTCGGCACTGTACAGCCCCGTCTTACTCGCTGGCAGCAATCAACCTGTGTAGGAAGTCCACGTTGGTGATCTCGTTTGGGGGCACGCAGCAGCAGCACTTCTCCACGTCTTTTGTACCATATGCATCAGCAGATCATACTAACATCGAGAAAGCCAATAGCGCGAAAGGATCATGACTCACCGGTTTCGGCCAGCTCGATCTCGCTGAAGTAGGCCTTGTTGATGGCACGGCGGAGAGCGACACCAGCGGGGCTGGACTCGGCGATGGGAGAGGCGGCAGCGAAGGTGGCGAGGGTGGCGAGGATGGCGAAGATGGAGAATTGCATGTCTGGGTTTTTTTTTTTTTTTTTTTTTTTTTTTTTTTTAATTTAAAAATTTTCCTTTTCCCCCCCCCCCCCCCCCCCCCTAATTTTTTTTTTTCCTTTTTTTTCTTATTTTCCCTTCCCCCCCTCCCCCCCTTTCTCCTTTTTTTTATTTTTTTTTTTTTTTTTAAATAATATAACCTTTTTTAATTTTTTTTAGGTTTCCTTTTTTTTTTTTTCCTCAACCTCTTTAAAGGAAAATAAAACCAAAAAATTTTCCCTAAAAAATTAATTTTTTTATTTTTTTTTTTTTTTTTTTTTTTTTAATAATATATTTTATTTTTTTTTTTTTTTTTTTTTTTTTTTTTTTTTTTTTTTTTTTTATAAAAAAAAATTTTTTTTTTTTTTTTAATTTTTTTTAAAAAAAAAAAAAAAATTTTTTTTTTTTTTTTTTTTTTTAAATTTTTTTTTTTTTTTTTTTTTTTTTTTTTTTTTATTTATTATTTAAAATAAAAAAAAAAAAAAAAAAATTATATATTTTTTTTTTTTTTTTTTTTTTTTTTTCTTTTTTTTTTTAAAAAATTTTTTTTTTTTTTTTTTTTTTTTATTTTTTTTTTAAAAAAAAAAATTTTATTTTTTTTTTAAAAAAATATTAATTAAAAAAAAAAAAAAAAAGTTTTTTTTAAAAAATTTTATATTTATAAAATTTAAAAAAAACCCCCCCTAAATTAAAATCTTTTATAAAAAAAATCTTTCTAAAAGAAAAAAAAAAAATAGAAAAAATTTTAAAAAAAAACCTTTTTTAAAAAAACTCCCCTACTATATCAAATAATTCTAAATTATTTAAACTAATAAAAAAGAAATAGAAGAAGAAGATTAAGACGTCTAAGTTTAATAACGCTATTATTAAATAAATACTATATATAAAAAGATAAAGAAATTAGAAAGAAAGCTTAGATTTGAAAATTATAAGATTATAAAGCTATAGCTATATTTAAAGTTTAACTATTAAAAAGAATATATTATTACTAATAATTAGATAATTTTAATAATACTTATTATCTACTCGATAGCGATTAAATTATTAAATAGAATAAGGCTATAGCGAAGTAGAAATATAATATTAATATTAAAAACTCGTCTATACGAATATAGAAGCGAATAAAGTCTTAATAAAATTAGATTATAAAGATAAAGATTATTAATAAAGAGATTAAGTTAATTAAGAAGAAAGTTTATATAATTATTAACTCTTTTATTTCTATTTCTACTATTACTCTAGTATTAATTAATATATTACTTAATAAATTAAATATCTTACTTTTATTAATATAAGACTTTTAGTAATAATAGTATAATATATATTAATAATAATATAATATATATTAATAGTAATAAGTTTAAGACTATTCGCTCTATTAGCTAATACTTTAATAATCTTAATATTTTCTCTTATAGTAATATATACATATTTAGATTTAATCTATTTAGCCTTATCTATCTAATTTAATTAAATTATTATCTTATTTAAATATAGCTAATTAATCGCTTTTTAAAGCGCCTTAATTATCGAGTAATTTAATTCAAATAAAGAGTAATATAGATGAATTACGAAGGGCTTATTTTATCTAATAAATCTAGAGAAATTTAAGTAAGAAAGCGATCTTTATAGACGCTTTAGAAAAGATTAAATTAGAGTTATATATATTAAAGTAAATATATTAAATATTATCTTCTAATTAGAAAGAGATAGAGATTTTAAAAGAAATAACTATACGATTAAAAAATAAAATAAAAGAACTTTATAAAGATACTACGATTTTATACTACTATCTCTATTACTAGATTCGCTAATTATTAATTATATATTATTTTAAACGCTCTTACTACTACTATTTTATTAGAAAAAAGATTATTAATAAGAATAGCGATAAGAAGAAAAGAAGAGAGAGAAGAAGCCTAAATAGCTATATATCGAAGTTTAAAAAATAAGATTCGATAATTAATAATTAGCGTCGGGCCTATTATTATTACGTAAATCTCGAATATTTAATATATTTAAAATTAATTAATAATTATCTATTTAAATAATCTAAATAATATAAAATACGAGTTAAATATAAGCTAAAATATAAAAAAAATCTTAAAAAACGATTATATTTTGATATAAAAATATTAGATATAAAAGGTTTTTCTTTATATTACGCTAAGATAAGACTTAAAACTCTATCTTTAAACTTTCTTACTATTCGAATAATAGCCTTTATCTTTCTTATATAACTTCTCTTTTTCTCTTTATAATTGCTTATTAATATATTAATATATACGAAGTAAGCTTTAATATAAATTTTTATATTATAAGTTTATATAGTTAGCTCTAAGTATTATCTAAATAATATATTCTTTATTAACTTAAAATACCTCTTTAGCTAGATCTTAAGAATTAAAAAGAACTTCTTAATAGAGTTAAAATCCGGCGAATATAAGAGTAAATATAAGATTATAACGTCTTACTTCTATAGAGTCTTCTAATATTAACGATATAATATATAGAGTAATTATCTATAATAAGAATTAACTTTAAATTAAAGAATAAATTATAATAAGAAAAAACTTCGTTCTTAAGAAATTACTTAAATTAAGTATTATTAATATTATCTTAATAAATATAATAATAAAAAATATTATCTAAGTAGTATATCGATAGAATACTATATTACTTAAAATATTTAATAGAAATTTATATCGCTAATCGAATTTCAAAGACTATATAATCTCGCTTTCTTTATATTATATACTTATTAATAACGCTTTTATTTAAAAAGATAAATATATTATATATAAACTTATTAATCTTTAAAAAATACGTATTATAATAAATCTATAAGTATTCTAAGATCTCGCGACGAAGACTTTTTCTACTAATCTTTATAAAGTATAAAATCTTTAAGATTATAAACTGACTAATAAGTAAATTAAATTAATTAAATAGATTATACTATATCTCATTTTAATATATCTATAACTTACTCTGATAAAGACTCTTAATTTAATTCTTATAGCCGAAAAAATCGCGAATAGTTATTCTCTTTAGTTATATAAGACGTAGTATAAATATTAAATGCGAGAAAGTTATCGATAATATAATATATAATACTCTTTTTAACACTCTTAATAAAAATAATAAAAGGCGATAATAAGCCCATTAAGGATATACTATTAAATACGATTCTTATAGATATTAAATAGTAGAAAAACGATATTTTAAAACCTTCTATACATTAGTAAAAGGCTTAAAAAAAGAAATATTAAATATTCTATATATACGATAATTTTAGCTTTAACTTGACGATATAGATGATTATAGAAATAATAATATAATAGATATATCTATAGTACGATTTTGGGTGGGGGATGCTAGCGGAATGCTAATTTTCTAGTTTCCTAATGATTAAGAATATAGGGGTATATGGATTTCTAATTTGGTTGAAGAGTCTTACTGAAAGATGTGCCGGATTGATGGCGGATGGAGAGTGGGGGAGAGGGAAAGGAAAGGGGTTTTATACAACGAGGGGAGAGGGTCGAGGACCAATCTGCTTTGTTCGCCATGTTTGTTGATGCTCCCCTTCCTATGGTCTGAGCTGAGTAGTCTCTAGATTGAGGCATATCGTTACGGATTCCTTGCCAAGGCAATAGTGGCTTGGCACGGCGCACACATATCTGTCAGCAGGCCACATTGTATTCCACATCTTTATTACCCCTATATGTCTTATCATTAAAAAACTAGAAAATTAATATTCCGGCAGCACCTTACTTAAAATCGTACTGTAGATATCCATCATATTATCGCTCTCATTAATCTTCTTATATCTCGCTATCCTAAATATAACTATTAATATACAAATAAGCGCCCTTAATAGATTTAATAAGAAGGTTACTATAATCGTTATTAACGCTATTAAAGGGGGATATAAATTAAAGAAATCTACTTTAAAACCTAAGTCGATAAAAAAACTCTCTTCTTATCGATAAGTCTAATAAAATTATAACCTCTCTTTATCGTTTAATCTCAGCCTATTAATCCTTCTATAAAACTATTAACCTATTTTATTAATACAAGTATTCTATAAAAAGAAAAGAAGATATAGATTTATTCTACTATCTTTAAACGATTCGATTTTTATAAGTTTAATTTAATCGCTATTTAAGAGATTAAATAGAAGATAAAAAAGAAAGACTATAGAGTAATCCTTAAGAGCGCTATTATTACACTCTTATTCTTAGAAAATATTAAGACTATAAATAGTTAATATAGCGATATTACTAAGTAAAAGAATATTAATAATCTAGCGAGATAATAACTAGTTAAGAAAAGAGAAAGGGGTTATTATAAGAATTATATATATTTATAATTCTTAAAAAAACTTCTTTAAATTAGAAACCTTTATTATAAAAGAGTCTTTTTCAAAGAAGTAAAAAAAGAGTAGAATTATTAATAGAATAATCTCTTTAGATAACTTCGACTACTATATTAGATAATTCTAAATTATTTAAATTTAATAAGAAGAAGAAAAGAAGAAGAAGAAGAAGACGTCTAGATTTAATAGCACTATTACTAAATAAATTCTATATATAAAAAAAGGAAAGAAATTAAATAGAAAGCTTAGATTTAAAGACTATAAGATTATAAAGCTATAACTATATAATAAGCTCGATTATTAAAAAAATATTATTATTAATAATTAGATGATTTTAAAGATTTATATTATCTACTTACTAGCGATTAAATTACTAAATAAAATAAGACTATAAAGAAGAAAATCTAATATTATTATTATAAATTCGTTTATAAAAATATAAAAGCGATTAAGAACTTAATAAAATTAGACTAAATAGATAAAGGCTATTAATAAAGAAGTTAAGTTAATTAAGAAGAAAGTTTATATAATTATTAACTACTCTACTCTTACTTCTACTTTACTCTATATTAATTAATATATTACTTAATAAATTAGATATCTTATTTTTATTAATATAAGACTTTTAATAATAGTAATATAATATATTAATAGTAATATAATACGTAATTTTAATAGTAATAATATTAAGACTTATTTATTCTATTAGCTTATACTTTAATAATCTTAATATCTTTCTCTTATAGTAGTATATATATATTTAGACTTAGTCTATTTAGTCTTACCTATCTAATTTAATTAAGTTATTATCTTATTTAGATATAGCTAATTAATCGCTCTTTTAAAGCGTCTTAATTATTAAGTAATTTAATTCGAATAGAGAGTAATATAGATAAACTACGAAGGGCTATTTTATCTAATAAATTTAGAGAAATTTAAGTAAAAAAAGCGTCTTTATAAACGCTCTAGAAAAGATTAAAGTAGAGTTATATATACTAAAGTAAATATATTAAATATTGCCTTCTAATTAAAAAGAGATAGAGATTTTAAGAGAAATAGTTATACGATTAAAGAATAAGATAAAGAACTTTATAAAGATACTACGGCTTTATACTACTATCTCTTATTATAAGTTCGCTAATTATTAATTATATACTACTTTAAATACTCTTATTACTATACTTTATTAGAAAATAAAATTATTAATAAAAATAGTAATAAAAAAAAGAAGAAAAGAGAAGAAGATCTAAATAGCTATATATCGAAATTTAAAAAATAAGATTCGATAATTAATAATTAGCGTCGGCCTATCGTCGCTATATAAATCTCGAATATTTAATATATTTAAAATTAATTAATAATTATCTAGTTTAAATTATCTAAATAGTATAAAATTACGAGTTAAATATAACTAAAATAAAAAAAAAAATCTCGAGAAACGATTATATTTTAATATAAAAATATTAAATATAAGGGTTTTTTCTTTATATTACGCTAAGATAAGACTTAAAACTCTATCTTTAAACTTTCTCACTACTTAAATAATAACCTTTATCTTTCTTATATAACTTCTCTTCTTTCTCTTTTATAATGTTCTATTAATATATCAATATATACAATAGATTTTAATATAAATTCTTATATTATAAGTTTATATAGCTAGCTTTAAGTATTATCTAAATAATATACTCTTCGTTAGCTTAAAATATCTCTTTAATTAAATCTTAAGAATCGAAAAGAACTTTTAATAAAATTAAAATTTAATAAATATAAGAGTAAATATAAGATTATAACATTTTTATTCTTATAGAGTCTTAATAATATTTTATTTTTAAATTTTTTTTATTTTTTTTATTTTTTTTTTTTTTTTTTTATTAAATATAATTAATTTTTATTTTTATTTTTTTTTTTTTTTTTTTTTATTTATTTTTTTTAATTTTTTTTTTTTTTTTTTTTTTAAATTTTTTTTATTATTTTTTTTTTTTTTTATTTTTTTTTATATATTTTAAAAAAAAAAATATATAACTCTAACTTCGATAATAACACACACGATAGCAATTTATTCATGCATATACTATTCCACTTAGGACTATTCTTTCAAGGCACTAGTGGCTTGGCACCGCGCACACATACCTTATCTGTCAGCTGGCCACATTGTATTCTACATCTTTCTTACATGTCACACCACACATACATTATTCATACATATGATTCCACTCAGGACTATTCCTTAACACATATACTCATCTCCTTGGGCGCCAATACCGAAGATGAAGCTCAGCATGCATTGCGACGTTTCGATATCCACTTGCCATCCCACATGATGCTCCCTGATTGTCGATCAAGCCGTTCTGCGCACCTCTTCCTTTGCTATCAGACTCTTTTCCTTTTGTACCGACTGATGAGTATGCTGTGTGATTAGACTGCATCTTGCGTTGCATAACGAAGGCAGATTTTTTTATTGAATTCAAGTCATTCACGAATATGGCGGAGGCTGCTGGATTCGATTCGCTGGCTGTGGGTCGCTCCGAAGATGGTTGATGCACAAAAAGCTGCATCTTCGTCTTACATCAACGTCGTCTACGGCCCTTGGCAGAAGCTCAAGCTCGACCCGCAGATTCTTGTCACATTGCATTTCCCTGAAGAGGCACTACTGGCCCGCTACAGGCGGAGTGGTAACTAGTGCTGGGGTCTGTTCCAGATCAGGCGGCAGCGAAGCAGTTTCCTTTATTGTTTTTGGTTGGGGAGTTTGCAGGCTAAGGTATCTCTGACTTTCTTTTCTGATCTAGAAAGCTCTTGGGGCAGAGTTTATAACCTTCCGCCTTGCACTAGCCAGCTGCGAGGCGCTGAATCTGGTGGTTTTTAGAGGAGCAGAATGGTAGTATAGAGACACGTGTTTTATCTCGCAGTCTGGATGAGGACCTAGGAGCTAATACCTGAAACTGCAGATAAACGCAGGGCCTTTTCTCTGTTCACACCACATATAGAATCTACTGTCGTTGAGTACGTGCTCTTCCTGGAGGTGACACGTCAGACCTTTACCGCCGTAGCAAGTCACCCTCTGGCCAACATCACCGAGATAGAGAAGAAAACCATGCATTTCTCGTTATTTTTGGATGTTTGTTGGGTTTTCTGCAGTGGGCTTTGAGAGAGCTGATATCTGAAATTCTTGCTCTCCCCAAATTTAGCGAGACCGTGATTCCGGCGACTTTTGTCTTTGGCTGGTGCTTGTTTTCTAGCCACAGGCCACGAGGCGCTAAGTTACGCACAGGTCGTAAATGATCTCTAACAACATCTGGATTGGTGTCAAAACGCTTTGGCCAGTGCAGTGGACTCCTAATGGAGGGGCAGTTGGCGAATGGACCGAAACCAATACCCACGAGCTCACATGAGAGAACTGGGATCCACTAGGACCAGGAGACTAGCCAAGCTGCTTGACGAGAACTGGAAATTCTGGTGTGCGTAGAAGCAAATGTTTTGGTCCGTGCTCTGGATGCACGGGTCGCTGATCGATCATCCACCCACGCAGCTCATGCCAATCGTCCCAACTCGTTCGAGGACCTCGAGAGAAGTCTTTCCCGTTGAAGCAGCGTCGACGGAAGCAACGGCTCGCCCCACAGCGGTAAGCCGTTTCCAATTGCTTGCATGACAGGGTGGACTCGGGCGACTACAACTGCAGCATTCCTGTGCAGTCGTTCCAGCCTACCAGTCGGCGCAGGCGCTGCAGACACTACAACTAGCAGCGTTTTAGCACAGTCTAATGTCAGCAACCACAATTAGGCTTCACCTCAAGCACTTGCTGCAGAGCACACGCATCCTTCTAGAATTTCATCCAAGACATGCGAGGGGCCCACGTGCTGATACGTGTAGACTGCTCTGCCGAAGGATGGCCTGGCCATGTGCAAGTGGAGATGCCTCGGGCACGGGCCATTCTTTACCACCTCGCGGCACGCACCTTGCGCCACGTATGCGTGCGTTCGCATTTCGAGAAGATTACTGCGCGTCGTGAACAACCCGAGAGCTTGTGAGCGGCTTCGGCAGAGTGCTTGTCCGGATGGTAAAGAATGGCCCGTGCCCGAGGCATCTCCACGCACCCTCGAGTGCTTCGCCAGTACATGCCTACGGCCAAGGGTCTTTCTCTGATCTCGAGGGGCACTCACTTCATTCTTTTATCACACATCTAAAACATCATGCCATTCCTCAGCTCACAGCAATCATCGTGGAAAGACGGTTACCTTCTTGGCCAACAGTCCGATGACGAAGGCAGCGATGTTTTCGAGAAGTCAGGGGCGAGCTTGCCAGAGCGCCGCTCTTCTATACCACGATTACTCCTCATCTATACCACTCTTGCAACCTGCTACTCATTCCTGATAACCGCCGCCTTGATTCGCCACACGGTCAGATCCAAATACGCAGGACCAAACATAATCTACAGCAAGTTGTGTGAACAGTCTCAAACGACGCCTGGCTAACCACTTTAAGCCCCCGCGAGGAAATTCATGGACTACCGGCTTACGGAGCCCATATCAGCCTATCCAAACGGATACCACGCAGATCCGTTCTTTGGAGACCCGTCACCAGAGCTCGATCAGGGCTGGAACGATCGCTTGAGGTGTAAGAAAGCTTCCAACCCCCAGGGTACTGATGCTGACGGTCTTGAAGACGCCACGATACGCCTCTCCCCAGAGGAATTCTCGCACTACAACCAGAGCGGTATCCTTCTCGGAGACGGATCGGGATATCTCGCTACCCCAACAGCGTACCATGACCTGCACTGCATCAGGTTCCTCCATAAGACTGTCTACCCGGAACACTACTTCCCCAACGATTCGGAGAAGAAGCAGCTCGGAAGGAACGCTCACGCCCGTACTGATCCTTCCGCTTGAGACTGCATCTTTGTAGGCTGACAAATGATCCAGGACACTGCCTACACAACTTGTACCACTCGCTAACCTGCAACGCGGACATGACTATCCGTGTTATGAGGTGGCATCCAAACTTGCACCTGCCGTCGCCAGTCGACCACGAGCACGAGTGCATGAACTGGGATAGCATCGACGAGTGGGCGAAGGAGCGGTACGTGGATACGGCGACACCAGGGTTGCTGGTGCATCCGACCAAAGGTAAAGTATCACCGTGTGAGTAACAGGGGTTTTCTGGCTAACGGTGGGTCTTAGGGGGAGGTGTTCCCTGGCGGGAAGTATGTGGACCACGACGAGGAGTGAGAAGTGGTTCAATGGGTCTTCGGAGCAAGCCTGGATGGCTGTAATGAGTTCTTAGGCGTTGTATGTCCGGGAAGTCCCAGCCCAGTCCTAGTAGGACGGAGAAGCTCGGCCGTGGCCGAAACTCTCTAGAGAATCATCGAAGTAGTTATGCTGAATTAACTGGCGTCCAATATATTGTATAGTCCAAATGTGATCCACTTTAAACTTACCAAGATTCGCTTTGTATCATCAAAGACGAGAAGAGACACGCTGGCGGTAATCAGGCCAAAGAACAAGTCCGCGCTTCAGTGGAATTCTGATACCTCCCAGACTCGAGGGGCAGATGGTGTAGTCTTTAACGAGACTGCATTTCGTCCAGTCGCCACTCTCTCCGAAGCGATCCTTTCTCGCCTTTACGTTGTATGGCGCATACTCATTCAGAGACTGGCGGGATCTTGGATGATAAGAGTAAGAGCAAGTATATCAAGTTACAGGTCGATTTAGACGCTCTCAATACCGACCCCCAGAGCTGAGCAAAATAGAGGCAGCGGAAGGTAAAGTCGAAATAAATCTCCACGGCGACAATAGTGACTCTGAAAAGCCTCTACAGCGAGGCCAGAGCAAAGAAGCTCTATATCTGAGCGACGTGGTCCCGGGGTCGGGGGCTGCCGTTTCCAGATGGGTCACCCATCTAATATTGGCATATCAGACCGTTTTTGGCCTTTTCATCTCTCGCGTGAAGCCAATGTGCCACTCCGGGGTCACCTGTTTTTCATGTACCTATAATCTCTGCGGTCATCGTTGGCATCACCTGACCTGCATGTCCTCCACTGCACTAAGCGTCAGAAAAATCCATCTGGCTCAATTTTGTTCATGATTGTGAGGAGTCCTCGCCGTCCTGCCCAGACTGCCATTCTCGCGAGGAGAAATGTTGGAGCAAGTACGATCTTTCCTATGTTTACTCCTCGTGAATCTAGAGATTGCAGATGCTGCCAGATCATCTTTCGTGAACTCAAGGCTCTTCAACGGAGTGAGTCAAGCACAGCCTGTTAAGTTTCGATCCAATTGACCTACTTCTAGCGACAGGCCCAATGGGCTGAAAATACGTAACATTCCGCACTTCGGTGGCGATTTCCGATCGCTTCCTAGCAATCCGAACCGTACGACGGCTGTTCGAACCGAACCACGTTTGAGCTTCAGCTTCCGCTTGGCTACAAGAATCTTCGGCTGCCTTGAGCAGCCGCAGCCTGCCCCTGACAGAGGCTGAGAAGTGAAGATTCGTCGTTCCCCCCACGCTCGAAAATGCGCTGACCTTTTCGAGACGCCTTGAGAGCCTGCGCTCTGACGACGAAGAGGAAGATAGCCTGACAGAGGTTGAGGAGTGAATATTCGTTCCCCCCGTCGCCCGAAATGGTGCCGAACTTTTCAAGACGCCCTAGGTGCCAGAACCCTTTCGTCGACGTGAACATTCCCCTGTAAGTTACTGAATCACGTGTACTGGTTTTGTGAAAAAACTGATCGACTAATATTCTCAATCGGGCAGAGTTGACGAGGAACGGAAAGTCATATGCCGTTCGTTCTCCAGTATTCAACGCCGAAGACGCGGTGCTGACTCGGTACCTTTTAGCGCAATGTGGGAGGAATAAGGCAAGTAGCGGAGAAGGTAGCGGAGCAGAAGATTCTGGGGAAGGAAACGGTGGAACTGTGGCTGGAATCTCAGGGAGGGGGGTGTAGGTGGTTTGTCTCCGTCTATGGATCTAGAGTGCACCTGGAAATCTGGGAAAACACTGCGCACATCAAGTTGAACTGTCCCGCTCCGGCATTCCTTCCGATCTCTAGACCTCTCCTCGTTTGCCATCCTCCCTGTCATGATTTCGCGTCGGGTCCTGAATTAGGGAAACACTATGCCTATGTCCAGGGCTTTTGAGTTTCACTATGCTTGCACCGCCAAGCGGGAGTATTTCCGATAGCATATCTAAGGAAGGCGGATGGCTGTTCGGGGATACTGGTGTCGGCTGGGGTTGTATGGATGTGTCGGCTGATATGGGGCTGTATCCGAATAAACTGGTTAACCCGCTATATCTAACCAGAAGACGACGAGTCCGTGCTTGTTCCCCGTCTCCATCCTGTCGCACAAGAGCGCTTGGCACGGTCGCGAGCCGGCATGCGTCTCGGGTATGATAACGCGGCGGTCTTCGATGAGTGACGGGGATTTGCGGCGCTCACTCGATCCCCCGATTGGAGGTGAGGCCGGGGGGGGGGCAGATTTCCGTCTTCCCTGGCACTTTACGTGTGGACCCCCCGTACACCGTAGTCGCGGGTTTTCCTGGAGGCCACGGATATGTTGATCCTCAGGATTTAGAAATATGCTCTTGAATTGCTCATCCACGTCCGTAAGCAACATTCATTGACCGAGCTAAGCGATGGCGTGCTCGAGTTTTGGGGAGCGTGAATTGGAGATATCTCCTTCGCTAGTCATGCAAAGGGGAGTTTTATTTTGGCAACCAACCTCCAAGGCCCCAACAAGCTTTCCGGAGATGGATCATTAAGTTGGCAAGTACAGGTTCGTGGGCATGTTACGTACAACCACAATAACACCGATCTCTTTGCTAGACCTAGCATTGGAGCTGCGGGACGGTTTTTACAAGCTGATCATTCCCATCGAACGAGGGGCGGACGACGAGCCTCTTCCAGTTGAGAGGGAAAAACATACTGGGAAGATCATCCTAATCCCCAAACATTTGCGGCACTTTGGGACAGACCTTTGCCGACAGAGTCAGAAGATGTTCTTCGCTTGGGAGGGAGACTGCTGAGGACCCACCGCCAAGTGAATGAAGAAGTGGCGCCGTACGTGTATGGCCAACATCAGTCTCTATTCTACAGACCCCGGCAAGCACTGGCATGGCTCGATAGGGTTGGTCAATATAAATTCGTTTGCGGCATGTTTGCAATTTGCGGCTCTTTCGTTCCACGCCGAGGCCTCGGATGATGAGCGACAAGTTCAGGCCCACATATGGGCTTCGGTCCTTCGAAATTTCCCGAATATAACCTCGTTCGATTGCCTCCTACGTCCTCATCATTTTGTTTGGCCAGCCCCCGTCTGGTCGGACACCATCTGGAATGACGAGGCGGTTTTAGAAGCAATACGCGATCTCGCACATGTTCACTTTGTGTTGATCGAAGCAGCGTCACGGGTCAACGGCTATGGCTTCAACGTCCCGGTATCCTCCTTTGACCCTGCCTTCGACAAACCTTTTCTTGAGACTCTCGTTCTCGAAGGTCATCCTATCGCCGGTGTCGAATGGTATCCTGAGGATTACTTTGACCGACTTATGGCCCTGAAGCATCTAACCATTAGCAACGGCTCACGCATGCAATCTGTCTGGCAACACCAAGGTATCGAAGGACTTCTTTTCTCACATTGCTCCATTGCGCGGCTTCACTCGGCATGGGATCTATCTTGCAAACTCCCATCAGAAAGCCTTCACTATGCCTCACGGTGGCACTCTTTCAATTCCTGGATCTCAGTATACGCATGAAACATCTGGAAGACGGGGCTGCTCAGCGATCGGAAGAATCGTCTTACAACCATGGTCGGAGCGCTACCTGTACTCAAGGCTTTAAACCTGAGTCACTGGTATGATGGCGCCAGACTAATCGAAAAGATGCCCCGAAGTCTCACAGTGCTCAGTCTAGACGGCGGCGGTAGTGTTGATGGGAGTTTTCACGGTACTGTACAGGACGAGTCACTGGGCCACGCTGTGAGGAGATTGCCTGATCGATGCCCACAGCTGGCTCATGTGCGTCTCAACATGTTTCGACGAGTTGTCGATAAGGATGTCATGGGTCGCTGTGGGACGCTCTCGATCCGAAATATCTGTCATCGAAAATTAAGGACACTTTGGTCACCGGCTGTGTTGCTCGGGGATGTAACGAAATTGCACTTATGGACCCAGAGTTGACGGATAAAGTCCTGATATGTTGGGGCAGGTTTCTTTCTTTTCCCATTCCCAAGATTGACCTCAACCACCCTTGGGAACGCCACTATGCGGATCAAGAATTGGTCCTAGGTAGACTTGGAGTAGTCTCGGGATCATAGCCCTTAAGGACAGCTTCTAGGTGCAAAGGTGACTTCTCGGGGAGGCCACGATACATTTTGTTGTAGCGCGGGCATGAGGAAGCTGCATATTGGCAGATAATTTGGGGTTGAACCTATCTTGTAGCTTAGGCGGTGTACAAATCCCGCATACTTGAGGGGTTGAGTATAATCTGGCTTTCGCACTCATTCACCTCGCAATCCGAAAGTCCACTTCCTGCGGCGACTGGGGATTTCCCTTCTCAATCCTCGACATGTTCTACACCAGCAACTCATGTACGACCAGGGACTAAGTACCAAACAATGACTTCCAAAACTGACGTCGCCCTCCCTCATCGTCAGTGATCTATCTGCTCGACTTGGTCCTTACCGCACCTCGTTAGGCTGGTGCAAAAGTTGCGTGCTTGTTACTACTCCACATCGGGGTACATCGTATCCTGCCGGACTTACATGATCTGAAACACATCCAAGGTGCAGGATCTCGCATCGGGCACGCAGCATCGATCTGGCATATTTTCCTATTTTCCGGACCTTGCTCATGGCGCTTGGGGCCCCACAGATACCTCTGCCAGAGTCATCATTGGCGCCATATTTAGGGATGCTCACTGCTACTAATCTCGAGCTTCGCATGATCATCGAGGCCGTTTTCACCCTCCCCCACGAAAAGAATCTGAGACTTGGCGTTGGTTGCATGATCGAGCTGTCAAACTTGCATAATTGACGTCATTTCTCCACAATTGCTGTCAAACTTGCATTATCGATCGAATTAATTCTCCAAATTCTCCATTGGCCCCATATGGCGGAGAATTAGTTCGGATATTTTATTTTGGAGCTGGCATGATCGAGGGGGGTTCCAAGTGCAGCCCAGGCGTTGAAAAGATATGCACGTCGTCAGTTATGGACAAGTCATTCCCGGCTCTCGCGGAGTCAGAAAAGGTATCTTTTTTGTGCGGTGATAGCAACTTGGAGCAACGACGCATTTGATGCGGGGAAGATGTCCCGCTCCGGCAACTGCACATGGAGCGGATGATGTGCCTGTAGCCGTTCACGGCAAAAGGTGCAATTCTAGTAGGAAATTAAAGAGTCCGTCGCTCCTCCAGCCTACCGAAAAATGACATTGGATACACGAACTACACCTCCAACATCCGTCATCAGCAGAACATGATCGAGCAGGCGATTTGCGCCTCTCAACCTGACACCCATCATCAACCGGCACCCTACTCAAGCTCCTTCCCATCGACGCATTCGTCGAATTCCCCACCAAGCTCAGCAGCGGCGGCCACGGCTCATCCCTCACCACGACGAATAGATCCTGCACCTGAGGCACCCTGTGTACGGTGCCTGAGAGAAACCGTAGTTAGCTAATCAACCAACCAACCTGAACGTATCGACTCGCGTGCCTGCAATATGGCAAGTAAGTAAAATACTCCACTCGCGCGCAACACTCGACCAGCCCCGTCGCGCACACACGGCACCGGTAATCTAGCCTCGACCGCTTCCCACACATTCGTGCCATGCGCCAGACTGCGCGTCCCCAATGTAGACTTGGCATTTGCCGTCAGCTCTGCCCAAAAAAAAAAAACATCAGGTCAGCGCGCGAGACCCATCCATCCATCCATCCATCCATCTCTTGCCCTGCCTTGGAAACACAGTGAAAGGGGAGAGCAACACCTATATGCGGATCCGGCGCATGTCCGAAGCTTCGTCTCGAGCCTTTCCCGCCCGATGGAGCCGCAGGAGTGAGTGAGTGAGTGAGTGGACGGGCGCTGAGGATGGCGGTGTGGCAGGCTACGTGCCGCGGCGGGACGGCGACGGTGCGTCTCCTTGAGACCCCCATCCTTCGGGATGAATGGATAATGAGGGGATTGACATTAAGAAGTAGTTCACGGACATTCTATCCTTCCGAGATATCACGGATATTATTGAACGTCGGGCGGTTTCGAGGTGGATGTGCTCGTGGAGGGCAGGCGGTCGTTGTTGTTGCGTCTCGGAAGCTGACCCGCGGGCCTCTTGGTTACGGCGATCGTCAGGGGAAGAGAGGGCTCCTTCGAGATAAGACTGAGATCATCCTTTGTTTTTTCAGCGCACAGGGAAATGGGTAAGGTCCGACGGCATCGGTTTCCTAAACGAGGGTTTGTATATCGTCATTATCACTCGCATCGCCTCGGTAAGGCGTCCTTCTTCGTGGCCATTGCATCATCATCATCATCATCATCAGGATCATCAGGGGGAGCAAATACCCATGAAGTAGACTTCCTCATGGTGCGGGAACGCCGGTCTCGTGGGCAAATGACCCATCAATAGCAGGCAGGTACCTTGCGGAATATGCGTTGTGTTGTGGGAAGCAAAGTAGTTTGAAACCATATCAACTCCTACTAACAAGGAAATCTGACGCCAATGGATTTTTACATCGAAAAACAGGACCAGGGCCGATGTGCGTTTTATCACATCGGAAAATGCCTCCACACGGCACATATCTTACCGACCGTTACATTTTTTGGACCACCTTTGCCACACCAACCGCGCCACTATGCACCTACAACTCATCATGCTCACTGCCGTCATCCGCACCATCCGAATCGGTGACGGCGGTCTTCACAGCCTCAGCGGCGTCACTTGCCGCGCTCTTCGCCGTCTCGGTTGCCGCCCTTGCTGCCTCACCCATACCTTCAGCCAAAGGAGCCTCAGTATCATCGCCTGTCTCATTCTTGCCCTCAAATGCATCCACCTTGTATTTGCCATTCTCCTTGATAAATTCGGCTAGATCTTCGATGGTGCGAGAACCGGAGTAGGTGATCGGTTCCTCCTTGCCACCAGCGGGGAAGAGTTTGATGGTTGGGAAACCTTGGATCTCGTCGGGGACATCGTTGGCTGTGGCGTCAACTTTGGCGATGGTGACTTGGGCGCTGGCGGGGTACATGGCGGCAAGTTCTTCATATTTAGGGGCCAAGCTATAGAGAAATAATTAGACTCCAAACGTCTGAAGCATGCCATCGAAGGTACTCTTACGCTTTGCAGTGACCGCACCAGGGGGCGTAGAACTCGAGAAGAACATCGTTGTCGTTGTCCAAAATGATCTCCTTGTAGTTGTTGGCCACGACGACCTGAACAGGGCCCTCTTGCTTCTCTGGAACAGGCTCAGACTTGACGCTGGGGTCGACGTTGCCATCAACGAAGTTCTGGACGAATGCGCCAACATCGTCATGTGTAAGCTTCTTGTCCTGGTCATAGGGAAACTTCTGGTTCTTGAGGGTCTCCTGAATAGCAAAGGCGGGCCATTTGCCGTCTTCGAGGTTCAGGTTACCAGCGTGTGCACCGAAAGACTTGGCGTCAATGGTGGCGAAGCTGATGACCCCCTTGTGCTTTTGTGCGAGAGGCTTGAGCTCAGCGGCCAGTTCAGCGCGCTCCTCTGGGGTTTCCGCGAATATGTAGGCTAGTGGGATGCCAGCCTAGGCATGTGTTAGCATGGCTCAATCTTCGGTTGTGTAGGTGAACATACCGCCATGTAGCCAGCATATGTCTCAGGACCGACTTCGCCTACCAACGGCATGGCTGAAGTCTTGGTGAATTTGGTGATGGCTTCCTTGTCAAACTTCTGCTCAAAAATGTCCTTGCCCTCGTCAAACGATTTGTAGAGAACAACAGATGGGAATTTGACACCCTCGGCTTCGGCCAACTTGGCGTCATTAGAGGCTCCAAAGAGGTGATCGTCTCTCATGGTCTCGGCGACTTCGCTGAAAGTGGTATTCGAGGTCTTGTCGCCAGCTTCAAAGAAAGCAACCACCACGACCTGGTCTGCGGTTTTGAATTCCTCGAATGTTTCTGGTGTGAGGACTGATACTGCAGGGAGGGCTTGCTTGGTCATGTAGGAGATGATACTAGATATAGCGGTTAGCGAGGAAGCCCTGAAGATTGGCAGCATACTACTTACGCAGGCGCCTTTCTTTGCCCTGAGTAGGAGCTCACGTTGTCCGGGCCTCGGAAGACCTTGACAGTTGGGTAGCCTTCAACGCCATATTCTTTACATAAGTCGGCTTCTTCTGTGCAGTCAACCTTGACCAAGGCGATGTCCTTCTCTTTGAGTGTCGTTGCGGCCTCCTCGTATTCTGGGGCCAATGCTTTGCAGTGGCCACACCATGGTGCGAAAAACTCTGCTAAAACAAGGTCATGGCTCTTGACGAAGTCTGTAAATGTATCTGTCTTGAGGTCATGGACGTCAGAAGCTGATGCTACCGCAGCAGCTCCTACAAGCCCGAGAGCTACACTCTTGAAGTTCCTCATGATTATTGTATGTTTTTAAAATGAAAGTGATGCCTTATGTTGCAGGCTTGAATGAAGTGGTGTGTTTGTATTTTGAGGAGAGAAGAGGACAGAGATAGAGAGATGTTGTCGATGTGTCCCTATGGATTCGTAAGGTTTCAAAAGGGCCATCTGGCAACTAAAGTAGACTTCGCCGCAGGACCCTAACAGTAAGCACGTGACATTTATATACGAGCGTCGCAGATTTAAGTCTAAGTCCTCTCGTCAATTTCGAGAGACTCGGACGTCATTGCTGAGCACTATTGCTTTTCCATCTCAACTATGTCACTTCTACTCATGGTCGTGATTCATGGAGCGTTTAAGTCGTTGTCTGCAAGTACGCTGATGAGCAAGTGCTATGCTGTTACGGTGGCATATTATCAGCCTTCCAGTCTGCCGGGTTATACGTCTTTTCAGTATGCTTTTGCAGCCTGATCGATGCCGACGAGGCTGTGGACCTTCGATCATTCAGCTTAAAGTCTGAGGCTTTCTCCGCATCATAAGTGAGGTCATTGACCTGCTGATACGGGGCAGCCAATCTGCTCCTGCAGTCCGGCAGCAGACGAGGTCTGACACTCTGAGTAATTCAAACGCCTCCATGGGCATCTGTGCAATCCCGATCGTTCTATGCACGATCTGTCAAAAGCTCCTGGCTAAAGCTTGCCATAAAGAGTTACCCTGGATCGGGCAGATTTGCTGCGGGCTGGGTTATGTGTTGATTGTACTCGCCATTCTTGTCTGCAGTCCGTTCGTCTACAATCTCCTCCCAATACTTTTGTGCCCACTTCTCTGCTCCTCAGCGGGACGACAACGGTTCAAACTGATTTACAAGAATGCTGCAGTGGTGCCATTCAAGATCCTCTGGTTTTATCATCTACGTTGCAAACGGCAGGCTCAAGAGATAGCTTTTGAGAGGGAAAAGCCCCGCCCTCTTCCTCTACAGCTCAGACGCCGACTCAGCCAGGCGCCGTATTGTGCAGAAACTCAATTAGGCGCTTCGTTTTTCACTAAACTTCCGTTCGAAATACGACTCAAGATTTACAAAGAGGTCATTGTAGGCGATGGCTCACATGTCCATGTTGTGGTGCACAGCACAATGAGGAATCCGGATGGCGTGTTTGACGCACGCGCCAATGCCAGTGCCATGAGGGCTGGCAAGATTCGTGGCTACCACTGTGATCATGCTTTTGACAGAGTTGTCTCCAGTGCCCCTGCTTGGCATCTCGTTGATGTGGCTGAAGCAGAGGTTGTTTACGCGGGGTACAATGTGATTGCGCGAACGCATTTCTCCAACAGCTTCCCAAAAAATCGTGGCTGGGGCCCCGTGACTCTTGTCAAATGCTGTAAGCAAATGTACTTAGAAGCCATCGATCTATTATATAGTAAGCGTCGCAGCCTTCCGTCTAGGATCTCAGATGCGAGGAGCTAATATCTCCAGGTCTGCAAATTTTCTCATTTGCGTCACTGACACCGCCACCGTTCTTCATGCAGAGCGTACTTCCCCATCGTCTTGCCCAAATCAGAAGCATTCAACTATGCTACAACCAAATCACCATGTCCAGTCCGTGTCCGAGCGGCGGAAATGATCGACGCGCTGCTCTACACGCACACCGAATGCAGAAATGTGCCGCTTGTAATCTACTTACTTGGTCCAAATTGATCAAGCAGACTTTGAAAGGATTGCGTACAATCGAGGCTTTCATCTACCTTGGAAGTACGTTTACGATGCCCACACCCGATGCTCCATGGATAACCCGCCTTCTTGAAATGCAGTGTGGAACGAACGGATTGCGAGAACTCAAAATCAACGTTTTGCCAGGTCCTTGGATGAATGTGACAGCTCATCCAGACGGTTTCCTTGCAAACGCTGCTCGATTGGATTTGCTGCTACAAAGCATGATCAAGAACGGCGCTGAGAACCATAGGCATAGAAAGCAAGACATCACCTAAGGCACGGCAATGTATGCCTAACACCTGGACAGCTACCTTGTCTCCGCTTAGGTCTGCCACACCGTGCTTTCAGTCCTGACATTCTTGTACAGCAAGTAGGAATAAATGTGCCCGAAGAACAGACGCAAGCGGCTGGGTCCTCTTAGATCCTTGCACTGGATATTTCTAGAGCAAAGATCTTTCAAAGATCATGGAGTTGCCCTCCTTTCCACAGGCTTTACAGCTCGGACGCCTTTCAAGTACAGAAACCATAAGCTATATCCACCTTAAACTTGTCAATTTTGGAGCTGTTCGGGTGTCAAAAATCATTGATAGTGGGGCCCGATTCCGAAATCTATCGCGCTCTATTCCAATCGACGCGAATTATACTCTCTAGATCCTGAACTACCTTTTCAAAAATGATCCCAATCTTTGCTCTGGTCCACAATCCGGTTATCTTCATCAGTATCTTTATTTGAACATGAATCCTTCCCCAAGCGGGACTCCGTCTACAGCAATCTCGATAATCACTTCCGTGAACCTCCTCTGCTGTAACAAATACCCAGGAATCTGTCCTACGCTCAGGATGACCCACTGGTACTCCAAGGATGGTGTTCTGACCGCAGGAGCCCGAGGATGACCCAGGAATCCAATCGTTGTGTCTTCATCGTCTGGAGAAATCTGGAATCCGACCACTCGATCAGTGCTTGGAAACTGAGCAATATATTCCAAAGTCGCAAAAATTGCGACGAAGACTTCCGTGATACCAAGCATTTCCCCAACCTGGGTCACCGATACTGTCAGATGCTGGTCGTTCAATGGATTTCTGACGTCCGATTTGCTCAAGTCTTGCGTAAATTCTACCGTGGCGTTGCGAATGGACATCTTTTCTGACCGCGCTGTGAGGCCCAGAGTATCATTGCTTCCAGCAATACTTAATTGCCTCCCTTTCATCCAAATTCTGCATACCAGGATCCCGTCCCAGTATGCACCGATCACGAGGTCCCGGAAACTCTGGTGGCTGATCATCCACCTTATTCCTTTCCATACACCCCACAACAGATACCGCGCTTCTATCCCTTGCCCTGGCGCCATCGTCATAGGCACGACTACGACCTCGGGATAGCCAGGATCCATGTAATTTCGAGGGCGAATTGACTCCGTGAAGTTTTCGAGTGCTAGCTCCATCATGGCGTTGGCTGCGTTCATGAGGCATGATGTAGCCGAGAGCCTTGCTTGCCCCTGTCGGTAATCGGTAGTGAAGCGGGGGTCTATGTCTCCCAATCTTGCCGCGTTGGTGAGATTGTAGTGAAAGCCGGTTTGGTTGATCCCATCGGATGGCGGGACGACAGCCGCAGCAATGGTCGCGGCAAAGCTGAAAAGTATTGAAAAGATCATGACCTATAAGTGTAGCGTGTTCCCATACGATTACCTAGTCTGACTATTGATTCCTAGTATATAGCAGGGATGACTCTAACAGCTGGTCAAAGGGGGTTTTGGATCGGCGAAGGGGAGTGTTTCACATTTTGCGCGCAAAACACAGCCTCATCGCGCTTGTATGTGTACAAGCGACTGACAGAGCCGACTGACAGCGGGTCGGATATCGCAGTAGTCAGTTACGATACTTAAGATGGAAGATCCCGTGCGAAAGAGTTGCAGATCTTCGATTTCGATGGCTCAGATATGCGAGCGAGCGCTCTACTTTGGAATGAAGCGTCCGCACACCACTTCAAGGAGTCGAAACTTGTCCAGGATTTTTTTTTGTCAAGAAACACCTGTCAATGCCATATTTGGAGGACTGGCGAATCATTGCTTCGCGCGGTTTTCATTCGAGAGGTGCAGCCGTAGTCTCACATGTGCCCGGAGACGTTCAATGTTGCGGAATGTCAGCAGGGTTATGGTGTTGTTTGAGAAGGCATTCGGTATGATAAGCAAGGGAAGGGGGAAAGAAGCGGACAGGGTACCAATCATCATGGTCGAACGAGCGTAGGATGACTGATGCGAAGGATGTGCTTCTGCGTGACTTGGTGGTTTGCTTGTTTGAGTATATGGCGAACAGAGCGAGCGACATTTGATATTTGAGATATAGCGCCCACCGTTGTCATCTTTCGAGAAAGACCGAACATATAGAACATGTACCTTTCAATTTCAGGCCGTAAATCCAAACGAAAGGGACAAATTGCATCAAAGTTTTCAACGGCGCACACAAATCCCCTCCCTTCCCACTACGCCGTCTCCTGCGCCTCCATCCTCTGCGCCACACTCCCTTTCCTCCACGTCGCGCGCTCATCCTTCTTCGTGACAGCCTTGCTCTCCCCCCCGACCTTCCCCCACCCGCCACCCCCAGGCGTACACACCACGATCCTCTCCCCCTTCTCCATCGCCGCCGTGTTCTTGCCCCCAAGATTGATCCACCGATCCTCCCACTCCTCCCTATCGTCGCCACGTCCCCCCTTGCGCACATGCCGCACCCAGTAGTTGATGCCGCAGGCGGCGTCCTCGCCGCCGGACAGCCCGTACGGGTGGTAGACGCGCCGCTCGCTGAGGATGCTGACTTGGACCGGGATGCGGAATTCGATGTCGCGGACGACGCCGTCGCCGCCGCGGTGCTGGCCCTTGCCGCCGCTGCCGGCGCGCAGGCTGAATTGCCGCAGCGTGACCGGGTAGCGGCGCTCGAAGACTTCGGCGTCGGTGATGCGCGTGTTGGTCATGTGCGTGTGCACGCCGTTGGTGCCGTGCCAGGTGGGACCGGCGCCGGAGCCGCCGGCGATGGTCTCGTAGTAGCCGAAGCCTTTGGTCGGGGAGGACGAGGTGGAGAGGTTGCCGCCGAAGCCGAAGGTGAGGTTGTTGCAGTCGCCTTGGGAGGCGGCGCAGGCGGTGAAGGCGAGCAGGATGACGTCGGTGACGCGCTGGGATGTGAGGACGTTGCCGCCCACGACGGCAGCTTTGTCGGAGGGCGAGAGGAAGGATTTCTTTGGTATGAGCACTTTGATTGGTTTGAGGCAGCCTTGGTTCAGCGGGATGTCGTCTTCGATCAGACTACGCAGACAGTAGATTATGGCGGAGTAGGTGACTGCTTCGGGGGCGTTGGTGTTGCCGTAGACTTCTGGGCCGGTGCCGGCGAAGTCGAAGATTGCTTCGCCTTTTCCGGGGTCGATGGTGATCTTGAGTTTGATTGGGCTACCGTCGTCCATGTAGTCGGTAGCTGTCAGATCCTGGCCTTCGAATCTCTTGCTGACGTCCTTGAGGAGATTGCGAACGCTTAGCTCAGCATTATCTTGGATGTTACGCATGTAGAACTGGACGACTTCCTCTCCATAGTCTTCTATCAGTGCGCTGATCAGGTTGATACCTTTCTGGTTGGCGGCGATCTGCGCTTTTAGATCGTTGAGGTTATCCGCCAGGCATCGTGTTCCGCTGCAATCTGGATATTGTGCTGGCTCATCGTAGAGTAACTCGGTTATCCTTTTTTCGTTGAATTTGCCCTCGGATACAAGCTTTTCTGACTTGATGGCCGCTCCTTCTTGGAACAGTTCTCGAGAGTGTGGAGGCATTGAACCGGGCAGTATACCGCCAATATCTGCATGATGAGCTCGAGATGCGACGTAGAAGATGATGTCCTCGCCATTGAAAGCTGGAGTGACGACTGTGATATCTGGTAAATGAGTACCGCCAAATTCTGGGTGGTTCGACACGATAACATCTCCCGGCTTCAGCTTGCCTTTCCATATTTCTGCTTGGGTCGTGACACAGGTCGACATGCTTCCGAGATGGACGGGTAGATGAGGCGCTGCAGTACGTTAGATAAAGGGCAGTGATACTGCATTGATGAGAAGGTTCTTACCGTTCGCAACAAGGCCACCTGTAGAGTCGAACAAAGCACACGAGTAATCCAGTCTTTCCTTGACATTGGTACTGACACTAGTCTTCTGTAACGCCCGACCCATCTGTTCCGCAATAGCCATGAAACGATGGGCAAAGATACTTAGCATAACGGGATCAACTTCTTTGGCATTGACTGTCTTATTTTGACCTTCTGTTTTTCCAATGTCAATCACGACGTGTGTTTCAATGACCAAGGCAGTCGCTCCAGGTGTAACGACAATGGTTTGAGTACCATCAGCCAGTATTGCGGGCCCTTGAACTCGATCGCCCATGTCAAGATCTTCAAGTTTGTAGATTGGAGTTTCTTGGCGTCCTCCTTCGAAGTAGACCTTGGATACACCGTATCGTTTTCCTTCGCCCAAATCCTTCGGTTTTATGTCCTTCAGCTGCATGTCGACTGTCCTCTCCAATCCCTCGAAGCTCTTACCGATGCCTCTGGCGCGAACATCGTCCACTATGATGTCACGATCCGGTAGCGTAAAACCAAATTCCTGTTCGTGCTGCTTGACGAATGCCTTCCCAAACGCCCAGTCATTGCCACCGAAGTCTTTCTTTGCCTCTTCTTCACTGGGTTTCACTATCATTAGAGCGGACTCCGTGCCTCTGTATCTCATATTTAGGTACTCCTCGAAGACTATGCTGTCATCAGAGAAGCCTTGGTCTCGAAGTTTTGCGGTCGATTTCTCTTTCAAGTCGTGCATCGTCTTCTTCAGTTCGTCCACCACCTCTCCTTCATCAGACCAAGTCTTAGAGTCTGGTACCTGGCTCTCATCTACAACATCCGCCAACGCCATCCCATAGGCGGATAGCACTGAGGAGTACCGATGGACAAGAATTTGCTTGATGCCAAGACTTTCGGCAATCGCAACTGCATGCTGACCACCTGCACCTCCGAAGGTAGCCAGTCGATGTTGCGAAGTATCGTATCCTTTAGCTTCGGTCAGCGACCTGATTGGCCTAGTCATCGTCTCATTAGCTATTTTAATGAACCCATAAGCGACTTCATCCGGACTCATCTCCTTCTCCTTGTCGTTTCCAGCAATCTCTTTGTTAATGTCTTCAGTCAATTTCTTGAAGAGCTTCTCGCTGGCAATCGCTTCTAGGCCTTGATCTTCTGTCTTTCCAAAGATCTTGGGAAAGAAGTCAGGTAGGAGGCGACCCAAGAAAAGGTTGGCATCGGTGACAGTAAGTGGACCTCCCTTTCGATAGCATGCAGGCCCGGGATGTGCTCCTGCAGACTCTGGACCAACCACAAATAGGCCGTTACGGAAGAACAGTCGAGATCCACCACCTGCAGCAACGGTGTTGATGTCGAGCTGCGGTGATTGGATGGTCACACCGGCTGTTGTAGTCTCGAAGACATGCTCATACCTTCCGGAACCATACCGGCTGACATCTGTGCTAGTACCTCCCATATCAAATCCAATGACAGGTGTCCTGGTATTTGAGTCGTAAGAAGTCAGTGCGTAACCTACTACTCCACCCGCTGGACCAGACAAGATTGCTCGTAGGCCAGAGAAAAGATCGACATCAACGAGACCTCCATCCGATTGCATGAACTCGCAGCGTGCTCCCTTAGCACCGCTTTCCTTCTTTACACTTTCTGTGCCTAGGCCACCTTCAAAGCCTGCTTGAAAGCCTGCAATATACTTTTTGATCGCTGGCGTCAGATACGCATCAGCACATGCAGAGGTAGCTCGTGGAACAAGCTTGATCATCGGCATCAATTCGTGGCTCAAGCTGACATGTTCAAAGCCGATCTCTTTGGCCACTTGCCCAACCATCGCCTCATGATCGGGAAAGGTATATCCATGGACAAGGCAAACAGCAATGCTGCGGAAGCCATCATCATAGAGCTTTTGTAGTTGTGATTTGATTGTGTCTTTGGACGGTCTCTTAAGTATCCGGACAGCTTCTCCTGACAGCCCTCGTACGAGACCCTCCTCAGCGGTCGAGTCATCGGTCTTAGTGATGTGCCTCTCCGGGTCTTCTGCGTAATCCTCAAGTGTCACCCTTTCATCAATCTCGACTACCTGTTCGTAAAGGACTTCGGGTTTCCGAATAGCCAGATCGAAGATTTTTGGTCTTGATTGGTTACCGATCTCGAGGCAGTCCTTGAAACCTTTGGTGACGACCATGGCAATCCTTTCACCTTTTCGTTCCAGTAACGCGTTGGTGGCTACAGTAGTACCCATACGGATGCTTTCAATCTTTGAAGTGTCCAAAGGCTCCCCCCTAGGTACTTCCTTTCCAGTGAAGTTGGACAGCATACGCCTGATACCCTCGAGAGGGGCATCATCGTAATTGGACGGGTCTTCCGAAAGGAGTTTGATCACTATGTCATCTTCCATTTTTCCACTCCCGGGGTTTCCCACGCAATCGGTGAATGTACCTCCTCTCTGTCTAGCATTAGTATGATTGTATTGCTGAGTAGTCGATGCGCAATGCAGCTTACATCTATTGCTATGCGGATACCACGGTCTCGAGTGACAGCCATCTTGTTTTATGAGAAGAAGAAATTTACAAGAAGAAGAAGGTCCGCGGAAGGAGATATAGGAGTGATAAAACAGGAGTATTGCAGCAGGGGATGCTGGATGAGAAAGGATTTTCAAAAAAATCGAATTTCATGTGTACAATGTCAGTAGCCTTGGTAGGAGAATCAGTAGAAATTAGGGAGAATGGAATGGATATTTACTTGAGAAAAAGGAAAAAAGAAAAAAGACAGAAGGTGTGCACACCAATGATGCCAAAGTTCAAAAGTCCGTCACTGGTGGCAATGACGCCAAACCTCTCGAGGCAAGTTTACGCGAGTAGAGGGCATAGAACGCCAAGATATGTACGAGTAACGGATCCGACGGGTGGTGCACCTATTGCAAGGCTTTTTTTAGAGGGCTCTCGCAGCATATCAATGACAGGAAACCAAGCATATTGTGACAGCTTCATCTGTCGCCGAAGTCTGTGGACTTGGTAAACATGACTGAGAGGCGAAAGCAGACAGCGTCGCTCTTGGCTCACAACAAGAGCAACTGGCTCCAGAATATTTTCCGCTACCCTGATCGTTTGCGTACGGGTAAAGCGACATTAAAAGGCTTCAGCCTGACCATATTGTATACGACTTTTGTACTGATGTACTCTCGGTACCAGCGTGGCAGTGTTGCATTAGCGCTCGAACTACGAATGCACACTCAATAACAGGGCGTTGACCACATCACGTCGATGATCTTTTGGGGAGAGGCTTAGCACACCACCATTTATTTCATTCTATCAGCATGCGTCGACATTATAATCGATAATTTCGTCTTCTTGAGTTTTCAACTGCAATGCTTTCTCTCGTCCCATGATTCCTGCCTCTGTTGAATTGTTGAAAGTGCTGAGTCAGGCCCAGCATGATTTCTGCCGAATCTCAAGGGGGCCCAAATATCGCCCTCATCACCATAATATGCAGTTGGACATTTTTGGTGGTTGCCTTGCTAGGCGTCAGCCTCCTTATCTGGGCCCGGCGAAACACGAAAATAGGCCTGGGCCTAGACGACTATCTGACCGTTCTTGCCTTGGCGACGACTATCGCCCTTGTAGCGCAGACCACGTGGGCTATCGCGGATGAAGGTCAGGATGATCATGAGGCTGAAATCTCGAGGACAAAATTCGCCGTGGTCGTAAGGGTAGGTCTCTTCGGTCTGGCTCTAAGTTACGTATATTGACACGATAGGCAGTCACTTCTGGTGAATCAGACTCTATGGGGATTGGTAAATTCATTGGTTCGAATCAGCGCTATAATGTTAATCGGGAGGATATTTGGGTGACATGCCCAAAATGAAAATGATCGTACGGTCGCTACTGGTCTTGTCTATCCTCTACGGACTAGTAGTCTTCCTAGAAGTATTCTTGATCTGCCGTCCTATGGCAGTAGACTGGAACGCTCAGACTGATGGTACCTGCGGGGACCAAATTGTATCTTACCTCGTACTCGAGGTACTCGGTCTTCTTCTCGATTTCATTGTTTTGATGGTACCACTACCGTGTATCTGGAGGCTACAGATGGAAAGGGCTAAAAAACTGTTTATTTCAACTCTGCTTTCGGTCGGCGTCTTGTAAGTTATCCTCAATCCTGGACCTAGTACATGTATTGATTGGTAGACAGAGTCTTCATCGTCACTGGGCTACGGATCCAGGCTCTCCGCATGGTCAATGCCCACGACTTCACCTACTCGAAAGGCTACCTTGGTCTGCTCTCTACCTTAGGTGCATCCCTTGGAATCATCTTCTGTTGTGCGCCATTTGTACCATTAATATACAACGCCAATTGCGGAAAGCGTATCTCAAACGCGTGTCAAGGGCTGTCCATATCGACGAGGAAAACGCTGCGGCAGCCTCTGAGACCCTAGATGAGATCTCGCTTCCCATGACCGAAGATAATGCTACTCAGACTCATGACAGAAATATACTCATCGGCGTGTCAACGGTTATTCATATCGACGAGGAAAACGCTGCGGCAGCCTCTGAGACCCCAGATGAGATCTCGCTTCCCGTAATTAGGGATCACACGACTCAGACCGATAGAAGCCTACCATGGCGTGTCAACGGTTATTCATATCGACGAGGAAAACGCGCGGCAGCCTCTGAGGCCCCAGATGAGATTTCGCTTCCCGTAATTGAGGATCACACGACTCAGACTCGTGGTAGAAGCGTACTCAAAAGCGTGTCAAGGGCTGTCCATCAAGGCACCCAATGGTCCAGACGGTCCGTCCAGAAGCCTGGACCGGTCCAATTGAAGCTGTTTTCCCTCCACTTAGTTGAACCGGTCGAGACAAACTTGGACCGTGCGTCGTAATGGTGCAAGGGCCTAAAACCAGAACAATATGTGAGACTCTTAAGGAAGCTTAGGGCCGCCCTCAGACAAAAGTTCGTTCTCGATCAGCCCTATCGCTACTAAAATCATGCCTATGATCCTCAGGTATTCGCCACAAAATACGCTCACAAATCAGACCATCGGACCGATAGTCAAAATCGTCCGTCCAAACACCTTGACCGGTCCATGACCGTCAATCCGAGCCCCTGAATTGCTCCGGTATGTTGGACCAGTGGACCATTAGGGACCAATAATCCGGGCCGTGGGGGCGGACCGTTGGGCGCCTTGCAGTGTCCATATCGACGAAGAAAACGCTGCGCCGGCCTCTGAGACCCCAATTGAGATGTCGCCTCCCATGGCCGAGGATAAAGTATTCAGACTCTTGGCAAAAGGATACGATGGAGCGTGGACGGTTGTGTCGCTAGTGCCGAACCGCCCCCATACGGCGGATTACAAAAGCACCGCACGTTTTGAGAAGTATGGGAGCAAGGGTCGTGTTTGTAATGCGTCAAGATCTCTTGGTCATACTAATCACTCTCACCAATCTCACCTCTGCGTACCACGAACGATCAATGGTGATCATGGTTTTGGCATGTTTCGCTCGATTTGCATCGTAGCTGAGTGGGGCTGGTGCCGCAACACCTGACATAGGTAGCCTGGTTGAGAGGCAACACTCATACACCCAGAAGCATTTGAGTGGTACAAGTCATTCCCGGGTATCGTGCCGCGTTCAAAATCTTACCATCATCACCGTGATACCATGTCAAATACATGCAGATGGCTTGGCATTTCAGGCATGCTCGCTGCCAGACCTACCACAATTGACACTGACACCCCTTTGCATACCAATACGCAAACAATAGCAACGCACATGGGTCCCTCTGCCCCAGTAGCTGCTAGTAGTCTGGGTGCCCGCAGCCAAGGAAACTCCCAAACATCGAACCGAAGTTGTGGGTGTTGCACTCAATGTTGATTACCTGCGCGAGAATTTGATGCATACGCAAGATAAAGATTATTGTCTTGTAACGATGCATTGTCAAGTTTGCAGAGTCGGATGAGTTCGGGAGGGGGAAGTTTCTGCAGCTCCGATCTAGATGAAGAAAAAAAAAGATTGCATGAAGTCCGGGACCATGAGACAGAACACGCCATCCGCTCTCAGTGGGTCTGCCATCTCCCAGATCTCCTTTTTTCCCTCGCTCATCTTCACCCGATCGAGATCTGATGGCGAACTTGGCCTGAGCGGTCGAGCTTCCTCTGGTGTTTTTATATAGATAGACGAGAGTGCCGACGCTGCAGAAGGTGCCGCAAAATTCTTATGTTGCTTGCACATTGGCTTACTTCCAGCACACTGCATGTTCAGAGCCATTTCTCGCGTCAACTACCTTGACCTTGCGAAAGTTACGATGTCCACAGCCCCGTTGGGACCTTTTATGCGTTTTCAGTCTGCGAATAGTCTCTTTACCGCCTGGGGCTTTTGTGACAGGTACTCTACAGCCATGTATGAATATATCTATCTGCCTTGTTCGAGCGCGATCTGAAGTGCTAGGGCAGTCATTCAGTGTCTCCCGAGCTGGCGACAGAAGGAAAGTGCTGGATTTTGGCAAAGCTACTCTGTGGTGATACAGCGTGAGTGTTCAGATTAGACGTGGGTTGATAAATTTTACAGCAGTGAATACTGATAATCGGGGATGTACTCCGTTTTCGCAAAGGGTAAAGAGTTCCCCTCGATCACATGTCTGGAGGAGATGGGTATTTGGGAGGTTCAGAACTCCGGTTCTGGCATCCCCGCGTTGCAAGACTTTGACTCGGAACTCAGATTTAGAGGCTGACAGTAGTGCGAGCAGGCGCAAAAAGCGACTCTACAGGTGGACACAGACAACGATAGATTCATTGTGGACAAATTCCTGTTAGGCTTTCGGACTAATCCGAGATGCCTAGAATCATGCTTGACCTCAGACCCAAGCTTGCACGATTGAAGTGCTAACCAAGACAAATTTCATCAACACGTCCGTAACTCTACCCAAAGAGCTCTCCATAGACCAATGTGAGAATGTAGACTCAATCAATCGCGTGCTGGGGAGCTTGTATTTGTACCAGTTGCATAGTGATAGGCTCTACTATTCCCACAAGCAACGTCAGCTCAAGCATGTCCTTCGTAGCCGCGTTCACATACGTCGTCGTCTGGAAGGCCTCGAGCAATCATCAGAACCCTACGCCATTGGCCATCATTGACAAAGTCGATTGCAGCTGTGTGTAATTTATGTTCTGATTTACCCCATCTTGTATTGCTATCAGTTGCTGCGTTGACAGCGAAACGTTGGCGCCATCGACTTGCTGCGAAACGAGTCGCAATTCTCAACTTTGGTTTTCGCAATTTGTCTAGACGCATCCGGTGGCTGCTTCATCAACTTCTCTTTATTCAGGTATGATGTTCTCATTTACTTCCGGAACCACAAATAATCGGCTGCCTCAGGTGCTTGCTTGTTGCGGAGCCCCTCGTAGAGTTTCCTCAGGAACCTCTGACAATTGTTCCAGAGTAGCGTATATTTGCCAAAATCCTTCATGATACTATCGCCGATACCGTCGATGCCTTCTCTGGTCATGTGCGTCCAGCCGATCAGACCAATATGGAAGCTTCCGTCTTCCGGGTAACCGGTTTCAAGGATGTGCTTCTTGCGGATGTCTAGGTTAAGAAGAATGGGCTTCGAGCGGAAATGGTAACGATTTCCGTCGCGGCCATCCACGGTTTCCGAAAAGTGCATGTCATCTCTTTTCACATTGCCACTCCGGACCTTACAGAGCTCATACTTGGTGAAAGAATTCTCAACGAGGTCGTGCACAATGAAGGCCCAATGAGATAGATCGCCAGCCGTTTGATCGCAGGAGAACCAAACTTGCGAGCCGAGATCGGTTCGCTCTTGTTCTTTTTGGCGCCGGATAATGTCATTACCTGTTCCCAAAAGCCTGCTTTGCAATTTTGCAGCGAGAGGCGGTACGTAATTTCCACCTTAGGGGGGGAGATTTCTTACGAAAGAATTGGTGATATCTTTTGAGGACTGATCTTGCCAGGCCTGCGGGCATAGAGGAGCCGTTTATGAAGACTACTTCAGGACCGAAGCGCCCGAAGTACAGCTCTCATTTCTAGAGGTCATTATAGTATGGCTCGACCTGAGGAAGTCTTTCACGCTCCCGTGCTTGCTAATCAATCTCCCTAAGCATAGGTTGCGACATGGCGAACAAAGAAGTACAGCTGGATCCAAAGACTTTGTAGAGAAATTTTATTCTCTCGAGAAGCACTCAATTTACTGTAAGACTTTGCGAAGCGAGGGGGTAGGTGTGAGTGGCATTTCGCTATCTTCGACGAGGGAACTCAGTGTTGATTGAAGAACGCAGTACTCTAGGACTAGGAAAAAGCCTTTTATAGCCGACGTATTGCACACGACACCTACATATTTGGTATAGCCAGCCGTGCATAGCCTAGACTCTGCCGTGGTGACTCCGCCATTGTGAGCTCATCTTCCACTTTCAAGCGGACGAATCGGAGCATCTTATCTACAAGAATGGGGGGCTACTTGTGACAAGGACACGTTGACTGGATGAAATCTGGCCGCTGTGCTGTGTGATGGAGGGTAGGAATGGCATAAGCAGCGGCAGTGCCGTGTAATGGAGGGTAAAAGCTTGGCATCGTTGCGTGTTCCCCGCCCCATCTCCGTACAAATCTTGGTCATAATGCGCCGACAGGAGATTCCTGATATCTGCACATTTGGGGCGGTAATATGCGACAACTTTGGGGGGCGGGGCCTACCTCGTATAAGTATCCATTGGGGGTCTCGTGGTGGGGGTGTACGGAGGTCGGCACTAAAAGTCCTGAGCATGCAAAAAAAAAAAAGTATAGGGTGTCCTTTTTTTTCTTTTTTTTTTTTTAATTTATTCTTTTTTCCGGTTTTTTTCCCTCTTAAAAATAACTTTTTTTTTTTAATTTTAAATTTTTTTTTTTTTTTTTATATATTTTTTTTTTTTTTTTTTTTTTTTTTTTTTTTTTTTATTTTTTAAACTTTATAAATTTTAAATTTTATATTTATTTTTTATTTTTTTTTTTTTTATTTTTTGGTTTTTTGTTTTTTTTATTTTTATATTTTATTTATATTATTTTTTTTTTTTTTTTTATTTTTTTTTTATTTATTATTAATATTTATATATAATTTTTTTTTAATTTTTAATTATTATAAATAGTTTATAAATTTTTTTTTTTTTTTTTTTATTTTATTTTTTTTTTTATTTTTTTTATTTTTTTAAAAATTCTTTTTAATTTTTTTTTTTTTTTTTTTATTTTTTTTTTTTTTTTTTTTTAAAAAAAATCTTTTTAATTTATATTAAATATATTTTTTTTATATTTTTATTCTCTCTAAAACTTTTAAAAAATTTTTTTTTATTTTCTTTTTTTTTTCCCTCTTTTTATTATTAAAATATTAAAAAAAATTTTTTTTTTTTTTTTCGTAAATTTTTTTTATATTTAAAATAATAATATATTATATACTTTTTTAATACTTTAACACTATTTTTTTAGTTTATTTTATTATTTTTTTTTTTTTTTTTTTTTTTTTTTTTTATTTTTTTTTTTTTAATTTATTTAACCTATTCTTTTTTTTCTAAAATAAATTTTTTTTTTTTTATACTCTTTTTTTTTTTTTTACTATTTTTTTTTTTTATTATATAAATATTATATTTTTTATTTTTTTATTATATTATATAATATATTAAATAAAAAAATATAATTTATTATTTTATTAATAATTACTTTTATTTTCTACTTTATTTTTTATAAAATATTTTAAAAAAATAAAAATAAATTAAAATAAAGTTTAAAAAAAAAAAAAAATTTTTAATTTAATTTTTTTCTATTTAAAAAAATATATAAAAAAAATTTTTTTTTTTTTTAAACGAAGGTTTAAATTTATTAAAAAATTTTATAGGTTTATATTTTTTTTTTAATTAAAAAAAAATTATATTTTTATTTTATTATATAAATTTTTATTACGCTATATCGCTCTCTTAATAATATTAACTCGAATATATAACTAGCTAACGAGTCTGATAGTAACTCTACTAGTAATTTAGATTTATTAAAGAATAAATACTCTACGACTGCTAAAATGGATAAGAAAAGAGATGAAATCGCCGAAGCAATGTGGAAGGATTATTAAGAGTATATTTCTTAAAGAATAATTACGGAGATGCGTATATAAGAAGTCTTATTAATAAGAGAGGCTTCGATATATAAGGTCTAAATATAGTAGTATTTAGCTAATTCACTTCGATATACTTAATATATTCTTCTATCTACTTACGCGCCTCTGTTATTTACCTCTATAATTAATCTTTTCTAATATTATCAGATATTATAATATATATAAAGGCCTTATTATAATTTAGAAACACGTTTACGACTTTCATATAGTTATTATTATTAATAGAATTAAAATCTTTACTTAGTAGAGTCATAGCTTTCTTAATAATAGCTTATAGTATTTCTTTAATTCGCTGTATTTCCTTCTATTGCCTTTATAATACGTCGCTTTTATTAAAATATAAAGGTAGAACACTTAGTTATATTAACTATAGAGTTCTATAAAAGAAAAGAGCGACTTAATACGGGCGCGCTAAGGCGTATCACGTGACGTAGTTATATGATCGCCAAGACGCTAAGAGTTACGTAATTCGAATTTCAATACTCTCCTTCGCACGTATTCTTTTATAAGCGAAACTTAGTAAATACGAAGTTCAATGTTAACGGTGTTAAAACCGAGTAGATAAGGTGAGACTAGCGTCGAATAGTAAGAGTAAATCAATATCGAGTAGTTAAGGTAAGTTAGTGCCGGGTAGTTAGCGTAAAAATATACTCCCTACACCTCTACCCCCTTACGAATTAAATTAAAAAATACGAGGTTTAAAGTTCGCGACGTTTAAAACAGAGTAGGTAAAGTGAAAAGTCGAAATCTGAAAACGACTATGTTAAACTATGGCCCCCACTCAAATATAACTCAAATTCCACTTTTTATTAAAAAACGGTTTTTGGAAATTTTATTTCTAGATTATCTAATATACATTAAAAATCGATTAATTCGAGGTCGGAGAATATATATAAGAATAACTGAATGAAATAATTGAAAGAAATTCTTCTAGCTATATATCGCCGGCTATAAGATCTCTATAAAGGTCGTTTTAAGTAATTAATTCTTAATAATAATAACTATAATAGCGGTAATTTAAAAGTATAATACTTAAGACATTAATAACGAGTAGATATAAGTTTATTAAAAGAGTTCTAGAAGTTTTAATAATGATAGCGGTAATAGCGCTAAAGAAATAGCTATTTCGATATAAAATAGCGAGTTTATAGAGTGTTAAGCTTGATATAACGACTCGATAAGCGACTTAAATCGATTATTCGTAATGCGAGAATTAATAAAATAACTTTTCTAAAGTAGACGATTTCTTTATATTAAGACTATTAAGCTATAGTTATAAGCGATATTCTAATCTAATAAGTTAACGAAAACTCTTAAATTTATTCTTATAGAGAGTCTTAGTAAGATCGTCGGCTATCTATTAATCGATAAAGATATATTCTAGAGCGACATTTTTAATAGTAACTTATTTCTATATATAGTAATATTAAATATTAATATATTTAATATAAGTATAAAATTAAGAGTTCTTAGCTAGTACTATAGCGCCTTAATTATTATAAAAAATAATTATCGCTTACGCTTATTTATTATTAAAATTAAATTAATTTAATAGATTATATAGCTAAATTACTTTCTTAATAGTTTATATTTAACTAATATATTTAGCCTTATAGATTAAAAGCGTTATAATAGATTATTACTTCGATGATTAACTAATAGTCTTATTATTGATATTAAATATATATCTAGATATTAAGTAACGAGTATCTTAATTATCAACTTAGTCGACATCGATATAATCGCTTAGAGGTTTTAGATTTTTTTTAAAGACGAGTTAATAATCGATAGTTTATCTAAGATAGCGAAAGATTCGCTTAACTGCTTTTTAATAGACTTCGTTAGAGTTCGAGTTATATCGAGATACTATCGAGATCGCGAATATAATATTCAATCTTATATCGAGTATTATATATATTAATAACTCTATTACTAACTAATACTTAATATAAGAGACTTCGAAGATTTAAAAGTTCTCTTCGAATATCTAATATCTTTCGATACTTATAAAAGTAAGTGTGCCTTTAAATTCTCATATACTATACTTAGTAAGAAACTTTTTAATATACTCTATTTAATCGAGTCGAATAATGCGATTAATATGATCTCTAGTAATAATTATATTTAGATAATAGATATATAGTTCTAAGTTAGTTATTTTAAAGTAACTATTAAACTTATCTTTAATATCTTAAATTTCTACTTTATTAAGATTAGCTAAGAGAATATTATTTATATAAATTATAATAATTATAATATCGTTAATAAAGATTAAGAAATTAGCTATAATAGACTTAAAGTCTAATTCTTTTAGATATATAGAGAGAGTATTATATTAGACTCTTAGAGATTACTTTAAATCGTATAGCGCCTTCTTTAACTTATATATCTTATACTTATTACTCGTTTTAAAGTCTATAGACTATATTATATAGATGATTTCCTTTATATTATTATAGAGAAAAGCGATTTTAATATCTATTTACTCTAATTTTTAATTAAAAATTATCGCTAAAGTAAAGATCGCTTTATAGCTTATAGACTTAACTATAAAGACGAAAGTCTTATTAAAGTCTATACTTTCACACTATTTAAAATTACGAATTATCTATCGAGCTTTATATTATATAATCTTCTTTATAGAGTCTCGCTTAAGTTTATAAACTTATTTATCGCTTAGAGTATACGCATTTAAGAGTAAATTTATTAAGATTTAAGTATCGTTAGTTATAAGAGAGTTAACTTCTTTCTATATAATAAGTTTCTATTTTATTTTTTAATATTTATTCGCTATTATCTCTTAATAAGTTTGAAACTTAAATAGCTTAAGAG